CTAATTGTTAATTAAAAAGCTGGAAGCGGAAGTTAGTAGCGGATGTGACAAAATTACAATTATTAATATTGAGCGTGCAATATAAGGATGTTAGTGGTTAGTTGTTTGTTAAGTTGTTTGTTAGTTGTGTTATGTGAAGCTTTGTTGGTAGTGTTATGTGAAGTTCTGTTAGTAGTGTTTTGTGAAGCTAGTGTAATTTTGTGAGAAACGAGAATTTTAATGGACTCAGGAAGTGGAAAATGAAAAACTTTGTTTTGGGGATTTTGGACTTTGGTATGTGTAATGGGTATTTTGAGTCTAGGCGCCTAGATTAGGATATGATTATTGGATTTATTGTTTTTGGATTTGTCGTTTTCAAGAGCGCTTGGATTAGGATTTGATTCATTGAGCTCGGATTGGATTTGTTTAATTAGAGCGCGATTTGTTTGATTTATTTTTAATTATTGTTATTGAGCGCGGATAAGATTTGCTTGTTAATTATTGAGCGCTTGGACTAGGATATATTTATTGATTATGAGATCGGATTAATTTTTATTTTGAGCGCTTGGATTAGGATATGATTTATTGAGTTATGAGCGCTTTGATTGATTTATTTAGGATTTGATTTGTTGAGCGCGGACTGGATTTGTTGATTAATGGATTTGCATTTGCTTGATTTATTGAGCGCTTATGGATTTGGATTTATTTGATTTGTTGAGCGCTTATGGATTTGGATTATGATTTATTGAGCGCGAATTGGATTTGGATTTTTTGATTTATGAGCGCGGATTTGAATTGTGGATTTGAATTTGATAGATTTATGAGCGCGGATTGGATTATGATTGATTTATGAGCGCTTGTGGATTTGAATTTGATAGATTTATGAGCGCGGATTGGATTGTGTTTGATTTATGAGCGCTTGTGGATTTGAATTTGATAGATTTATGAGCGCGGATTGGATTGTGTTTGATTTATTGAGCGCGAATTTGATTTGGATAAGATGATTTATTGAGCGCTGAATGGATTTGATTGATTGAGCGCTGATTGGATTTGATTGATTGAGCGCGGATTGGTTGGATTTGATTGACTGAGCGCTGAATAGATTTGATTAATTGGATTTGATTGATAGAGCGCGATAGATTTGATTAATTGGATTTGATTGAGCGCTGAACGGATTGGATTTGATTGATTGAGCGCGGAGTGAATTTGATTAATTGGATTTGATTGATTGAGCGCTAGATTAATTGGATTTGATTGATTGAACGCGGAATGGATTTGATTGATTGGGCGCTGAATAGATTTGGTTAATTAGATTTGTTTGATTGAGCGCGGAATAGATTTGATTAATTGGATTTAATTAATTGAGCGCTGAATAAATTTGATTAATTGGATTTGATTGAGCGCGAAGGATTTGATTAAATGATTTGATGATTGAGCGCTGATGGATTTGACCAATTATCTTGATTAATAAAATATATTTGTTTAAGTAAACTTATCTCATCCAATGGTAAATGTAATTTATATTTAAAATAATTTTTTTTGTAATTCAGTAGCACAGGTTAATAACTTCCATCCAGAGTTTAAATTTCCATTTAATTAGAGAAAGTATATGTAAATTGTCCAATTCCATTTATTCAAGTTAAGTAATAATTTTTAATTGAAGTAAAAAAATTTATTTAAAATTAATATTTTGACATTTAAAAACCATATGAATTAATGTATTGGGAGCCCGGCCGGGATTTTCGCGAGAAAATGAAAAAGAAAAAAAATAATTATTAATGATTGTTGAGCTCACGGGTTAGGATAAAATTTATTGAATAGTGAACGCGTTTGATATAATGTGATTTTATTTAATTAATGAGCGCGAATTGGATTTGGATTTGATTTTAGTTGAATTAATAGCGCGAATGGATTTGGATTTGATTTTTTTTAACTCGATATGGATTATATGAGCGCGAAAGGATTTGGATTTGATGTATTTATTGAGCTCGATATAGATTTCATTTTATTGAATTAATGAGCGCGAATGGATTTTGATTTAATTTATTTATGATTATGAGCGCTTGGATTAGGAAGGATTTATAAATAATGAGCGCTCTGATTGGATTAGGATTTGATTTACTGAGCGCGAATGTGGATTTGTTGATTTATTGAGCGCTGTGGATTTGGATTTGATTGATTGAGATTTAATGGATTTGATGAATTTGATTGAACTCTAAATGGATTTGGATTTAGTTGTTTATTTATGAATAATAAATGGATTTATAGATTAAGTATAATTTGAATGTGTCAGGAATAATGCGTATTGAATATGTATGGATTTAAATGTAGTACGAACACGGAATTGGATTTATAATTAATGAACGCGAATTCGTTATTGGTTTGATTTGGGATAAATGTATTATAAAATTTATTTAAAACGAGGGGAGAAGAAATTTTATAATTAGTGTGCACACTTTGGGGTATTAAAAATAATGTGATTTGGGGACAGAGAAAAAAAGTAAATGTATTAAAAATTATTCTGATTGGTGAATTGGGCAGGGGTAGTGGATCGACTTAGGTGCTACCAGTTAGTATGTTAGTATTTGGGGGTTGTGTATATGGATATGGATTCGGGATGTGAATGGATGTGTGTGTGGATATTAATTAGTGGATGTGCGAGTGTGGGCTTCCAGAGGTCCTACCCGAACTAAGCCAATTCACCAAATAGTTCAAATAGTTTACATATTTATTAATATTGCTTAATGAACGTTAATAAATGGATTGAAATGGATTGAGGAAGTGAAACTGATAATTGTAAGTTATAGGATTGAATAGAATTGATAGGATTTGCGCGAGGACGAAGTAAACACTTGGAATATGAATAAAGTGATGGAACTGAATATTGGCCAATGAATAGAGTAAATTGTATTGGTTTGGACTGAAGTGAGATAAACTGAGATTGGACTGGACTGAGAATGTGATGAACTGAGGTTGGACTGGATTGAGGATAAGCTGGTTATTGGAGGGAAATGAAAACCTTATAAGTTGGGAAAAGGGGAGTGGAAATGGGATAGGCAATAGTCAACAAGTTGGATTAGTGAAGATTGTAAATATGATAAGTTGGGAAAGTGATCGGGAGTAAGTGGAATAGGAATTCATGTGAAGGGATAATGGGAAGTAATTGGAAAATAAGTGGAAATAAAGGGAGTTCACGTGAACGAATAATGGAAAGGCTGGGAAGGAATAGTTGTAATTGTAAATAATAATATAGCTGTATTGAGCGGAAGTGTGGAAGCAAAGTTCAAAGAGAGAAAGTTATTAATTTATAAATGGGAAGATGGGAATGGGAATTAGAGTCTGGGATTGAGTCTGGTGTTTGTTTTTGGTCCGGTTCCGGGATACGGGGTTACACCAAAATTTGAAGTATTTTCCTCAATTTCTTCAAAATTTTCTTTTTCCTTCACCTCCTCCTCCTCCTCATTATTTAACTCATTTAAATTTTGTTCTTCCTTTGATTGTTCTAATTCTTTCTGTTTATTTTTCTTATCTTTAAATGTTATTTTAGAACAATTTTTAATTATTTATTTAACGATCATTTACATTAAAAAAATATTGTATATGTTTATGATAAAAAAAAAATTATTCAGGTCAAAATAATAATTGCCCTCCCTCAAATAATTACCCCAGCTCTATTTATTACCCCCTCCAGCGAGAGATCGAAGCAATAATTACCCTGGGTAGTTAATACAGTTTTTACGGTAGTCCCTCAAAAATAAATAAAATTACTTTTGGGTAAAAAGTACCAATTTTCATTTTTATAATGCCTGATTGACTTAAACTACGGCGTTCGGATTTATGATGGAAATCGACATTCGAATTGATTGATTTACCTAAAAATATTTTTTATTTAAAAAAATTTTTACAGACAAATTTCACTATAAAATAGCCCTTTTTGGCTAAGAAGTAGATTGACCTAAACTACGAGTACCTTATAATTAGGAGCTATTGGGTATTTTCTAATAAACAAAAAATACAATTTATTAAAAATTACCATTTCTTTTTTTATTTCCTCCCAAGCAAACTTGACAAAACAATATTGCAATGAATAACAGAGAAATTAACAAAATTTTATTTGAAAAAATATTTTTTTGTTTTAAAATTTTCATTTTAATTAATTAAAAAATATTTTTTTTAAATAAAATTAAAGGGCAAATAATTTATTTATTTATATGTATGCATTTAACAATTTAAGGGCAAAATTTCAAAAGAAATTTTGCCGAAAACGTGTCGTGTATATTTTTTAAATTAAGAAATCGAATAAATTAAAGCATTTTACCGCTTTATTGCCCTTTTTGTTTATTTAATTTTACAATTAAAAGTGCATTTATTTATTTTTTAAATTTATTTAACTTTATAATTGGCCGATAGAGAGGCCCGAACGTATATTTCAAAATTAATTTCAAAAAACGTTTTCTGCCCAACTTTGAGATTAGGGGTTTCAAATATTCAAACTATTGTGTGTCACAAAAGATTCGGAAATTCCAAAATATATTTCTAATTGTGGAATTTTTCGAAAAAAATTTAAAGTTTAGAAAAAGCCAAATAAATTTTTGTTTTCTGTGATTGTAATCAAAACTAGACATATCTTTAAAATATATAGAAAATTAAAATTGCTCCCAACAAGTGGGGCTGTAACTCAGTGGTAGAGTGCTTGCTTAGCAACTCCTCTAATTTGCAAGAAGTCGTGGGTTCAATTCCCACCAGCTCCAGTTACTTTTTTCTATTCTAAAAAATATTTATTTTAGTATCTAAAAATTCAAAAACCTAAAAATATATCAAACTATTTTTGTTAAACATTTTCTTATCGAATAATTAAAAACAAGTCTTTTAAACTACGGTTTGAAATATGATTTTTTATAAAGGATATTTGCTCAAAATTTCGGAAAAATAATTAATAAAGGAATTTTTATAATTTTTGGATTCTTTTTTATTGGACTTAATTTTATCTAATTTAAAAATTTTTCAAGAAAAAAAATTAACTGGAGCTGGTGGGAATTGAACCCACGACTTCTTGCAAATTAGATAAGTTGCTAAGCAAGCACTCTACCACTGAGTTACAGCCCCACTTGTTGATTGTTTATTTTTTAAGTATTTATTAATTAAATGATGAAACACAATTAGAGAATTAATATTCCAAAAATTATTATTTTTTCTTTAAATTTTCTTTTTAAATTTTCAAAAATATTTTTTCTTCCTTTTATTCTCCAGACATCATTTCAAGAAATTCTAAAATATTAAAAAAAAACTCCATAGTTAATTTATTTATTAACCATCAAAATCAACAGTTCCAGACCCATCAGTATCAATTTCTGCAATCATTTCATCCAATTCATCATCAGTTATTTTATCGTCCAAAGCTCGCAAAATCTCTCGCAAATCGCTTACATTAATATAACCATTTCCCTTAAACAATAAATTTTTCTAGAAGTTACATATTTACTTTTAAATTATTCAAATAAAAATAACTACCCATCAGAGGTGAATCGGAATGATAAGTGTTGGAAATCGGAACTGTTGGAAATCGGAAATGGCTCAAAAGTCGGAACTCGGGAGACAGAAATCGGAATTCTGATTCACCTCTGCTACATATATTAATTTTTATAGCTTCTCTTCTAGTCAGAATTAAAGAAGGCTATACTCATTTAAATTAATTTTTTAAATTTTTTCCTAAAAAGATAATTTAATGTTCAACAAACTTCTTTGTCATATAAACGGAAAGCTTCTCTTAATTCTTGTTGTAATCCTTCATTATCTTCACCCGAAACTACAAAATTCGCAACCATTGCTGCAAATTCTTCAAATTCAATTTCTCCAGATCCTTTTTTAAATTAATTAAAAATATTCTTTTTTTTTAAGATTATTTTAAGGGAATTTTTTATCTGTTTAAAGATTTAATTAAATAATAAAGGTCAACACGGATCTCGTAGTGTGTTTTCAGTAGCCCGTTTCAAGATTTTCCGAACTCTCAGATTGTAAGCATTTGGGATTATCGTGGGATCCCGTTTCGTTCGACATTCTAAAACTCGACCCAGTTACGGATTCCACGATTGCATTTTACCCTATCTCTAATTTAAACACTTTTCTTATGTTCCCAATAATCTGCAAATTTCATCTCACGATTAAATTTTCGAATTATTGGGAAAATAAATAAAAATATAAATATTTAAATTAATTTAAAAACCATCAGAATCAAATTCTCTAATTAATTGTTTTAAATCACGTTCTTCAAAAGCTTGTCCCATTGTACGCAATATTTGCCCGACTTGTGTTGCTCTAATAAATCCTTTACCTTCCTTAAAATTAATTATTTCCCCCTTTTTTAAATAATTAATTAATTACTTTGTCAAACATATTAAAATATTTTCGAAATTCTGAAAAGCATCGAATTAAATTAAAAAATAAAATTAATTTTTATTACGTTCAATTTGGTCAGAGGTTAATTGTTCCAAAGCTTCATTAACACGATCATCGCTCTTAATTTTTAAGATTTTAATTTATTTCTCTAATAGTTTTGTCTAAATTAACTCCGTTATAGATACGCAAGTTTTAGATTGAAGACACCCCAGGTTATAATTAAATGGAAAAAGGTGAGCTATTTAATAATAATTTTTACTATTTTTTAAATAAAAGGCAATAAAAAATCAGTAGAGATTTTTAAATTATTTTAATTTTTAAACCCACAGATTCATCCTTGTTACCGGATTTATTCCAATAGAACCACTATGGTTCTATTTTTCAACCCCTTAAATTTTTACATATACATATTAGAGACTGTGGTTCAAATGGAGATGTGTTTCTATTATTCGGTATATACATAAATATTGTATTAAATAAATAACCATTTTATTATCGGCAAAATTAATTTAAGAAAAAATAATTTCCAAAAATTTCAATAATAATTAGAATTAGAATGTTAAAAGTACTCAAAAAATTATATAAATTCTGAAAAATAAAAACTTGCTTTAAAGTAAAAATAAACTTGCGCGGAATAAAAGAAAGCTTCCCCTTTTCTTTCTTGACATCTTTAAAAATCAAAAGGATCGACTTTCTTTAGCTTTATTTTCTTCTTTTTGGCACTAATTTATTTGTTCTGTCTCATTGTTTATTTACACATCTTGAGTGGAAAAATCAAAAAGAAAAAAATTTTTGTGGAATGGAGGGAAACAAACATTGATTATCTGAACGAGTTTTTGACAAAAAATTTTGGAAAGTTAAGTTAAGACTATGGATATATTCAAATATAAATTTATTAAATCCTTTAATGAGAAACAGGAAAAATTGAATTGCAAACTGATAAAAGGACAAGAATGCCGACATCAAAATTAATTTAGAGAATTGGGATCCCTGCCCCAACAAGTTTGGAATGTGTTAATAAAATTTAATTCCAAATAAAGGGAGTATCTCATTTTTAACTGAAGCATTAATTAAAACGATTAAGGACTCAAAAGAATAAAATTAAGTAAATAAATAAAGGAAATCGAAAAGGTAAAAGAATTTTAATTTTATTTTAAAAATAATTATTATTTAAATTTTTCACAACAAATCCCCCCTTTATTATTTTTTTCAAATACCACCCATCAATCATTTTTTGTATTTTCTTTAAATTTTGGCGCTTGTGCCATCACTATATTTTTACTTTTTTTTTAAAAGTCTGTCAGTTAATTCCCTTGCGTGTTTTAAATTTAAAAAAAAAATATTTTTTGTTTTTCCTAAACTTTTGAACAGTTTTTATGTGTATTTTAAAATCATTTTTAAAGGAAGGTAGTAGCAAATAGAGCTATAAAGTAGAGCTCGGTACTTAACGTCATAGATTTCCTTGACCATTAAGTAAAGCAGCTGGGCTATAGCTTAATCGGCGGCTGGGAGCGAGCAAGCATCTTCAGTAGACTGGACTGATGTGTTATCCATTACACACGCCGCCTACTGCACAGCATTAGGAATTAAATATGCTTTGAAATTAAGAATTAACAAAAAAATTTATTATAAAATAATTTTTACAAAATTTTTTATTTTTAAAATAAAAATTCTCTTTTCCTTTTTTTTTGCAAACTTAACGCTCTGTTTCATTCTTTATTTTTAACACGCGGATTTTTGTTTGTTTGACCTCCACAATATAAAAATTAAAATAAATTTTATTTCATACTTTGTCACGAGTTTTGTTTTGAAATATTTTTTTAATTTTTATTTTCCAAATAAAAATAATCAAAAAATAGAATTACACTTCAAAAGTCAGTTGGGCAAGGTCAGTTCAAAAGTCAGTTCTAAATTTTTGAGCTTCCATAAATTTTAGAATTTTTTATTAAAACTTTGTGGAGATAGGATTGGGGTAGAGTGTTGATTTTTGAAAATTTTTAGATATTTTTGTCACATTTTTTTCTAATATATGAACAACAAAGCTGAGACTTAACCTCAATTTCCTGTTGGTTTTTGGATGTCAAGTTTTCGGTGTTAAAATTTTTTTATTAATCTTCTTATAAGATATTTATATTCAGAGAATTTTGTGCAAAATTTTTATTCTTACCATAAAAATTTTTCGATTGTTTTATCTTTTCTATAATATACAAAATTCGAATTTTGTTTCCTAGTTATTTAATTAAAACAAAAATAATTTAACATTAAAATATATCTAAAATTATTTCCAAAATTAAAAAAAAAATAAAATAAAATATTTAATTAAAGTATTAACACAACTTTTAAGGTGTTTAAAGGTGTATTTATTTAACCTTCTCTCCAAGATTTATTATTTTTTACTTTCAAAAATAAAAAGTTTTTTTTTATTTCCGTTTTCTTTACAAATAAAAACTAATTTTTATATTTAATTCCAGCAATTGATCATTTGGCAATTGGTTTTTACTTTTGATAAAAAATAAATTTAAGGGGGGAAGTACCAAAAAGCACGTGTTGAGGGGTTTTACACTTTCTATCTTTCTCTCTTATTCAATTTTATTACAAATAACATGTATTATTTTATCGGTTTCATTCATTTTATTAATCTTTTTGTTATTCATTCATGACTAATAAATAAATAAATTTATTTTTATTTTTTACTTTTTATTTGAGCAAAATAATATTTGGGGGTTTTTTGCTCAATTTTTATTTTCTTTTTAAGATAAATTTTTTTAAATATGTATGTTTTTCGAAAGCGTTTTCAATTAACCATTAGGATGTTATACATGGCTGTCTCCACTTGTGGACTGCAGATGGATCATTTGGCAATTGGTTTCCACTTGTGGACTGTTCTGAATTGCAATTTAAAAGTTTGCCCTGATGTTACTTTTAGGCTTGGATTTTTCGAACCGGGCCGACGTTCGAGTCTTTTTTGGGCCAAAATTCGAGGCCCGGTTCGATCTTTCGAACCGAACCGAGCCGGGCCCCCAACCATATTTACTTCTTATATATTAAAAAAATTTTTATAAAGCGAATTTAATTATAGGTTAAAATAAAAGTTGACTTTCCATAAAAAATAATCGTAAAATTAAAAAATAATTTTGATAATATTTACTCGAAAAAGTCTAGCAAAACCAATATGTATTAAATTTTTTTGTTTATAAAATTATTTTTATCATATGCATTCTTATCAACTAATATCAAAAATATAATTTTTGTATAAACAATTTTTTATTTCATTTCCTACTATTAATTAATGTACACAAACAACCCCAATAAATATCCTCCCAAAAGATCACCTCGTACTTTAATTTAAATTAAGTGGTGATCTTTTGTATCTTATCTATTTTTAAAATATAAGCCCTTGTGTAGAATAATGAAATTCGAGAAATAATTTTTTTATTTTAATTATGAGAAGTGTGGGAGAGTGTATTAAAAAACAGGAAAGGAATGCGCAACATTTTTGAAAAACAAAATAAAAATAATGACTACTAGGGTTTTTTTTAATAATTTTCCCTCAAAAGGCAAAATAAACAAAAACAATGAAAATATTGAAAAATAAATATTCAAAGTTTTATTTTCATTTTTTTAGTAAAATTAATTCTTTTTTATCTAATTTTTAAATTTAAATTACTAAATTTGTGCTCATAAATGGGGGTGGGGGGAGACGATTATCCGAGACCGATTTGATATACGAACTGAAAATTTCCGGACATTCGGAGCTACTAATTTATGGGCATGGTTGCCTTATATGTAATTTTTGGTACCACGTTTTTACAAAAAATCATAATTATTTTTACAAATTTCTAGTCTTCCGATTTTTAATATTTTATTCACTCATTCTTCTCTCCCTCCATCCTCCTTCCCCCTCCTCCTCAACTCCTTCTTCCTTCCTTCATATAGAAAGACAGGTGTATTAATAAAATTGTGGGGGTGGAAAAAGTAAATAGAAAGAAGAAAAAAAAGATAAAAATAATTTTTGCCCAATTTTGGGGGAGAAAATTTAAAAAAACGGAAGGAAAAAGGGGGGGAGAACATTAAAATTTATATTTTTAATTTTATGATTGATTGACAACAATTTTGCTCTTGATTTTATTGCAAAACTTTTTTTTTCTTTCTTTAAATAAATCTTTTTACAATTCCTTATGGAAAATATCTTTTGTAGAATAGGACCAAGTCCTAGACAATATGGCAAAACAATCCAAATATCTGTTCTACCCTCACAATCCCTTTTTTAAAGTAATTAAAGGGAAGGATGTAAATTACCGTAAAACTTCTAATAGAAGCACATTGCTTCTATTTTTCGATCCTTTCGTAGGGTGTGATTATATTGGGAGGTGTGCTTCTATTAGAAGCTTTACGGTATAACCTAAGTTGGGCATTAAATAGATTAGGATTGGGGGGGGGGGGGGTTCTAATTATAAAATAGGGACCTGAAGTCCTATCTCGTATAGATAGGACTCTTCTCTATTCCACTGTTTTTCTAATTTTATCTTTTTACTATAGTTAATGAGATTATTATTATAAATTTTACTTTTGAGAAGAAAATTCAAAATATATTTTAAACTAAAATTCCCTTCCCTTTTAATTATTTATAAAATTTTAACTTTATGTAGATATTTAAAAACAATTTAAAAATTATTTTTTTTTCTAAATAAAAAATGGGAGAAACACAAATTGTCAGAAATATTGTAAATGATGAAAATATAAATCAACAACAAAATAGCAATAATGATAGAAGTGAATTACCTCAAATTGAAGGGCTTACTGAAGATCAAGTTTGGGAACAAATAAATTATTTTAAAAATTTAATATTTAAAAGGTAGCAGAATTTAAAGAAGCTTTTGAATTATTTGACAAAGACGGGGATGGAAGGGTAACAGCGGCAGAATTAGGAATTGTTATGAAATCGCTTGGACATTCCCCAACAGATCAAGAATTGCAAGAAATGGTTAGGGAAATTGATGAAGACGGTAATTAATTTAAATAAAGGGGGGGGGGGGAGATTTGTTAGTTATTAGAGATCGAAAATTAAGACGAGGATTCTTTCAATAATCTCTAATCTATCCCAAGTCCTATCTTAATTAAGTGTAGAAAAACTACGAGAGATGGCGTTAGCCCGATTTTCTCATCTCTCTAAAATCGTGAATTGCCTTTTGCGTTAAAACAAAATATTCAAATAGAGTTTTTTGGTAGTCCCAACTCTTCATTATCACGTAAATGCCAGCTAACTACGGTCCCAAGAGCTAATAATTTTGCTTGAAAAATATAATCCCAAAATTCAGTCAGAATTTCTTAAGAAATTTCTTCAATTTAAAAGATATTCTATTATAGAGAGGGTGTTTTCTGTTTATTAAATAGAGGGTTTTAAAAACCAATTGTTATTCATTTATTTTTTTTACCAAAACAAATGTTCTTTGTTTAAAAAAGTTCCTTCTTTTAATTGAGAAAAATATTTAAAAACAAAATTAAAATATAGGCAATATATTTTAATATAAAAATTTTATTTTTGGAGAAAATAAATGGAATAAAAAATTTCTTTAAACAATTGGCTTTTAATTTAATTAATTTAGGTAATGGAAGTATTGAATTAAATGAATTTGTTAAAATGATGAGCAGAAAAGTAAAAGAATCTGAAAGTGAAAAAGAATTGAGAGAAGCGTTTCAAGTAAATTTTAGAAATAAAATCGAACCTTAATAGTCGAACCTTAATACTAAAAAAATTAAACCTTGTAATGGGGGTTATCTTAAAGGACGAAGGGGAGTGGGTTAATGTTGCGCCTGGACCGTAACTGAAATTTTGGTTGAATCCGGAACCGGAACCAAAAAATCCCGAAACTTCCTGCGCAACACTAGAATCGGTGCCCCCCCCCCCTTTCCCTCTCCTGTAATCAACAAAATCTAGTATTGGGGATCTAGTATTTGTAAAAAAATTTCTAAATTACACAAAAATTAAAGGTCTTCGATAAAGACAATGATGGATTTATTTCACCTTTTGAATTGCGTTTTGTTATGCAAAATTTAGGAGAAGACCTTACAGATTTTGAAGTTAAAGAAATGATTAGAGAAGCTGATTTGGATGGAGATGGGAAAGTTAACTTTAATGGTTTGATTTAAAATTCTATTTGAAAAGAAGGCTCCCTTCTTTTTTTAGTTTATTTGACCTAAAGTAGGTTCATTGCGAATTGGACACATATCACTGGAATCTCTCTAATAGGCGCCTCTTTACATGGCACTTTACTTCAGCCTAACTTCCCTCTATCACTTTCTATATCAGTTCTATTCGGTCCCACATTAGAGTAATTAAAAAGGCTTAACTGTAGATTGTTTTGAAGCCAGAGAAAGGAGCCCTCGCTTAGTATAAGCAGGAATTTAGATGAATATACAAATTTTTAATTTACATATTTCAGAATTTGTCTATATGATGAAACAAAAAGTTTGATACATATTTTTAATCATTCTTATGGCGAGATAAAATATTCACTGTATAAAATTTAATAAGAAAACGAGATGTGCACGGGTTTTTAGAAAATTTTTAGACAGAAAATATTTAAAGACGATGTATTTTATATTTATATTGAGTCCTATTCTTGATAAATTTTTATTTTTTTGTTCAAAAAATATTTAAGTTGATTTTCTAAATCTTTTGTTAGGTGCAAGTCGAGTTTGTTAACTAGTGGTGTAGATCATGAAAAATCTTGATACCTGGGTGCAAGCCGAAAATTATTGTGGAAGGGCAGCTTTTCGAATTTTCATCTACTTTCTATTTTGAGCGCTGGGGGCATCAATTTTTGGGATTTAAGAGAACTCAAAAATTAAGGATATCCGCAACCAAAACTAAGAAGTAAATAGAAAAACCTTCGGTTAAACCGGCGCCCTAGTGCTGACAACCATTACAATACTTAGGTCATTTAAGTTTAACAATCGAATTTTCCAAAAACTTTTTACATAATAAATTTATTGTACTTGAACAAAATGTATAAAAACCAAACAAATATAGCAATATACAGATAGCAAAAATGGAGAGAAAATGATTAATTAATTATATAAATCAGTGTTCTACTATCGCCGCCTCGACTGCCGAACTGGTGAATTTATGACATTATCCGTAACATTTCTCAGTTGTCGCCCAACATAGTCGCTTCGGATCGGCACAATTACATTATTACCGGAGAAGGTTACACGTCTGCTTCTTGGCGGAGGTTCACCCGATTCATTGAGAATTCCAACTGGTTCAAGTTGTGCATAGGCAGCCATATTTACAATCTGTGGAAAAAATTATTTTTTGGGATTATTTCAGGCAGAAACACACCTGTTGTCGCATTATTTGCTGGACATCAAGGCCTAGACGATGAGATGGCGGATCGTGTACATCCTCCCGCGCTAACGCTGTTCTCGCCAGGGAAATTGTTTCTCTCATTATTGGGCGCCCAATTACCAGTTCCACATAATCATTCTTTGAAAAAAATATTAAGAATTCTTTAAAATATTTTTAAAATTTCTACCTCACTAAGAGACCTGACCATCAAATGCTTTGCCACCTCCGCTTGAGTTACTCGCACGCTGTCCACGTAGACAATGTGATCATACTGCCTCAGATGTGGTGAGCACAGTGATTCTGGCTCCACATTGGTAACAAGAACGCGATTATCTCTCGTTTTGATGGAAAGGCCAAGGGAGGTGCCGCGAACTCGATCAATTGTTACTAACTGAAAAAAAGAGAGATTTTTTCCTATTTCATTTAGTCTTTTAATTACCGAATATCTATATCCTCTACGTTTTTCTATTGCTGTCCGTATTTCCTGTGGCAAATCATCAGCCAGCTGTGCTTGGGGTAATCGTTGTTGTTGAGGTTCGTCACGTACAATAGATGTTGCTGTTCTCTCCGGCGATCTTTCTGTGTTGATAACACGGCTACTGGTACCCAGCCTCCGAACCAAAATATTCGCGACAGGAAAGGTTATGCGCAGAATCCTGAAGAATGCATCCACGTCTCTAATCTTACGATCATTGACCGTTAATACTTTGTCGCCGACATGCAAATGACCGTGTGCTGGAGACCTTCGTTGGACGCTCGTTACAATCAAACTAAAAAATGATTGTATATAATTAACAGACTACACAAAAAAGTAATTAAACTCACGATTTATTAAGCTTAACTCCAAGTAGTTCATTCTCTTCAAGTGGAATTGACACTAGCACTGTTGGCCTAGACGTTTGTTGCCTTGTATTAGAGTTGTTGGATGAATTTGACGATGACCTTGAAGGAGTCCTTGAAGTACTAGAACGCCGCATTTGAATGGCACCAGCAATGGAGTGTGTGGCTACGAGTAACGGAGAGAGGAACAAGTGGTTTGTGAGTTGGACGTGAAGATGATAGCTTTAACAAGCTTTTATAGGAAGAAATTCCCAACTTTTTAACAAAAATCATTGACTATTTAAACACCTAAAACGTCGAAGTGTGCATATCAATTCTTCAAGAGATCACCTCAACAGCTTACTATTATTTTCGCCTTTCTTCAAAAGCAAAACGGGCATTATTCTCCATGTATTACTGCTTTGCTTCATGTTTAATCATCTTGACTGAGTCGGTTCTGTTCATTTCTGCACTTCTGATTGTATGTGGCAAGAGCAAAAGGAAGATTAAAAAAGTAAGTTTCTCAAAAATTTTTTCAAAAAAATTAATATCCCCCACATCTTTTAGGCAGGACCGAAAACTTTAACGGACCGTCAATTGAAGAACAATCAGCAGCAGTCGCCGAAAGCAAAATCGTCTCCTATGAAAAAACAAAAGCAAACACAAGCAGCAGCTGTTCCGGAGAAATCTTCTGATAAGTTGGGGGCCTCTCCTAAAAAAGCTGAGACCGAAACAGCGATTAATTCTATCGACGATGTGGTAAGTTACAAGGAATATACGGAAAACTATATAAAAATATTTTTTAAGCATCCAAGTAATGAAGCACCAAAGCCTAGAAAGTTTGCGCTCGACGAAAAGGCGGTAAGAATTTTTTTGATTTATTCAAAATCAAATTGTTTTTATTTCTAGAAAAAAATCAAGGATCAAGGAATCAAAACGTTGAACCCAAATGAGACGATTGGGCATGTTTTTTCCAAAAGAGAAGATTAATAAGCTAATGTGGAGATAAAGATGTTTTCGATATATAAATATAATGTGTAAATTAATAATGATAATTTTTGTTTGTTGCTGTTTTGTTAAGAAATTTATTAAAAATTGAGTTGATGAATGATTGTGTAAATTGGTTGAATTTAAGCAAAGTTATATTCGGATTGGATCGAGGGGTTAAAAATTATATTTTCGTAATCCTAATTTTCCACAAATTTTATTTTTTTTTGGCATTGTGTTTATGAAGTATGAGACAATAGAAAAGAGAGAGACGAGAGAAAGTTAGAAATGGGAAATTTTCATTAAATTGGGGAGTTCAGTTTTTCAAGATTTCTGTCGTAAAATTTTACTTTAATTCGTTTTTAGCTCATTTCATTGACTACAATTATTCGAATTTTCTTTTTATTAACGACTAATGAGTTTATTTGAAGGGCCTGCTGTTGTTGTTTCAAAGTTTATTTTTAATCTAAAAATTCTTTTATTTTGTCAATTTTTAGCGATATTTCAAAAGGCAAAGCAAAATATCCAATTAAAGTAATTAATTCAATTGACAAACCGCCAATATTTCCATCGTTTGATTATCGTTCAGAACCTATATTTTCTGATGTTTTGCAAAATGAGCTTCCATTGAGAGTTTGTTTTTTTTTAATTTTAAATTTAATTTTTTTAATTTAAAATTAGTAAAGACCTTCTAACATTTAAAAATCAAAATTTTTAAAAAAATCTAGGCAGGCCCGTAGCCAGGATTTTGTTCGTGAGGGCCAAGTGCGTAAAATTTTACTGCGCCGAATTTTTGACGCCAAAGGCGAAAATGTTCACTTTTTTGCCCAATCTCCTCCCCAAATTTTTTCTTTTCTTCATCTCAACAAAAATTTAAATTTGAAATCTAGGCCTAGACTCTAAACTTGATTTATAAACTCATTTCCCAAAAATTTTCAGCAATTTTGTCAATGTTTGGATCAATGTTCTGCTGCCAATGGTTGTTTATGTATAAATATGAGTTCAATAAAATTAAGCAAAGTTTGTTTTGAAAAATATTTTAATTTTTTAAATTTCTTTTTTAGTCTGGACGTGTCGAAAATGTTGAAAAATTAAATGGAAATCCTTTCAATTTTTCTCTTTATGAATGTTCTGATGAATGTGGGTGTGCTGGGAAATGTAAAAATAATTTGGGAGGGAATCAACAAAAATTTAAACTCGAAGTTTTTCGAAAATCTTGTGCTGGTTATTCTTGTAAAACTTTGAAACAGATTAAAAAAGGTTTTGTTTTGGTAATTCTTCGGCTGAGGCCCCCTCTTTTTTTATGTTCTATTTCTTTCATTTTCTATGAAATTTCTATGAATTTTTTATAAGCTTTGAAAGAGCTCTGACATATAAATTATTATATGTTAAGTGTAAGTATAAGCAAAAAAGCTCAAAATGGTCAGGTAAGCATAAAAAAGGGGAGGGCGTCAACCGAAGAATTACCTTTCTTTTTTTCTAACAAAATTAATTTAAATTTTTAAAAAGGAAGTTTTATTTGTTATATGGCTGGAGAAGTTTTATCTTCAAATAATAACAGAATCTCAGAAAATTTTAGTTTTACATTCAAAGACGAAACTGTAACGGATTTTGTTTTAATTTTTAAAAATTTCTTTCCTTAGCGCCAATTTTCTTTTACAATTAAAATGGATAAATTTGCAAACGAATCGAGATTTTTTAATAGTTCGTAAGTTTTCTTTTAAATAAATTTTTAAGAAATTTTAATTTTCAAATTTAGTTGTTGTCCTAATTTAATGCCAATAACTGTTTATCGTAAATGGATAACTCCAGAAAGGCCTTTTATTGCTTTTGTTGCTATTAATGAAATTAATGTTGGGGATGGTAGGAATTTAATTAAATTTTTCGAATGTTTTATTCAGTGTCATTAATTTTTTAATTTATCACGGTCTTTTTCGGTTTGTCAGGTTTCGGCAGATCTTTTCGGACTCGACTATTACGAACCAGTGAAAATTAAAATAAAGGCAAATTAAAACTACATAAAATGTTTCACAACCTCAGTCACACTTTAAATTTTATTTCTAAAATCTCCAATTTTGGGTGTTTTAGATTCTTTTCTGATCATTAATGTTCGCTTATAAACTAGAGCAATCTTTTGTGTAAAAATCTGTTTTAAATTTAAATTTACTATAAAAATCATATTTTTTCAGAACTTTGTTTTTATTATGGTGATTATTGGATATATAGAAAATTGTTACAAAATCCAAAATTTTTCTGTTATTGTAATTCACAATTTTGTGTTTGGCCGCCAAGAAGGGAAGAAATTAAAGAACCAGAAAAATTTATTAAAAAAATTAAAAAACAAATAACTTGTCAAAATGAAGAATTAAAAATTAAATATTTGGAGAAGAAAAAGAAAAATTTGGAAATTAATGGAGAAAATGAAGGAGAGGAAGAAAATGAGTAGTTGATTGAGATGAGAATAAGTATTTATTTTTCAAATTATTAGGTGGGGACATAATTAGTGACACATTTTTTCAATCGCGGATAAAAATATTAAACTCTAATATTTTTCTCTTAATTTATATATCATTTTAAAGATTAAAAAGTCCGCTTTCATTTCATATATAACTTGATAGACTTTTAATTAAATTTCAAATTTTATAAATTAAAGAATGTCTCTAACCCAAGCTGAAATTCACAAGCTTTTGCGGAAAATTCTATAATATAAACAGAAATAAACCAATCCATTTGAAATTTTTCATATATGTTCATCATGGGTTAGTCCATCAAATTATTAAATTTGAGATTTTTTTGTTAGGTATTTTAAAAGTTATAGTCGAAAAAGTCGATTCCGGCATATTTTACAAATTTCAAATTTTCTTGAAAAATTTTTGAATTTGATATGACTTGTAATATACCATTCGAAAGCCCTTTCTGAGTTACACAAGATAGTTTTAACAAAATTTTATAAAATTTTTAAATTAAGAATTAAATTTACAAAAAACCCTAATTTCAAGTAAAGGAAAAAGCGAGTAGAGATACCCCCAAAAACCCAAAATTTCGAACTTTGCGTAGAACTTTGCGTTGCGTTCGTTTTGTTTTCGAACTTTGCGTTATATATGATATGAAAGCGGACTTTTTAAGCTTTAAAATGATATATAAATTAAGTGAGAAATATAAGAGTTTAATATTTTTATCAGCGATTGAAAAAATGTGTCACTAATTATGTCCCCACCTAATATTTTTCGTTGAAAATGTTGTCAATTTTTAAATATTATTTTTAAAATTAAAAATATATTTACAGGTTCTATGAAATTAAAAAAGTTTAAAAATTATTCTAAGAATTCTAAAAATAAACATCCTTTTATTATTACTTTCCAATCTCACTATCAGTCTTCAGGCATATTTCTTATCCTAAGTTTTTCAAATTAAACTAGTTAAAAATATGAAAAATTAAACTTTTAATTCGAAACTTGAATTATTTTTGAGTTTTAAAAGAACTAAACCCTTTTCCCCCTTTTTTGGCCAATTTCGCCCCCTTTTTGTGAAGCCATGCCTCCTTTTGGTGGTTTGGAAAAGGGTCACCCTGATCAGGGGGTTTACTGAGGTCCAACTATTTTAACTCAATTTATGAAAATAATTGAAACTGAAAACTTTAATGGGAAGATTTTTTTCTCTTTCCTTTATTGTTAGAGAGAAGAAAGCTTCCACTTTTCGTGGTCTGGAAAGCTTGAGTTATTATTAATTATTGCTTTAATTAATTAAATAATTAAGTTTATTCTGTCAATTATTTTAGTAGATGTTTTTATTAATTTTTTAAACAAAGTCCACGCAAATATTTTTTTGAAGAAATTGATTGATTGAGTTTTATACTTTCACTTTCCATCTTTTTAATAAAAGTAAAAGAAAAATTAATTTTTATATGATCAATGAATACAACAATTTATTCGGATAAATAAGTGGATCGTTAAATAAATTATTTTTAATTCTTTTTCTCCAAATTGTGTGGCGTGCAAAAGCTTTTTTTTCAAAAATGCTTTTATTGTGTGTAAAATCGGCGAAAAAAGTCTGCGCTTTCCACAAAAATTGCTTAAAATATATCGCCAGTCTGCTAATAATTTTATATATTTTCTAACCATATAAAGCTGGAAATGATTTTTTAGTTAAAGTAAAAAGTCGGTTAAACGTGTGTACTTAATATCCAAATATCCGTCGTTAGTGAATCCTACATATAACCGATGGGATTTTAGTCCCCTACACGCTTCTAGAGATCAGTATTTTCAAAAATTCTGGATCTGGATTTAGGTTAGTAACCTGGACAGGATTCTGGACTCTGGATCCAGGAAAAATGCAGACTGGATCCAGATCCTGTCCGATCTCTACACACTTCTCCCTCTGTTTATTTATAATTTACAATATACCGAAATTATTTAATTAAAAATCAGAATGAACGGCGAAAATATTCAAAATGAAACAGAAATTAAAACAATTTGTGAATCTCAAGTTTCTGAACATAAAATGAATATTTTGGACAGAGAAATTGGTTATTGTAGATATGGAAAAGGACAAACTAATTTTCTCTTTATATGTGGTGGAGTTGGTTGGTTTTTTATTTTCTAATTTAACAGATAATAATGTCCAACCTCGCTATAAGTATTATAAAAAGATTGTATCTTATAATGAAGAAAATCTTAATTAGAAGGTATCACAGCTTCCCAGTGTAGCTATCTATATCTTAAAATTTATCCTAAATGAGGTATGCTATGTGTGTATCCCTATAGTGAGTTTTAACAGTATTTACCTCAATATAGTATTTATCTCACGTATATCTGAATGCGGATACCGAAATCCTCGTTCAAATTTTGGTTAGACAGCCCCTCTCTTAATAAAAAAAATTTCCTCCTTTATAAGGTTGCTACAAAAAAGATTATCCAGAAAGTATGCTTTCCGCCTACGACCCAGAGGTTGTAACAATTATTTGTATCGACCCCCCAGGTTATGGTACAAGTCGACCACCAGACAGAAAACAAGAAATTAACCGATGCAAAAAAGATGCTGGTTATTGTATTAAATTAATGGAGGTTAAAAAATTGGAAAATTTTCAAAAAAATCTTTTTCCAAAAAAGACTCTAGAATTAACTCCTTTTGTTGTTCTGGGATGGAGTGAAGGTGGAAGAACAGCAATACACGTTGGGGGACAAGGCAAAACTTTGGTTAGTCATATAATTCTTCTTTCAACTTCTACACAAGTTGACTTTCGTGGAGATATGGCTTTTAAAGGTGAAAAAAATTAAAAAATATTTTCAGTTGATAGTACTCCTTGATATTCAGAAGTTATTGTCAACCCTCCAAAATCAAGACAAATTACGACCATAAATAAAGAATTTTTAGGCATAATTTCGAAAATATGATATTTAAAACTTTTAAATTTTTTAAATAGTTAACATGAAGGTTTTGAATACCCATTTTTGATTTTATAATGTGAAAGATGACGTTAAATTGACGTAACGTCGCAGTTTTCCCTTATTTTGATAAAAAAGAGAAAAATCGAAAAATAATTTGTGTAATAAAAAAATTTTTTTGCTCATCCTAATATGAGGATGACTCATCTCTCACCCCTCGTCTCATCCCAACAGTCGCCTATAGATATCCAAATACTAGAGATACACCTCAATTTAGGTGGTCATTGTGTGGGAGAATTGCATAAACGATACCTCATATTTAAAATACGCCTGATTACAAAAATTAAAAAAAATTTGGCCCTAAGGGTGAGGTACGACTGACTTTATGTTACATATAATTTTTAAATTTAAAATAAAAATTTATTTTTTCCCTACAAAGGTATGCGAAACACTACACATTGGTTGCCCACAGCGAAAGAAAGTTATTTACAACATTATTCGGAAGAATTTCTTAGAGAACAATGGGCAGCATTGTGTGATGTTGTTGCTATGTAAAAAATGTTTAAATTTAAATTCTAATTAATTTTGTTTCAGAGTTTATAGAGACTTGGGTGGGCGTTTTCCTTCCGATCAAGTTTTGTCTTCACTTAAAATGCCTGTTCTAATAATTTATGGTGCTTTAGACCGATTTGTTTTGGATCCTAAATTAATGAGCAATAAAATAAAGAATGCTAGGTAATCGAAAAAAAAATTTTTTTGAAAATAAAAATGGCGGTACTACATAGAATTCTCGCAATAAACTAAATAAAGTTTTGAATCCCCTCTAAAAAGATTTTGGTTAAAAAGAAGTCAAATTTTTGGAAATACAATTTTTGGCCCTATCCAAAAAAAGGGCGAAATCGTTTTTTTTTCATTACCTGCAAGGACAGGAAAAATGGAAAGGTCCGTCCGTGTTTTGTCTGTCCGTGCCCATGCGACTCCATTCTTCCTTTCCATTTTTCCTTTCCTTGCAGGTAATGAAAAAAAACGATTTCGCCCTTATTTTGGGATAGTGACCAATTTTTAATCACAATTTTGAAATAATTAAAAATTAGAATTGAATTTGAGCCCTAATCACCTCACTTTAACTACTGAGAATTTAATTTTTAAAGAGTAGAAGTTCATGCGCGAGGGGGCCACGACTTACATATTAAACATTCTCGATGGTTCGCACAGATTACAACAAATTTTGTCAAAGAGACAATTTCACCTTTAATTGCTAATAAAAATGGAGGAGTAAAAATTAAATAAAAAAGGAATTTTTTAGAAAAGTTTTGTTTTTTATAAAAATTAAAATGGCCTTTTACCTACAAAAACATTTACAAAGATTAATCAATTCTCTAACTTTACTACCTTTATTTGTGAATAAATATACAAACAAGTTTTTTTTGTTTTCTTTAATTTTTTAAATTTTCGTTCCGCTGTGTAATTGTGAAAATAAATAAATTTAAAAGAAGAAATATTTTTCTTTTACTTAATTAAAATAAGAAGTTTTTTTGTTTTGTTTATTGTTCTGTTTATCACGATTCAAAATTAATTTCTTGACAAATTAAAACACAAATTTAATGTTGATTTAAGTTAAAATTTAAAAACTTAGAATTCATGTCAAAAATCAATTTAATTAACAAATATTTACTATTAGAAAATTTACAATTAAAATCAAAAATTAAATAAAGAGGTACAGTAATTTTATTTAAATATTAATTTATTCTCGAGAATTTGGCATTGTGTTATTTTTCTTTTTTTCGGTTAAGGACGATTCAGTATCGCCGATTCAGTATAGCCGATTCAGTATAGCCGATTCAGTATCCGCCGATTCAGTATATTGCCATAACTTTCCTGATATTCGACCGATTTGAATAATTCTCATATCATTCGAAAGGTCTCATAATCCGGCATCTTTTTTATAATTGGCCCGATCTGATCTGATCATCACAAAAAAAGTTACAGCGTCAAACCCGATTCTTTATGCCTGTGACGTCGTTTATCAGTGATAACTTTTTGTAGAGTGATAAGATCATGTCAGTCCAACTATGAAAAAGATGCAGCACCCCGAGACCTATCAAATCATATATAATAATTCCTACAATATTGATCGGGCAAAAAGTTATGGCCAAAAAGCCCAAATACTGAATCGGCCAATACTGAATCGGCGATACTGAATTGGCGATACTGAATCGGCGATACTGAATCGTCCCCTACCCTCTTTTTTTTCTTTATTTCGATTATTTCTAAGTTTTATTTTTCTTTTTACATTTTTAAAAAAATTTTTGTTTATTTTTTCTTCTTCGTATTTTTTAAATAACCGTTAAATTATTTTTAAAGACTAATTAATTAATTTTAATTTCCTTCCAAATATTTTTATTGACTTTAATTTTATATTTTCTTCACTTTCTAAAAATGGACGTAAGTTTTATTTCTAAATTTATAAAAATAAGAACATTTTAGTTATCTCGTATTGATCAACTTAATGATGAAAATAAACATCAACAAATCTATGAGCATTTGGCTAAGGTAAAGTTTCTTAAAACACCCAATACCCCTTTTAATAAGAGATTGAGTTTTCTAAAGTTCTGGGCCCGAACTAATTTTCAACTTTTTCTTCCTGAAATCTAGGAAACTAATAAATGCCTAGGGCTGGACTCTTAGTACAGAAAAGAAGCCACAGGCTTTGGCTCCAAACATAATCTTTAACAGCCTCAATTAAACCTTCCAATTCCAGGTCGATGACACCAACATCCACTCGGATCCGGAAATTCTCTGGCGTTTTGGTTTGATTTTTAAATCTAAAATTTTTTAGAAAAATCTTAAATTTCAGCTCGTTCTTGTTATTTTCTTTCTTTTCCATTGGACAATAAAGACCCAAAAAAGAAGCAATTACTAGATGAAGGTTATTTATATGCTGAGAAGGCATATCAACTTAAGAATGAAGACTTTGAGGTTATTAAGTGTTTTGCTGCTGTGACTGGAGCGAGAACTGACTTTTTGGGTACAAAAGAGAAGATTGAACAAGGGAATTTGTTTAAGGAATTGCTTGACAAGGCTTTGACTATGAATGCGGAGGAGTATACTGTTAAGGATTTTTTGGGGGGTTTTACTAATTTTTTGTTTTATTTTTTAGCTTTTGCATATGCGTGGCCGTTTTGCTTTTTCTGTTGCTAGTCTTACTTGGCTTGAACGTAAAGCGGCTGCTGCCTTCTATTCAAAACCTCCTGAAGCGACTTTTGAGGAGGCAATAGATGTAAGATTTAAAGTTTTAAGTAGAAGATTGAGGCCTTGAAGGAGGTACTGGGAATTGATTTTTCGAATCCATTAACGTTGGCTTCATTCTTACAATTAGCATGAAACCCACATTAAAGATGTAAAAATTTATTGGGAGCCTTTGTATCTTCAAATTAAATGTTTTACACTTTAAGGATTTTCTCGCTGTTTTGGCTCTTCAGCCGGACTGGTTAGACAATCTCTTCTTTTTGGGCAAAACTTATCTGCTCAAGAAAGATAAAGAGACTGCAATTAAATATCTTCAACGTGCTGTAGACGCTTACCAACAAAACGAGAATGAGCAAGAACCGAGTATGGTTACTGAAGCTAAAGCTCTTTTGAAGAAACATTACAAATAAGACAATTTAATTTAGTTTTAAAATGAAAATAAAATACCTACCTATATTTAATAGAATATTAGACTATATAGATTCTCATGTTTATAAGTTTTGTAAACATTTTTGATAAATTGATTTTTTAAATATTTTGTTGTTATTTTAAAAGTTATTTTGTCTTGATTTATTTTGTAATATGACTGAAATAAGGCTATAAATCTGGAATAGAGTACATCAAAACTCGTTAATTTTTTGCTTGAATAACCTTAGAAAATTTTAATTTTTAGACAATTTTTCAAAAACATACTACTACCATTTCTGATTTCCTATCTTGTGATGGCAACGGTTACTACTACAGGCGGAATGTCTCGTTTACGAATTTGGATGGTAAGGAAAATTTTGTAGTACAAGTGTTTTTACTTTGGATTTAAGGTCACTATAGTTTGTTGATTTTACGTGTCCAACGATCCAGATTTTTACTGGAAAAATCCTACCCTTACTTTGACTGTCGAAATCCTTTAGTTTTGTCGAACTCATTAATTTAACTCCACCTTTTTTAAATGAACTAATTAAAGCATCTCATTTATAGATGCCAGTTCCGGAAGGAGATATCTCTCACCATCAATTAGACAACTTTAACAACCTCAAACTTTGGAGCGACGACAGCCTTCCGGAAGATCCACGTCTTATGGTGCCTTTGGGATTCGACGAAGACCATCAACCAGTCGATCATCAACCGCGCAAATTATCATCGAGTATGAGCTCTTCGAGTGGATATAGTGGAAGTAGCGTGAACACATCTGCTGAAATTGCAAAGGAGAATTCTACTGTGGAAATGAAAATTGGGACTTGGAAGAAGCTGGTTTGAATTTAGAAAATTTTTTTAAAATATTTTTTAAATTAGCCTGAAAAGACTTGTGGGTTCTGCTACATTCAATATAAACGTCTTCGTCAAACTCTGGGCTTGCCATTTCCTCGTGCAACTGATCCTGGCTTTTGGGTTGGACACTATACTAAAGATGATGACGGGAATGTTGTGTATATATTTTTATTTTGAATAAAATTCTATTTTTATTAATTTTAAGTTGTCCTCAATTGCGTAAGCTGATGTGCCCTCTCTGCTTTGCTACTGGCAAAAAGGCGCACACTCTTAAGTTCTGTCCGCTGCAAAAGTGAAGATATTTAAATATAATGTTATATACCAAAAAACGCAAACCGGAACTGCCAAATTATTTCTACTTTTTTAAATCTCTCATTGCTCTCTTCTGGCAAGAAAACTCTCCTCTCTTATTTTTCTGATTTATTTTGGTATATTTTACTGATATTATATATTACCTCTATTTTTCTTAAAAAAACTTCTTACAAAAAAGATTGTACTTGATATATCCTATATCTCTCCGTATATTTTATAAAAGGGTGTAACAGAGAATTTTGGGACGAAATGTCACCTCAGAAAAAATTTTCGAAAAGAGAAAAGCATGATTTTAATTGCTTATGTCAGCCCTGTTTTTTGAAAAAAAATTTCTCTTGTTACACCCTTTTTCTCTAATATTATACTCTATTTATTTAGTAATATATTATTTAATATTGTTATGTGTGAGTTCCAAATATTTTAAATATTTACAAAAAAATGGAAAAATATTTTACATTCCAGTATTTATATATTCATAATATTATTATGGTTGTTATTTTGTATTTCCACAATTTTTACATTGCCAAAGAATAAAAATCCTGAAAAAATCTTTTTGTTTAAAAAGAGATTTGAATATCTAAAAAATTATTTTTTTTGGATTTTACTAATTTTTAATTATTTTTTGATAGAAAAAATGTTTTCAATTAACGACCATTTGATTACTGTTAAAGAAATGATTAAGACTTGTGCAGTTGATGTGCGTGATGAATGGCCAACAAATCCAGCTAATTATGCAAAAAGTTAGTTTTTATGGGTTTTGAACGTTAATCTTTTTCCTGGGATATAGGGGCACCTTAAGTTTCCCTCTGTAGTGATGAAATTCGTTTAAATCTTGTATCAGTGAATTTTAAGTCTAAAACTTCACTTCTTTTTAAAGGTGAGACAATTCAACGAGGGACCTTTGGAGTTATCCGCTTTGCTGAAGCAAGTGATTATTCATTTGGTTTGGATGGATTTGAAACTCGTACCTGTGTAATTAAAACAATTTATTTACAACGAATATTCGAAGACATTTTGAAAGATGATGAATTGGAAAATTCTCAAGGACAATTAGACATTCAAAGACATGTTGGCAATTTTAGTAAAAATGTTTCGCCAAAACTTTTTCATTTCTATCAACGGTTAATGATGGAAATGTTTGTTCTCAGCAGGTATTTTAGAAAAATTTACAATGTTTGGGACTTCTGGAGTCCGAATTCGTGAAGAAATTTGCCTTTTCGTTATCCCTATTGGATTAGTTAAGATTTCCTTTTTAAGTTTCCGTTAGTTTAGATGGTATCACGACTTTTGCGCCGGGAACATTTGCGCCGCGACTTTTGCGCCGCGACTTTTGCGCCGGGCGACTTTTGCGCCGCGACTTTTGCGCCGCGACTTATGCGCCGGGCGACTTTTGCGCCGCGACATTTGCGCCGCCATAATTTTAAAAAATAATATCTACAGTCGGACCTAATTATAGTGTACTTCTTAAAAAATGGTCCAGGAGCTGAAGGAATTTCAGGAAGCACAATAGTTTCGGTAAGTACAATAGCCCCCTCCAATAAACTGACCCCCTAGAGGGGTCATCTTCAAAGAAATTGACTTTTTCAAATCAGGATATTTGGTCTGCTACCCCTATTCAGGCATGATTTTCTGCCAGAAGAGGGTGCACTATAGTATAGGGTTGTCGGGTCCTGATATCTGGATCTGAAAAAGGCCGGATAGCTGAAAATTTTAGGTCGGATATCGGATCCGGATCTTGATATCTGAAGATCTCCAACTATTCTATATCTTCTGTAGTAAAATCCGGCTGTAGTTTTTCATAATTATTAACGATAGTGGCGGCGCAAAAGTCGTCCGGCGCAAAAGTCGCGGCGCAAAAGTCCCCCGGCGCAAAAGTCGCTCGGCGCATAAGTCGCGGCGCAAAAGTCGCGGCGCATAAGTCGCGGCGCAAATGTTCTCGGCGCAAAAGTCACGGAACCGTTTAGATAATATGTAGCATAACCCTCAAATTCTAATTATACAAATTAACTTTATAGGTGCCGACATGCCAATATTATGCATTTACACTCTGCATTTATATCTGACGGTGATTTGCATATTGTCCTTCCTCGTCTTTATGTGCTCAAAGATATTGTTTTGATGTACAAACGATTGAGACAATCAGAGGTTTTTTAAAAATAATTTTCTAATGTTTATTTTTAGCCTATTCCAATATCAATAATTGCCAAAATTTTGCGCCAGATTTGTTTGGGACTGGATTTTTTGCAAAAAATTGGAATTATTCATAGAGATGTTCAACCCGAAAATATTTTTTTGACTCGGGGAGCTACTGTAAAACTTGGCCATTTTTCTCAATCTAAGACACTATTTGAAGAAGTAAATGATGAAGACAATGAGTTACTTAGAGAAGTGGGACAATGCAAAACGCCCGTTGGACGTGAGGAATTTATGTGTATTGAAAAGGTATTTTTTATTTTTAACAGTGAACTACTAAAGTTTGGTTATTTCGTCAAGAACTTCCCATTGATAACAAGGGGTGTTTCAATCACCATATATTGGCTTTGGTTATTGACGGATATAGAGATTTTGGGTTAAATGCACGGAGTCAAATTTTCCAATATTCTGGAATCTTTAAATTTTTTAGTGGTCAGGACCAAAGATTTGCACTAGGTTTTCAACCATTCTCTGCAAATTGGTACAATAAATTTTATAATATTTTGGGAGCAGTTTGTGAAAAAGCCCTTGTCATTTCGTAAACTTGAAATTCATTTTTAATTCTTTTTAGCAATTAAATCTCGAATTATGGTGTGAACATCAACGTTCAGAAGCAGAATATAGCTATTCTGCTGATATGTGGTCTCTAGGTGTTTTAATTTTGCATATGGTCTCTTACTTCCCAGATGAGCAATGCCAAAAGTTACATAAAAATTTTGCTTTAATAATGCATGAAGAACAGCTTCCATTCATTTGGCTTACTGTTGATATGCTTCAATTACGTTCTCGTTTAGTTAAAAGTGGAGGAGAAGAATTGAAACTTTTTCTGAATGATCATCTTTTAACTGTTAATCCGAAACAAAGATCTTCAGCTTCGTCTCTTTTAAAAACTCAGGAAATGAAGAAATGGTGTTTGGCAAATGTGGAGGCTGATTCTGCTTTTCTACGTGCACATTTTATTAATGAAATTGATTTTGCTAATCAAATGAAGCTTGAGGCTGATTCGCCAAATTATGATGCTTTGGAAACTGTTTGTTTTTATTAAAAAATAATTATTTATCAAGGAGAATACCTCTCCTATTTTTAACATTTATTTATTTTTAGATCTCCCTGTTGAGAATTTTCTGAAATCTGTATTTTCCCTTATACTTTTAAGCGTCTCATAATTTTTATGTAAACTTACCTACCGCAGAATTTTTTTCTTAAGCTACTTACATAAAAGTCGGATTGTGTCAATTTTGTCATTACCTCTACTTATTTCGTCAGAATAATTGGGTAGTAGCAGATCGAAGCTTTACATTTAGTTATGTTTCTGTGTTAGACTAGGCTTGTGATACATTGATATGCATCCTTTCCTCCCTCTCTTTCGGTTGACTTGATTTGTTTACAATTAGTACATGAACTAGGGAAATTTAAATTACTAATCAAACTGAGTGACCTTTTTAAGCTTTTATACCTTTTATCGAAAAAAGTCATATATTAAATAATGAATATTTCCTCTATATTAAATTTTAGAAGGATATTCCAGCAGAATTTTATTGGGATGATCGTTGGAGACTTTTAGAGGAAACTGAATTATATTTTTTGTTAGTTATTCATTTACCTAATAGAGGACCTGTCTCAAAAGGGTTTTTCTTTTAATTTATTTTTAAATAAAAAAAAATATATTTTTAAGACAATTATTCAAATTTTCACATCCAGAACCTTTCTTTCGACAAATTTATTTGCAATTATTGTTAACTAATTTAGATTTTACTAATTTGTTGAAAATCGATTATGAAGTTAGGCAAACTCTTTTTGAATTTATTCGTCAATATTCGACAAATCTTGGACAAAATACAGCTATAACAAGTAAATATTTATTTTAAAAAAGGAGGGGGTTTGGTTAGGTCTCGGGATGATATTTCCATAATTTAAATACTCCTCGGTTTAGAACATTTTCGACCCGAACAGTATTTTGGAGGGAAAAGTAAGGTTGCTCACGACCGGTTTTAAAACCAAAAATTTTGATATTTTTTGCCAAAAATTAACTGTTTTTACAAAATTAAAAAAACCGAAAACTTCTGAAAATGAGTGATTTTATTAAAAATTCCACCAAAATAAAACCGGTATTTGTTTAAAACTCAAAACCGAAAATCGATTTTTAAAATTTGGATTAACCGAAAACCGGGGGTACCGGTTAATAACCGGTCGTGAGCAACCCTAGGGAAAAGTATTAGAACAATTAGATAATTTTATCAAGAAAACTCTCCATTTAGTTTTTTAAATTTCATTATTTTTCTAATTAGGAAGACAAATAGAATTGCCTTCAAAAGAAGAGAGGAATAATTGTTTAATAGAAATAGAGATAAGGACTGTTCCACAAACTGCGCGACGTTTAAGACTTTCTTCTATTTCGCCATGAGACTTCTTAAAATTAAAAATTAAGAAATTTTGTAGATGTTTTTTTGACTTTTTTAATTTCTATGGTAACTAATTAATTAAAAATAATTTTTTATTTTATTTATTCGTTAAAACGTAGTATTATTATTTTTCTCATTAATAAAATTTTTTAGATTACGAAAAATGATAAGTCATTATTTTTATAAATGGTTTTTTGTCTCTCGTAATTTGGCGAGTAAAATAAAAATATTTTTCACTATTACACTTTAATAATTTTATTTTTAATGAATTCTTGTTTTCTTTTTGTTTTTTGGTTGTTATGGCTGTACTAATACGTGTACAGAGTATTTTTGTTTATTTAATATTTAAAAAGTAAAGATGATAATTTTCTTTCAATGAATAATTTAAAATTTGTTAATTTTTATTTTATTTTTAAATTGGGAGATTGAATCTAGTGATTTTTAATAAACAGGGGTGAAGAAAAAAAGGTGGTGGATAGTCCAGTTACTATCGGTCAACTGGCCATCCTCATTAATTTTTTTACAAATTTCAGATAATTCTAGTATATTTATTTTGATTATTCTATTTTAAAATGTCTGAATTATTTAAAGATATTGGTGTTTGTAAAAATCAGGACCATCAATTAATTAATGGAGGACAAGAGCTTGAGGTATTTTTAAATGTAAAAATTTAAAAAAATACTTTTTAGGGGAAACTGACAGCAATTTATTTTTCTGCTCATTGGTGCCCTCCGTGTAGAGCCTTTACTCCAGTACTTAAGGAATTTTATGATCAGGCAAAAGCTAGTGGTGAAAATTTTGAAATTGTTTTTGTTTCTTTTGATCGTTCTGAAGGGGATCTTAAAAATTATTTGGCTGAATCGCATGGAGATTGGTTATATATTCCGTTTGGTAGCAGCAATATTAGGTTAGTTTTAAGTGAATTTATAAGTGTTGTTAGTAGTCGTATCTTACTTTAAGCAACCAAATTAGAAAATTTTTTATAATTTTTTAGTGTTTTGGTCAAAAAGTATGACGTGAGCGGCGTTCCAGAACTTATTATTGTTAAATCAAATGGAGATATAATTACTCGAAATGGGAGAGCTGAAGTTCAGGTATCAAAAATTTTATTTAAATAATTTTAAACTTAAATTTAGAGTAGTCAATCGGCGAAGGATGTTATTGCAAATTGGAAGGCAAAAGCTTAAAAGGAAGATTTTAATGTCATAGGAAAATTAAAAGGATTTTTCTGGAAATATTTAAGTAATTCTTGTATTGTGACATACATAAAAATAAAATTTTAAATAGTTTTCTTCAATTATTCGGAGCATCTTCGATTTCTATTTTTGATTTAAAAAAAAAATAAGAATCATTCGAAAAGTTTATCCTTTAAATTTTAATCGTAAAAATATTGTGTAGAATTGGTTTTTTGGATGCTAGGGCAATGCCAAGAATTTTTTTCGTAAAAATACAGTTTAACTCCGCCACAATCTCCGATTAAATCTGGTTGTTTACTCTCCAATTTAGCCTGGTACAAAACAGGATATATCCCTATAATTCTGCGATTTTTCCCTTTCATTCCACTAAATAACTTGTAATCTAATCGTCAGTTATAATTCTAGGCGTTACCCCAACAATACAGAAATTAACAATTGTATTGTTAATTTAATTTACATATAAATTGATGTGAAAATCGTTTTGAAAAAGTTGACATTTTATTATAAAACTAATCTAAAATAATCTTTTTACCAATTTAAATTTAAACCTAAAAATATCTAAACTAAAAACTAATAATAAAATGTCCAAAAAAGTATTTATAAAAGAGAGAGGATACGTCTGAATTTTTTCAAAAATGAACTGTTCAAAAGAGAAATTATATAAAAACAGTCCAATTAATTTTTAAAAAATAATGGGAGTTAGGCTGTTTTTGGACAAATCGTTTCTTTACTTTAATTTTACTCCAAACCGAGCATAATATTCTTCAAATGAACCATTCAGGTTTGTGTTCCTCCACCATCCTCTCCACCATAGACGTTCTCATCGCTATAGGCTATGTAGAGGAAGAGATCCTCTTCGTGATGATCCTTTAAAAATTAAGTAATTATTTACTCAAAAACAAGAAAAAACCGTATACAGTTGCCCCATGGTAGTCATCGTCTGTAAAATTGGTATAAAGTTAAAAGACTTGAAACTATAAAAATAACCTGCGGTATAAGAGTGTTCACAAAGAAGAAAAGTGTTTCTTCTGGACGAAGATGAATCCTTAAATGAAAAAAATATTTAATTTTATAGAACGTGACAGGGAAAGAAAATTAGTTTGGACTTTTGAACTTGTATTAATTTTTCTTCTCTAATTCCCTTATTCATAAATTAGCTCTTGGGTTGAGTAAATAGGACACCTTCATGAGAAAAAAATATAAAGAAAGTCGTCTATAAATTTTATATTTGCCTAAGGAAAATAAAGAGAGGGGTAAAGAAAAAAGCCTATTAGCAAATGAACTATGGGAAGAAGGCTAGAAGCCAAACTTTCGGTCTTATTAGTTATTAATTGACGTTAATTGTGAAATCTATAGCCGATTAATCTAAAAGAAAAAGGGAGATAAAACCGTCTAAAAGACGGTGAAACATCTAACAAACCAAATGTCAAAAGAAAAAAATAGCCAGAAAATACCTTTTATGGATTAAAAAGTAGAATTGCCCAACAGTAAGCTCTGAAGGAACCAAGTACTTTTTCTTATCCAGATCACGTAAGCGAGACTTCGGCGCCTTAATTTAAAATAATTTCAAAATATATCGAAAAACCACAAACCTTCTCAACAATAACAGGAATCCGATCCGGATATTTACGTTTGATCTTCTCCCCCTCAGCTCGGCGCTTCTCAAACTTATTCTCTTCTTTATAAGTCCAATTCATACTTTTAACCATTTTTTCAAGTAAAGTTAAAAAAATTCGATTTAATGAGTAATCTATAAATCAAAAAATGTTTAAAACACGTTATTCTATAAAAAATAAATAAATAGAGGGACGCTGACTTTAACCAAATATCATATGGAAATAAAAATGAAAAGAAACATGAGAAACAACGAAGAAAAAGAACAATCTAGCATGTTTAATTTCTTTAATTCTTTTACTCTACACTATTTCTCTAATTCCTTTTAAACATTTCGCCAAAGAGATTAACATCTAGCGCAATTTTAAAAATATTACTCTTTATTTCAGCTGTTAAAAAGTTCAAAAAGAATTTTTTTTGGAATATTTGTAGAATTATAATGGCTGAAACTGAGAATAAACAGATTGACGAGAAGACTGCTTCAATCAAAAAGAAAAAATCTTATACTGTTGACTTTAAATTAGAAGTTGTTGAATTCGCTAAAAATCACAATGCTTCAGAAGCGTGCAGGCAATTTAGTGTGGATAGAAGACGAATACGTGATTGGACGCAACAAGCTGATAAACTTAAAGAATTAAGGTTTCTGTTTTTTTAAATAATTTTCTTGAATGTTTTCATTGTTTTGACATTCAAGACTTCATTCCAGTCGATTAGATAATTCAGAGTAGATAGGAATGCCGTAATTGACGACCGGACTTGAAGTCCTCCCCTTAACCGAAGTTTAAGTTCAAAGTATTTAGCAACAAATTTTCAACCTAGGTACCAAAAAAATCCCTCAAAACACAATTTAAATGTCTATTTACAACATCCACTTATTAGTCACTGCCAAAATATAATTTACAATTTTAGAAATTCAACTCCATTACATATTCAAAAGCGTCGATTAACGGGAGCTGGGCGTCATATCCACAACGTAGAATTTGAAAAAAATTTACTAGAATGGATTAAAGAACAACAATTAAAAGGAGAAAAACTTTCTCGAAGAATAATTAAAATGCAGGCAAGCCAAATGTCTTCAAATTATCCCGAATGTTTTGAGGTTAAAATTTTATTTTTAAAATTAAAAAAATATTTTTTAAAGGCAAGTGAAGGTTGGCTGCAAAAATTTTTAAAAAGAAATAATATTTCTTGCCAAAATCCAAATCCTTCTGCAAATCAAGAAACTAAAGAATATGAGAAAGAGCTTTTTGATTTTGCCTTGTATTTACAGGAATTTATTAAAAACGAAAATTTAAATGTAAAATAAAAAGGAATTTTTGATTAAAAAATTGATCTTTTCATTTTTTAAATTTGATTCGGTTTATTTCACACGGCGAAATTAAATCAGTATTTTTCCAGTTTCAGAAAAAGCGGGACCTTTTTCTGAAATTGGGAAGTAGAGATCGGTATTTTCAAATATTTTCAAAAATCCTGAATCTGGATTTAGGTTAGTAACCTGGACAGGATTCTTGATCTGGATCCAGGTAAAATCCAGGACGATCAAAAAATGCCTGGATCTTGACTCTGGATCCAGACAGTCTCTATTGGGGATTTAGCTTTGAAATAAAACTTGGTACCCTTTTTATTATTAAAACACTTCTTAATTTCCTCCTTTTTCTAAAATAAAGACATATTTATTCTATATACCAAAGTAATAACAATAAAATACAATAATAATGGGTACGGCCCACCTTGTCGCGGGCCACCTTGTCGCGACCACCTTGTCGCGACCACTTTGTCGCAGGCCACCTTGTCGCAGGCCCACCTTGTCGCAGGCCACTTTGTCGCAAGCCTTCCTTTGATTTTTCTTTTAAGTTTGGCTTAAACTTTGCTCACCACGTGCCGTACTTCATCCCACGGCTACAACAATGGGAATTTGAAAAGGTTTAGAATTTTTGTTTCTTTTTTTAATTTTTTTGTTGATTTCCGTCAGTTTCTGACTGGCAATTTTCAAGTTAGAAGTTTCTGAAGGAACGAAGGTGTTGAAATTAGGAACACGCCGACAAGAAAAACAAACCCAAACTGCTCTGATTAGGGTCACAAATTTAATTAGTGAAGCGCGACAATGGTTTTTTTAATTTTTTTGATAAAGTTTTTAAGTGTTTTTTCCTTTTATTATTTTCTCTTATCCGGGTAAATTCTGCCGGAGTTTGTGACAGAGTAAAACTGAACCAGATTACTCCAGAAAACCCCGATCGTGCCCAGAATGCCTTTTCCTACTCTCCATATCAGCATAAAAATTTTTCACCCTTTGCGACAAAGTGGCCTGCGACAAGGTGGGCCTGCGACAAGGTGGCCTGCGACAAAGTGGTCGCGACAAGGTGGTCGCGACAAGGTGGCCCGCGACAAGGAGGGCGTGTCCCAATAATAATTATAGGGCAATTTTAATTTAAAAATTTTTTAAACGAAAAAATATTAAGTGAATATTTTAGGAAATAAAAGGCACAAACCGAGGCATTAAATAAAATTCTTCTTTCTTTCATTCATTCACTTCCAAGGATATAAAGGAGAATGACAACTCAATTCTAAATGAATAATTCTCTTTCTAGTATCAAGTTTACTCATTTTTTCCATCTGTTCATCATTTAACATAAATCTAATAATTCTTATATTTTCGCTCATTCTTTCCTCATTTGAAGATTTTGGAATAACCGAAAGTCCTTTTTGAATTAAATAATGTAATGCAATTTGGGCATTAGTCTGAAAAATAGAAAAATGTTTTTTCTGTGTTTTGATTGTGAGCAAAGAGGACCCCCTCTAGAGGACCCACAGAATTAGATAACCCCAAAATTTGTATTTTTTTTATTTTTTTGGTCACTGGGTAGCAAGGGCGTAGCCAGAGGGGGGGGGGCTTCCGGGGCTATAGCCCCCCCCCCCCCTGAAATGGGAAAAATAAAAAAATTTTACGAGGGAAATGGACAGAAAAATGATTTTTTTACACCTACAACCTACAAAATTCTCAAAATTTCCGCCTGTCGAAGTTCGACATTTTAGAAAAATATTAATAATTTTTATTTTATTTCACATATTTTTCACGTGCTCTATTTCCTTCCATTTTTTACTCTTTGTACCCTCGATTATAGGGATTAATCATTTTTCTATTTTTTCTCTTCCTTACTTTTAAGTTTCACACACTTTAGCGATTAAAACACTTCCGCCCTTAGTGGCATGAATGAACAATTTTATTTTCCTATAAAATAAAATCCTTTCTTTTATATTATATATATCTTCTACAATCACTTTAATAAAAAACCTTAATAAATAAAACTTTATTGTTTTACATTGGAATAAAAATTATTTATTTTTATTTAATTCTTTGGAATTAATTGGATTGAATTCCAATTTATATTTAATTTTATATTTGAATTAATTTAATTAATTCAATATTATTCTTGATTGTTGCTAAAAAGGACCTGCCGAATTCTGTTTTCGACATCTGGCGAGCACAGGCTTACTCTGGATTAGCAACTATTTTGGAAAATATAGTAAATTTAAAAATTTTTTTTTAAATTTCTAAAATTTTTCAAAAAACTAGAATTAATTTTTTAAAATTAATATAAAAATTAAATTCAAACATAAAGAACTAAAATTTTTTAATCTAAATTGTTTGGAGAATTGAATTTGAGTTAGATTCAAATTCAAGGAAAAATATATTTTTTAGATAAAAATAAAAGGAACTTAGTTTCCGAGGTAAAAGAAAATGACGGAGTACATAAATTTAAAATATGAGACTTCGTTGGTGAAGTTGAAGATTTGTTTAGCCCGGGAAATGCCACAGGACTTAGGGCCTGAAGCAACTGTTAATCAGTTGAGAAGGCAGTTGTACTGGACTAAGGATACGATTAAGGATTTGGAGGAAAGCTTGATGATAATAAGGGAGGCAGATGATAAGATAAAGGAGAAGATTGAGAGATTGCCTGCCTCAGTGCGGGATGAAAAAATGGCACAATACAGTAAATGGGTGAAAGAAGCAGCGGTGAAGAATATTTTAGAAGCTGCAAATACCCATCTATCCAACTGGAAGCAACATCGAGTAAAATTGGCAAAAAGACTGGATATACCAATAGATTTAGAAGAATCAACGAATGAGTCACAGACGTCAAATAGAACAGAAACGAAGAGACTACAAAGGCCACAAATCCAATTGCGCCGCTTTGACGGTAATATAGAAAATTGGTGCTCCTTTTGGGAAACATTTCGTGTTTTAATACACGACGACAACTCGTTAAGCCATGTGGAGAAGTTTAATATTCTGGAATCAATTTTAGATAATGAAGCGAAGGATTTGTTAGGAGGTCTGCAAATGACTAACGACGGGTATAATACGGCAATAGACCTTTTGTTAGCGAAATTTGGAAGTGAAAAGAAGTTGATTCGGTCTTTGAACCATGAACTATTAAATTTACCGAATTCTGAAAGTTTCGAAGAAGATGAGAAGCTTTATTTAAGAATTGAAAAATTGTGTCGACAATTGAAATCTTTGAACCAGAACATAGATGATGCTCCGTATTTCATGACATTAGAGGGAAAAATGTCCGCAAAAGTTTTAGGAAAATATTTCAACATTAAAGATGCGGAAGATAACGACAATTGGAACACGGCAAAATTTAGGAACGCGTTAGGAAGGGCCATAACTCAGGTGAGAAATAAAATTGAGGTAAAGCAGAAAAGCAATTCCGTCCTTAGAGACAAGAAAGAAGAGCCAACCATGAACTTTGCGGTAAATTACTCAAACAAAATCTCTAGAGGTAGAAAAGAAAGGACTAATAGAAGACAATTTGTGGGGCAAAGTTCAAGTAATTCCGGGTCTCAGAGCCCGATAGAAGAACGAACAAAAATAAATTTAAAGAAAATTGAACCACCACCAGTAAAAGGACCCCGCTCCTCGCAAAGAGAGTCAAGCAGCTCAGAAAGTAGGAGCCCAACTAAGTACCCTTGTCAGTTCTGCGATAGACCACACACACCTGTAGAATGTAGCAGTGTTATGACTGCAGAGGATCGGAAAGACAGAGCAAGCGAACTCAGTCTTTGTTTTAAGTGTCTTAAAAAAGGACACTTCGCAAGCTACTGTTATGTCCCAAAAAGAAGATGTCTTTATTGTGGAAGAGCTCATCATCATTCAGCTTTGTGTGAGCGCAAATTCGGAGAAGGAAAGTTAATAGAAGAGCAAAAGAAAGGCGTTAGTGCCACGATTACACAGAAAGAAATTATCGCAGCTTCTCAGTGTGTTGAAAGGAACTATTATGATAGACCGTTAGAGGTCAGCGGTGCTCAATTAAGTAAATACGGTCTTAGAACCGAAAATGGATTTCAAAAAATTTTTAAGGGGGGAGGGATCTACGATGAGATAAATACATCATCGGAATCGAACGTACCCATCAGTAAAAAATCGATAAATTTAAATAAGGTTGTTAGTAACCAAAAAGTAGGATGTGTGAAGGCAAAAGCAAAAAGCAACACGCCAGAGGACAAACGGAGACCTTATGATTTAAAACAAAAAGTGCGTGTTAGGACGCAAGTAATTACTGACAGAAAGCCGTTGGTGGCGACGTCACCGATAGTAATTATTGGAGACAAGAGAGCCTTAGAGCTTCGAAAAATATTTAAAGAGGAAAATTTACGAGGAATGGTTTTTAAACCAATGTCCTGGGACGCCAAGCTTTTTGATAGAGAGATTCAACTCTCTAAAAGCGTCGACACATTAGTAGTATGGAAGCAAAATATAGACAACGGACTCTTTGAAGTCCTACGAAAGGCAAACGAGTTTAAGCAACAGCTGAGACAAATTGTCTGGATAAAACCAGGTGATGGAATAGAAATTCATTGCCTTTACTATGTTACGTCATATAAGGAGCCTAAAGATTTACGTTCAATACTCATCAAGCTAAGCACTATGGGCACGCCATTAATACCCGTGAAAAATAGAGAACTCAGAAGCAAAAGTGGAAAGGGATTACTGAAGACGGAACCAAGCAGGTCGTATGATATTAATGGCCATAAAGCTAGATTTCGGGAATTTTCTCCCAGGAAAATTGTTGCCGGACTAAACATTGGACCAGACATTAAATTTGGCCTTGGAGCCATAAACGAAGTAGTTAACCATCGAGTGAGAACACAAATGGCAAACATCTACAGAAACTGGCACTCAAAAATATGCGCACAAATGCCGAGGACACAAAGAACAAATGAAGGAATGCCGAAATCAATTTCTCTTAAAGTGGGAGGATGTCGAAGTTCGACATTTTAGAAAAATATTAATAATTTTTATTTTATTTCACATATTTTTCACGTGCTCTATTTCCTTCCATTTTTTACTCTTTGTACCCTCGATTATAGGGATTAATCATTTTTCTATTTTTTCTCTTCCTTACTTTTAAGTTTCACACACTTTAGCGATTAAAACACTTCCGCCCTTAGTGGCATGAATGAACAATTTTATTTTCCTATAAAATAAAATCCTTTCTTTTATATTATATATATCTTCTACAATCACTTTAATAAAAAACCTTAATAAATAAAACTTTATTGTTTTACATTGGAATAAAAATTATTTATTTTTATTTAATTCTTTGGAATTAATTGGATTGAATTCCAATTTATATTTAATTTTATATTTGAATTAATTTAATTAATTCAATATTATTCTTGATTGTTGCTAAAAAGGACCTGCCGAATTCTGTTTTCGACACCGCCTGCGGCGCTGAAAATGTAAGAAATTAGCCCCCCAAATCGACCCCCTGGCTACGCCCTTGCTGGGTAGAAGAGCCACATACATAAGTGTACTCTCTATACACATTAAGATATAATTTAGCCTTCACCCAGGAGAGTATCCTTTAAGTCACAACTTTATAAAATTTAAAACCTGTCCAAGTTCATCAGCAATTTTCTTAATAACTGGATCATTAAAAACAGAAGGATAATCACTCTTTCGAAAAGGATTTTCGTTTGACGAGGCAAGAGGACAAGAGGCAATAACATTAATTCCATTGACTTTACAAAATTTAAATAATTCGTCTTGTTGGAAATAAACATGAATTTCTGTCTAAAAAGATTTTTTTATATAAAAAGAATTTTCTGATAATTTTTGAGGACAAAACCCTTAAGAAAATGAAAGATATTTCCCCATTCTCGGCAAAAAATACGATCTCCGAAAAATTAAGAATGTAAATACACATCGATGCTAATTTCTATTTTAAAATAGCGGAGGAATTCTCTTGAGCAATAAAAGTTTTTTACAGCTCCTTATATGTAACAGGACTGTCTCTGCAACTTCAAATTGCAGCTATGTAAAATCTTTCTGATTGCGGGATGCCCTTTCTAATAGCTTAAGGGAAAAATGTCAGAAAAATAACCTGTAAAACAGCTGGACGTATTCTACAATTACTAATAACTTTTTGTATTTGTTTAGTATTAAAATTAGACAATCCAATTGACCGAACTTTTTCTTTAAAAACAGCTTCTTCCAAAGCCCCCCAAGTTTCCATAAAATCCACATCTGACAACAAAATTTTATTATCAACTTTTGGAAATAAATCTTCTCCTTCTTTATAACCCATTGGCCAATGAATTAAACAAAGATCCAAATAACTTTAAAAAAATTTTAAAGAATTTTAAACAGAGTCCTTACTCAATTCCCAATTCATTCAAAATCATGTCAATATTTTTCAAAGCCCTTTTGTGACTATGAAAAGTATTCCAAACTTTGCTTGTAATGAACAATTCTTCTCTCTGAAATTTATTTTAAAAAAAATATGTACTATCCGATTATCTCCACATTTTCCTTTTCCTCTGCTTCTTTTTTTAAAAAATACGTAAATAATATTCAAGGATAATACTTAACGATAAGTACCAGGGCCTACTTTATAAGATCTATAATACGGTATAGAGTTTAGCAAGTCTAGCCACTGGGCAGGATTCGAACCCTCGACATCCTTGCAGTTATTCCTATGCGCTTTCGCTCACCGCTTATAGGAGCTCTATCACTGACATGAGCTAAGGGCTTTGACTATTGCTTTCGCTTTTCCATTTTTAGATAGTTTAACCCAAGCCTACGCGTTTTAACTATTCCTAGGTGAATCATCCTTACATTATTGTGAGTACCATAATTCTGGATGAATAAAGAGAGAGATTCTCATAACATTTTATGGGCACGAGTTAACCAAGAAGAATATGGGGGAGATAATCGGATAATACAAAAAATAACCTTAACAATTCCTTCTTGAAAAACTTCATTTAAAGCCTTCCCAATTTCCCTCTGATTTCCATAAACAAAAGCACAATCAAAATGTCGATACCCACATTTAATAGCATTTTTAATTATATTTCCAACATTTTCTGGTTTTAAAAGCCAAGTTCCAAACCCAATTCTAGGCATTTTATGAAGAGAATTTAATTCAACACTTGGCACAAAAACTGGTGTTTCGTCCCCCATTCTAAACTAATAAAATAAATAGGAAATACACAAATGAAAATTAAAAAAAAATCAAAAATAAGTAAATTTAGGCAATTATGACATTTTTATATTTTGAGATTTTGAAAGAATTCAGGATTTATTACTGTAATTGAATTTTGCGAAAAATTGATATTTTAAAATTCCAGCACTTCCCTTTAAATAGCCTTGACTTCTTATAGGTGATTTAGTGATTTCGGGACCTACGGCCACTGGGTCTTATATATTGCCCTATTGAAGATATCAGTAGTGGTTATTTTTCTCACAGCAATCCAGATATGCCCGTCCCAATATTCTCCCTACCAACTATTAGCTTCGATCTGGTCAAGTAGATAAAGTCTTTATCCGATTCGTGTAATCTTTCATTTAATTATTAATTAAATTATATGGTGTTGGCTATAATCTCTATAATTATCTCCAAATATTTTTATTTAAAATTTTTTCTTTTAATTTCTTTTTAAATTTCTATTCATTTGAGTTTCTTCTTATTTGTTAATTTTTTCTTTCATTAAAAATTAAAAGAGCACAGAATTGGATAATTAATGCTTGAATACTTGGATTTAAAAAAAATTTTACGTTCATAATAGGAAAACTATAAAGCTATGCGTGTTGGCGTTCGGTGCCTAGCAACCATAAAAAAAGAAAAAAAAATATTGAGAAGACAATAAAAATTTTATTATTTCGTTTTTCTCTTCTTTTAATTTTGCTATTAAAAAATATAAAAAAAATTTTTAAATGGCTGCAAAATCAGTAAAAGTTGCTGAAATATCAAAAACAGCATCAAATAAAGAACAAAAACAAAAATCAACAGAAATAACAAAACAACGAAGTAGCAGTAATACACAACAGAAAAAGCAACAACAAATTCGTTCAAAACAGCCAATTGCTGGAAGTAGTGAAAGTAGTTGTGAAAGTTTTTCTGATAATATTAAAAATAATTTTGATGGAAAGGAAGGCATTGGATTTAAATTGTAAATAATAAATAAATATATTTGGGGAATTTTTGTAGGAAGAGACCGAACCCCGCTCCGAAACAATTCGAAAACCCCCATACCCCGACACACCCCCTAGTCATTACAAGATCTCTTAATTTGACGGTTCTTGGGGTTGGAGGGCAGAGTTACCTAACGATATACCTGATACCCCTCATTAATATACATATATTTTTAAACTCAAGAGTATGTCCTATAGTTAGATCATATGAATTCATTTAATCATTTAGAAAGGTCATCAATAAGACAAATTAAAATTAGTTATTAACTCTCTCGTAATTAACGCTCTTTGTATTAGCTCATATTATTTAACTTTTAATTAGAAATTGGATGAATTTGCGAGATGCTGAGAGCGGTAAAATATTATGGCAAAGCACCGAGGATTTAGCTAATCCTAATTTCGAACATAAAGGTATTGCCTAAATATTTAGAATAATTCAACAAAATTTTTAGCAAAAATTCCCAAAAATATTTTAAAATGTAAATCTGTTTCTCGAGAAATTAATTTTACGTCGGAAAGAAAAATTGAAAAATTTCGATTGGAGCAACGTGTATTCCTTAATAATCGAGCAATTGAAGAATGGTATTTTGATTTTGGATTTGGTTAGGGAATTTTTAACTTGATGAAAATAATTTAAATTTTTTATTAGTTATTCCACAATCAACCAATACTTGGCAGGTAAATAAATAGTATATAAATTATAATTTAATGTCTTTAACTGGAATACTATAAGATATCCCTTTGGGGTTGAAATGATCTCATATATCCTATAATGAGAGTTAGTCTAAATTGGGGTATCATACTCTTAGAAGTGAAACGAGATGAAACAATGTTGCGTTTTACAATTAATGGGGGATAGTTGTAAAAAACAACTATGAGTAGGGATTTGTTCACATTGACTCAAAATTTTGATTTTTCAAAATTTCCTATCTTGAACATCCTAAAAACTATCAAAATTAAAACCAAATTCTTTTTCCAACTTTTCTAGACATTAATAGAAGCAGCCCCCGAAGGACAAATGTTACCTGCTTCCTTACTAAGGTAATAAACACATTTAAATAAAAAATGCCTCTTAATTTAGTGGCAATATTGTAATCGAAACAAGCTTTTTTGACGATGACTTTTTGGTTTCCACATCTCGTGTTCGTCTTTATTATGAATAAATGTGACCGAGCTACAGTCATCGACATAAAGATAGGGGCAAGTGTAAATGAAATGAAAATTAACTATTTTTCCGTCAAAAAATACGTTCTATATAGAAATCGAAAGCTCTATTCGTATCTCAGTTGACATGTTTCTGCATTTTTCATGAAAATGAAAATTGGCTGAGATAATCCGGATCTACCGGATATACCAAATCCCACTTTTTCGGAAAAATTTTTCGAAACAAATTTAACAAACCCAAATGATAAAGCATATTTTTCTGAGTATTTTCCACAAAACCGCTTAGAAATATCTTTTTCCGGAGCAGAGATATGATTTTTTGAAAATGGCATTTTTCCCTTAAAAGTTGAATTTTTTGCAAAAATAGGCGAAAAATGCCATTTTCAAAAAATCATATCTCTGGATCGGAAAAAGATATTTCTAAGCGGTTTTGTGGGAAATACTCAGAAAAATATGTTTTATCAAATGGGTTTGTTAAATTTTTTCCGAAAAATTTTTCTGAGGATATAGGATTTGGTATATCCGGTAGATCCGGATTATCTCAGCCAATTTGCATTTTCATGAAAAATGCAGAAACATGTCAACTGAGATACGAATAGAGCTTTCGATTGCTATATAGAACGTATTTTTTGACTAAAAAATAGTTAATTTTCATTTCATTTACACTTGCCCCTATCTTTATGTCGATGACTGTATGTAATAAATATTATTTTGATATTAACTAATTCATTATGGTTTTGAAACTCATTAATAGGGACAGCCAAAACATGCAAATGCATGTTTTGTATGCTGATATGCCTTAACGTGGGAAGCCCAAAAATGGTGTTTTTACATTGGTACGAGCACTTTAGGACCCGGTTCTTAATGCATATATTTGCATATTTCGGCCCTCCCGTGCATATTTGCATATTTGTGCATATTTTGGCAACTTTTGCATATTTTGGTCCATATTTCGGCATTTTTTGGTAAATTTTAGTAAAAATCGGCGAAAATTTTCAATTTTTCGGAATTTTTTTGGTCAAAAAATTTATTATAAAAATTTTATAAAAAAATTTTTTCGAAAAATTTTTCGGAAAAATTTTCTTTTGTTAAATTTCTATGCAATAATCTTAATTCCATAAAATCTTTTAAGAATTTTCTTAAATTGCGGGTTTGAAGGCTAATTTCGAGTTTTTGGCTTAAAATATTGATCTTTAAAGCATATTTTAACTAGTTTTTGGTGCATATTTCAGTGCATATTTTGGCAAATTTTGCATATTTTGGTGCATATTTTGAACTTTTTCGCTGCATATATATGCGCATATTTGGCGATTTTCCGTGCATATTTTGGCTGTCCCTACTCATTAAATACTTTAAAATTCTACAAAAACCCCAGCCGGACCCAAATTTATTTTTGATCAGGTAAAGAACTAAATCATTTTATTTCATTCTTTTTATGTATAAAGTTTTCATTTGTCTTAATAACTTAAGCGACCTAACAATCGCAATCTCTTTTCTCATTTGTAATCTTCTCAAATTTTATTAAAATTAAAAAATTCCCTAAAATAAAATTTTTAAATACAATTTACCAAGAAATAACAATTTCAAAAATATTGAGTCGGACCCCACTAAAAAGATACCCTTGAAAAAGTTGTATCTCAGATCGAGTGTTTCACAGTCGTGGATATCTCCTACATGGCTCTCCCCCAAACAAATTTAAAAACCGCAACTTAAATTGAGGTCTTCTGATAGAGATATACCAGACCGATACGAGTAAGGTCCGACTGCATAAACAAAATTCCAAAACTTATTTGTTTCCTACTAATCTTTCTGGCCTTAAATCTTCAATCTCGTCATTGTCTTTCTCTTCAAAATCAATTAAAGGTGTCGTTCTTTCTTTGGTATCAGATTCTATTTTTTCTCTTTGAACCTCTTCAAATGATTTCAGGCCATATTCACGAAGAATTTTTGTTGTTTCTTGTTCAGCGCTTAAAATGAAGTTTCTAATTTTTGGAAAAATTAAAGTAAAAGAGACACAATTCATATAAAGGATTTTCAGATTCTTCAAAGGGTATGAGAAGACTCCCTCTTACCCGGCTCCTAAAAATCGACCGGTTCTATAGTCCCGATTCCTAGTAGATCCAGATTACTAGCCTTTCAAGAATTACAATTCTGGATGGTTCTAAAAGACGGAATAAGAACAGTGGTTCCCGATAACCGAGAAAAATTAATTCTTACTGACTCTTTAACCAGTTGCCGAACATTCAATAAAGACATTATATAAAACAACATAAACTCACCATCCAACTCTCAATATTTTAAATTGCCCTGGCAAAGAGAGATCAATCACCGTACTTCCCAAACGAGACATATTATTCTCTAAAATTGTCCCTCCATCAATTATCATATCAATTTCGTCCCATAAATCTTGAAAATCCTTTAAAAAAATCATTTTTTAAAATTAAATCCTCATATTTACCTCAATTTTAATTGGATTTAAATCTGTTCCACTAACATTTGCACTCGTCTGAGCAATCAAACGGTAAGGTAAAAATCGACATATATCACGAACAAAACGAGCTTGAGGAACTCTGAATCCAACAGATTGAGTGCCGATATTAAAATTTGAAGTAAGTTTTTGGGAACGATTGAAGACTAAAGTAACTGGTCCAGGCAATAAACTTTTAATAATTCCATTGGGAACTGTTCTTTCAGCATAACTAAAAATTAGAAAAACGATAAGTTGAATTTAAATGAGCAAAAAAGGGAACACGGACCAAACCAAAAAGTCTAAGATTTTCAGTAAACCAAAGAAATTGTAGTTATCGATAACCCTATTTTGTGAAAAAGGATGAATGTAGAGGGAAGACTCTTGAAATGGTTAATTGCTGCCTTTGTCAGGTAACTAAAACTGGATGGTGTCTTTAAAGAATTCCAATAAAAATTAAAAGATGTAAAATTAATATTAAAAAAATATATACTTAAAAACATCCTCTCCTTCATTAACAAAAATCCCCAAAGGTTTTCCTTTTGGCCTCCTTTTTAATCTATAAAGTCTATCAGCATTTTCTGCCAAAGTACAAAGACCATATAAAGTATCTGTAGGAACAGCAATAACCCCGCCACTTTTTAAACATTCAACAGCCCCGTGTACAGCTTTAAACCATTCGGCATTACCTAAAGAAAATTTTTTTATCTAAAATTTAAAAAAATATTTTTCCTTACTTTCCGGATCCAATTTAACAATATTTGAACCAGTCCCCATTCTTTTCCTTTTTAATCTTAATCTTTCCAATTTGTAAATACTTTTTAAATCAGCCAAGTATTGTAGTGAACGTTTAAGCATTATTTGAAGAAAAAATAAAATAAATTTCTTCTTCAATTCTCTCACATCAAATAAAAATTTTCTAAAAAAAATTTTTTTGGAAATTAATTTTAAATTAAGAAAAATATTTTCTGGTATTGAACAAAATAAAAAAGATAAAAAATTAAATAATTAAAATTTTTATTCATTATATTAAATATTTTGCTAAATTAATTAATAATTTTGCGATTAAAATTTAAAAAATATATTAAAAGTATAAATAATGTTGGGATAAGTCACACAATAAGTACTTAATTAAATAATATATTTTAATATTAAAAAAATATAATTATAGGGAATGGAATTTTTAGGTAATAAAAAATTTAAAAAGTTTATTTAGAAATAAAAATATTTTCGAAAAATTCAAATGAATTTAAAAAGTAGAGATGTCCAAGACTATAAATCATTTCTGTTTGAGATCAAGGTTTTTTTAGATTTTTCAAGAAACAAAAACATATCTCAGGATGAACGTCTCTACTTAAAATTAATTTACCTAAAAATCCCTTTTTTACAAACAATTTTTAAAAAATATCGGATTTTAAAGATAAAAAAATAACAATTTAAAAGCTCCAATATTCCAAACAAACGCAATATTTCTAATTTAATTCAACGATTGACTAATTCAACATAATTAGCTGGAAATAATCCATGTTGTCCTTTACACCATCCTCGCCACCAACCAACATCAATCTTAAAAAGGATATATTTCCAATTTAAAAATAAAAAATATACACTTACTTGTTCAATGTCCGTAATCAAGTCGTTTATATCAAAACCTAAAAAATAAATTAAGAATTAAGTATAAATCAAAAGATTTTTTTGGAAGCTCAAATTATGATTTTTAGAGTTCACAAAAATATTTCTAAATGGGGTCTGTTTCAATTGCTCATATATTCTTTATTTTGTAAAATTTGAATAATCTGTTCCAATTAAATTCTCTACACACCTTTGGTTACCTTAGATTCATTGAAAACATCCTCGTAACCAACCTCTCAATTGTCCTTCCACATAAATTTATAAAATCAAAAATTACCAATTTCATCATCATCTTGTTTATCATATTCATAAATAGCTCTAGCAGTTAATCCTCTAGTGGGGGTTGGATCTGTTGGAGGATTTTGTTCCAAATAATGTTGAGGTGTATTATTTGTTTCTCGAATAGGTTCATTTTCTTCTAAATTTGGCGGTAATTCATATTGATGATTAACAGGTGGAGAATGTTCAACAGGCTAGAATAATTATACAATTTATTTAAAATTTTTGAGAGCAGGCCTTTTTAGATGATAGTGAACAATTTAAAAGTTATTAGATTTTAAAACGCTGTGAAAATCTAATTCGAACCCATCAATGGTTAAAGGAATTTTCTCCTGCTTTAATGTTCCATAAATAATTTTTTATACATCTACGAATTTGATTTAGCTCTAATCTATCCCAAAATTTTACAAATAAAAACAAACTGTTGTATCCACTTCAGGCAGATTCTCTTGAACCACATTCTGATGTTCTTTCTCTTTTTCATTATCCATATTTGTAGATTTTCTTGATTCAGAAAGCAATGCGTGGGCTGTAGCAGATGCCCCATGAATTGCAGTAGGCAAAACCTTAAAAAGAGAGAAAATATTTAGGTACTTCATTAATATCCCGCCCCCCACCCCCACTCAAATAGAGGTGGGGGAGGGATATTGATAAAGTACCAATATTTAAATTAATTAAGTAATAGACCTGAACAGGCTGATGTTCAGGTAGTAGTTGTTCAGTTGGTGGTTGTTCAGTAGGCTCATCTTTTAAAGGTGTTGCAGTGTCTACATGACCATAAGGAAGTCGAACACCTGACAGAAATTTTCATTTAAATTAAAAGAAAAATCTTAAAGAAAAACCAATTGAAGTATGCATTTTATTATATTGCTGCACTGTTTGTTTAGGGGATTCCTCAATTACTTGCTCTTTTCCTTCTGTGTCGGCCCATTGCTTCTCCAACTTCTCTTGACGTTTTTGTTCATCTTCAGCTTGTTTTTTACGCAATTCCTCATCCTCTCGTTTACGTTTTTCTCTCTCCTCACGTACCTTATCCGCGCTCTAAAATATATATTTTTAACAATCTTAATCAAAAGAAAACCTGATTTTTATTTTGTAAGGCTAGATTTTCAAATTTTGAGCGTAAATTGCCAAGGCGTGGAACTAAAGAAGAAAATAGAAATGGAGAAAAACCTGCAGACCTGTTTGCTTCGTTTCATCGTTCTGAGTATTTATTTTATCATTAGATATAGCTCCAAAGCCCTTCTTGTAATCTAAAGAAACAATAAATAAAAACAAACAAGTTTAGACATTCAACCTGTTTGACTTTCATGTTTAGGCACTTTTTCATGTTCTTCCCATCCAGCCGCTGATTTATCTTTTCGATCGGTTTGAACTCCAAATTGGCCACCAAAACCCTTTTTGTAGTCTTTCAAGGACAAATAAGTATTTGTAAGAAAATTTGATATTTATGTACCTGTTTGACTTTCATGTTTAGATAACTGGCCGTGCTCCTCCCAACCAGCAGCTGAGGCATCTTTTCTGTCAGTTTGTACTCCAAATTTCCCTCCAAATCCTGTTTTATAATCTAGAAAAAAATAATTTTTAAAATTCAAATAAACGATTTTTACACCTGTCTGGCTCACGTGCTTTGCGGTTTGTTCACGATGTTCCCAACCCAGGGCAGATTTGTCCTGACGATCTTGTTGCAGACCAAACTGACCACCAAATCCCTTTTTGTAGTCTAAAAACGTCAAAATTCATCTAAAATAGATCTTTGTCATAGAAACCTTTTTGACTTTCATGTTTCTGTAATTGCTCATGATCTTCCCAACCAGCAGCTGACTTGTCTTTTCGATCAGACTGAACGCCAAATTGTCCACCAAACCCCTTTTTGTAGTCTAAATTAAGGAAATATAAAAGAAAAATTAAAACAAAAAAACCTTTCTGGCTTTCATGTTGCTGCAACTGCTCGCGACTGTCCCAACCAAGAGCAGATTTATCAACTCGGTCTGCTTCAACACCAAATGTACCTCCAAAACCACGTGAATAATCCTTCTGTGATGGATGCGGTTCTACTTTTCCTTTGTAATCGAATCCTGCGGCACACTAAAAAAAGAATTATAAAACAAAAAACCAATTCATTAACCTTATCAATTCTGTCAGTCTCCACGCCAAACTTTCCTCCATAGCCTTGACTTGGTTTTGGCATAAGTTCCAATTTCTTTTGCTAAATAATGATCGAGTTTATCTACTCCAAAAATTTAATCAACCTTATTTTTTTCATCATTTTCAAGGACTTCGTTCCTCAACATATCCAACTTTATGGAATCTTGATGACCTGAGCCTTCTACAGTTTTTGATCCCCATCGACTCTCCTTCTCACTTAAATCATTCTAAATTTTGTGGATTTAAAAATAATAATTTCTAAAAAAAACTATGAAGGTCGGGTCTGTTTCCCAATCATCATCTGCACCAGTTAAAGTTTCTGGTTTTGGTGGTGGAGCTGGTTTTGTTCCAATTGATGGCATTGTTAGATATTTAAGTATTTATGAAACCTAAAAAAAATCAGATTGTGTTTGGGCGTTTTTATTTTTCCAGACATTTAATTCCTAAACGCTACAAAATTTTTAAAAATAATTCAAAATTTAATGCATTCTGTCTAATGACAGGCAAAATTGTGTTCGCAGGTTCCCACATGCGGAACTTTTTCTAAAAAATTTTGCGGGACGGGATCCCGCGTAAGTGCTGGATTGCGAGATACTTGGCAGGTAAATAAATATGTAAAAATATAATTTAATGTCTTTAATTATTTTGATCTAAGAACAAAACCGGAATTTTTGAAATTTTTTGCAAAAAATTAACCGTTTTTAGAAAATTTTCAAAACCGAAAACCAGAAATTTGTGTTAATTGAAAATTCCCCCAAGACAAAACCGGTTATTTGCCTAAAACTCAAAACTGAAAACAAGGGGTACCGGTTAATAACAGGTCGTCAACATCCCTAGTGTTGTTGGGTAGGGTTGTTGGCGACCCAGCAACAATGTTTTACTCCATTCTTTTTATTCATTAATGTGGGTTGATTGTACAGTACTAGTAGGGGTTTGTTTGAATCAATAACTTAAGCGATCTAACAATCGCAATCTCTTTCCTCATTTGTAATTTTCTCAAATTTTATTAAAATTAAAAAATTCCCTAAGATAAAATTTTTAAATACAATTTACCAAGAAATAACAATTTCAAAAATATTGAGTCGGACCTCACTAAAAAGATACTCTTGAAAAAAATTATCCTAAATCGAGTATATCACCATTGTGAGTGAATATCTCATGTTAGCTCTCCCCCACCAAACAAATTTAAAAATCGTAACTTAAATTGAGGTCTATCTGATAGAGATATACCAGAACGATATGACATAACGGTCAAAAACATTATCGATCGATTACTCAAGTTCAATTCCTAATCTGATATTGGGTAAGGTCCGACTGTATGAACAAAATTTATGTTTTCTACTAATCTTTCTGGTCCTAAATCTTCAATTTCGTCATTGTCTTTCTCTTCAAAATCAATTAAAGGTGTCGTTCTATCTTTGGCATCAGCTTTTATTTTTTCTTTTTGAACTTCTTCAACTGATTTCAGGCCATATTCACGTAGAATTTTGTTGTTTCTTGTTCAGCGATTAAATGATTCTAATTTTTGGAAAAATCAAAGTAAAAGATAAAAAAACCTTTTAGACTTTCATGTTTCTGTAATTGCTCATTATCTTCCCAACCAGCAGCTGACTTGTCTTTTCGATCAGACTGAACGCCAAATTGTCCACCAAATCCCTTTTTGTAGTCTAAATTAAAGAAATATGAAAGAAAAATGGGTAATTTTCAATTTCGTTCCCCCCTCCTTTTTACTTACTCAAATTATGAAAAAATGGTCAGACTTTTCTTTTTTCCTCAATTACACTCTTCTTCCCCATGGCATACAATCAGTCAAAAAGGATTACCTTTTTTAAATTTGTTTGTATAAATATAAGAACTGAGAAAGAAAAGCGTCACATTTTTAAAAATGGAGAAACTAAAAAATTTCAAAGATTCCCATCTACATGAAAAATTGTGTTTGAGTGACAAAGATTTCGATTTATGGCTTGTAGAGCTTGGACACCTCCACGGAAAACGAACTTGTTATAAATGTGGGGGCCGAACTACCATTCATCAAATTAGAGATAGATGTTATGGCAGCTGGCGCTGTACAACAAAAAGATGCCGTGCAGAAAAAGGTTATTTATGCGGCACCTTTTTCGAAGGCACTCACTTAACAACAAAACAAATCTTTCATCTTTCTTTTTTTGTGGGCTTATCGCTTAGGCAAGTAAAATTTAATCCTTTTTGACTGATTGTATGCCATGGGGAAGAAGAGTGTAATTGAGGAAAAAAGAAAAGTCTGACCATTTTTTCATAATTTGAGTAAGTAAAAAGGAGGGGGGAACGAAATTAAAAATTACCGAAAAATGAAAATCAAAAAAACCTTTCTGACTTTCATGTTGCTGCAACTGCTCGCGACTGTCCCAACCAAGAGCAGATTTATCAACTGGGTCTGCTTCAACACCAAATGTACCTCCAAAACCACGTGAATAATCCTTCTGTGATGGATGCGGTTCTACTTTTCCTTTGTAATCGAATCCTGCGGCACACTAAAAAAAGAATTATAAAACAAAAAACCAATTCATTAACCTTATCAATTCTGTCAGTCTCCACGCCAAACTTTCCTCCATAGCCTTGACTTGGTTTTGGCATAAGTTCCAATTTCTTTTGCTAAATAATGATCGAGTTTATCTACTCCAAAAATTTAATCAACCTTATTATTCTCATCATTTTCAAGGAATCCGTTCCTCAAAATATCCAACTTTATGGAATCTTGATGACCTGAGCCTTCTACAGTTTTTGATCCCATAGTCTGGGATTGATATTTCTAAAAATGGTTAATGAAAATGACATTTTAGAGGTTTAATTTCCCAAAGTATGAGGTACTTTTTGAAAAAATACATGTATAAACACGTATTTATATATTAGGTTTAATTACCCAAGTTAAGGTTTAAAAATATGATAAAAATTAAGGAGGGGCAAGGATTTCTAATCAAACCGTCAATCTTTCAGCTGCTAATTCGGTTCTGCTTTTTTTGAACATATGTCGAAGTTCGCCCTTTTTTCTTTTACAATCTTTATACAGAATCTTTAAATGGGGAGCTGGCATAAGGATAAAAAAAATTAAAATGAAGTATGAATGAAGAAAAATCTCAAAAATGGACAAATCAATAAACGAAAAATAAAACAAAATGCCAAAAAAGCTAGATGAAGCGTAAATTTAAATTATGTTTTTACGGAACAGCCCGTTTGTAGCGGAAGGGGCTCCCGCTTTTTCTTTTTAATTTTTTTTAAAAATTTTTTGTATTCTGAATTTTTTTTTTTGAATAAAACAATGGATAGAATATTAAGTTATTTTTGTATTCCTTTATTGTCAATTTTTTTGTATATTCTTGCTCAATTCTTTTTCAAATCTGATGATCTTAATTTGTGTGATATGACATTTATGTGGCGAAGAATGCATTACATGGTACTTTTAAAATTATTTTAGTTTTAATTTTACCAATTTTTTTTTTAGAAAATTAATGTAGAACATGAGAGATATTCTTTATTTCTTTATGGCGAAGGGATTTATGCTGAGAATTTTAGGTTCTTTTGAATTTAAAATTACTCATTTCTCTTATTTTTGTAGACAAACCAATTTTCTAAATGGTTTTCCTATTTTATTTGTCCCTGGGAATGCTGGTTCTGGCCGTCAAGTTCGATCACTTGGTTCACTTTTGCAAAACAAAACTGAGGATAGAATGACTAACTTTCATTTTGATGTTTTTGCTGTTGATTTTAATGAAGTGTAACTTTTTTAAAATATTTTAAAATTTATTTTAAATAATTTTTAGGAATTAACTGCTTATAATTTTGATTGTATTATTTCTCAAGCAAATTTTTTGGTCAAAGCCGTCAATTCAATCCATCTTTTGTATAAACAAAAGCCGGTAATTATTACTTGCATTTTTTCTTGGGCCTTGTCTTTTTGGACTTTATTTTTGGGTCCGGATTTATTGCACATGTGTCTGTGAACCTCTTTTGTTGTTACCTTTTGTATCAAATTCAAACTCCAAAAGTAAAGGCAAAAAGCCCCGAGAATAAATGAAAGTCCAAGGAAAAAATGATTCTGAGATGAAAATTCTTATCTATTATTTAAAAGGTTCAAAAAATTGTAATTATTGGCCATTCTATGGGTGGAATTGTTATTCAATATGCAATGATGCTTGAAGATTTTGTTGCGGAAAGGGTTGCATTTATTATTGGGTTTGCTGTTCCGTATTCTGAACCACGTAAATTTATTTTTATTAAAATTTAAGAAGAATTTTAGTTTTTTGTGTCAAATTCTAGGGGGCTTAAAGGCCGTTCCAATATAATATATTAAAAAATAGTTTTTGTAATTCTTTTTTATTTTTCCAGCTTTTTATTTTGACAAACGTTTTCTCTCTTTCTATTATCATTTAAACAACAACAAATCTCTCAACTTACCAAAAATTATTTCGATAAATGGAGGTATTAAAGATGAATTTATTGACGAAGATTGGACAAATGCTTCTTTTTTGGCTTTACATTCATCTACAAATTCTTTAGATCGTGTATGGCTTGATATGGACCATAAATGTATTTTGTGGTGTAATCAACTTGTTCGGTTTTTTATTTTTTTTTAATAAAAATTATTTTTAGACATACTTCTCGTATTTTATTTGATTATGCTTTAAATCCTGTCCTTTTTATTAAGAACTTTAATGAATATTTATATAAACATTACCATTTTTCAAAAAATGATTTTGATTCTCAGAATCAACTAATTAATGAGGTATGATTTTTTAAATTTTAAACCTTAAATTTAAATTAATCTTCTAACTAGCTCCTTCCCTTTATTTAAATTTGAATGTCGAAATTTTAAGAGTTGAGTAAAGATTTTGGTTTTGGACAATTTAAACATAAAACTATCGAAATTTGATAAAAATTTATTATTTTAATTGAAAAAATTAACAGTAATTCCTTAATCAAAATTTATTAAAAATTGAATATTTTTAATTCAATTAGGGAAAATTCTTTTATTTCGGCTTTTTTTTAGAAAATTATTAAAAATATTAATTAAAATTAATTTTCTAAATTTAGGAGGATTATACTCGAGTAGACAATACTAACGGAAAATTTAATGATCATTTTTTATTTATTCTTTCAAAAAATCAAAAACAATCTCTTTTGGCAATTAATGGTTGTGAATATAATAATTTAATAAATAATCGTTATTTGTCAACAAAATATTTATTTTCTTTGGCACAAATTGGAAATTGTTCAAATAATGCTTTTTTAAAAATAAATGTAAAAACAAAATTTTGGGTAAAGAAATTTTAAATTTTTTAAAAATTATTTTTATTTTTTAGTTTTTTAATCAAAATATTGTTAAACAAACTCCAATTAATTTAAATTTATTTAAAATTCTTTTTAATTGGCCAAAAATTAAAATTTTTAAAAATATGGATGATGAAATGTCACTTTTTCAAATTCCTCTAAATTTCACTTTTTCTGAAGCTGACTTTTTTATTTATAATGTTGAAATTGTTATGAACAAATGTAAAACAGGTCTGATTTTAAAAATAATTGTTTTATCAAAGAATTAATTAAAATATAAAATTGGGTTTAAAAAAGTTTGGAAAGTCTAAAGTATTTTTTCGTTTATTAAAAAGCAATTTCTTTCTTGAAACAACTACATATTTCCATTTAGAAATCAAATTATTCGCTTATCCTGGCTTCATACCTAAACCTATCATCACTTTGAAGTCTTGTCCAGAGCCGTTTCGAAATTTTTGATTTTCCACTTTCAATATTTAGGTTTATTTTTTCAATTCCGGATTAAAACTTTTGGATCAAAAATTTTTTTTCTTCGATTTCTCTGTTCATGTCCCTTTTCTTCCTTGAATTAAATATATATTACTTTTAAATATTTTCTTTTCAGTAAATAAACCATCGAATACTTTTTTGTTGGTAAATAACCAAATTAGAAGAATTGCCTCAATTACTAAACAACACAATAAATCTTCTTTAACTTCATCTATTTTTATTTACACTTCTAAAGGCGATCAAGACAAAAACTTTCAACTTTTATTAATTAACACAAATAAATGTCAAGAATATTTACTTTCATTTTCTTTTGATTTTAAACTTTCTTTGATTAGAGTTTGGTCTTTTAAATATTTTTTAAATAAATTTTTTTTAAGGGATTTCGACGGATTCGACATATTCTCCCAATTTCTTCTATTTTAATTTTAACTTTTTGTAGTCTTTTTGTATGTTCAAATTATTTGGCTGGTTTTGTTATATTGTTGCTGGCTGTAATTTTGAGAGTGAATATGTAAGGAAGTTTTTTTTGAATTGGATATCTGTTGAATTTTCTAGGGATTTACCAATTTTATCCCTAAAAAATTAAGGGATTCCAAATTAAAATTTTTCAAAAAATTGGGAATTGTTTTTTCCGATTTATGTTTTTTCCGATATTGTTTTTTTCGATTTTTTCCAAAAGGGCTTAAGAACCAAACCAAAAATTTTTTTGGCCAATAATTAAACTTCAACCAAATTTTTTTCATTTTAGCGATTCCATTGCCGCGGTTTTTCTTCTTTTGTTTAATTTATTTTTGTTATCAACTTCTTACATTATTTGTGTCAACATTCTTCGACCAATTTTAAATATTACTACTAAAATTTTCAAAACATATTTTAATTTATTTAAAAAAGCAAAACATTTAGTTTCTGCTTCTTTTTTAATTTTTTTCTTTTATTCACACAATTCTTCACTAATATTTTCTACTTTTTATTCTTTTGGAAATTTAATGGTTTGAATTTTAATTTGAAAAATTATTTTTAAAATTATTTTTCAGACACTAAATAATTATTCAAATAATCTAATTTTCACTTCTGTTGCAACTCTTCAAGTGCTTTTTAGTTTTCTTCAAATCCCTTCAGTTGTAGATTATATATGGAAATTTATAAAATATGGAAAATGGAGAGCAGAGACGTTTGATCCAAATTTTGAGGTGAGAAAGTTAAAAATAAAATTATTTTTTTTTCCGAATTAAAGTGTTGGACCTCACTATAAAATGCGTCCAATTACGTCTATTTAAGATATTTTTTAATGTATCTCTCGTCATAAGTTACAATTTTCTATCCAAATTTTTAGCTCTCATCTGGGGTAATATTACAATAGAAATTATTAATTTTAATGTGTTTTAATTAAGTTTGAATTTGAAGGAGACTTTAATTTTTTGACTTTTTTACTTTAACTTTACCCAACAAAAATTAATTTCAATTTTATAGGCAAATTGTTTGTTTGCTGTCTTCATTTTTATATTACAAGAAGAGAATTTAATTTTTCAAAAATTATTAAACAAAAAATTGTCTGAAAGAAATCTAAAAATTTTAACAAATTTAATTTTACTTTTCTTTTTTCTTTTGATTTATATTCGAAATCCAAATTATTGTTTTATTACTTGGGATGATCTCACATTATTTATTGTATTAATTTTAATTTATTTGAAGAAAAATATAAAAATTTAATTAATTTGGATTATTATTGTGATCGAGAATTCGAATATAATTAATTGGTACTAATCCAATCTTTGAGCCATCAGAATTGCTAAAATGAGTGAAAGATGTTTTTTTTTAATTTTTAAAATTAAAAAGAAATATTACCTAGCTAATAGCCAGTCTTTAATGTCTGGTTGCCTTAAATTAAATTGTGAATTAAAGCAAGACTGTCCGCAACTAAGAATTTTAAAAAATTTGCAGTCGTAAAAAAACTTTCTATTGCGGACAGCTCTGATTAAAAGAAAGGAAAACATACTCTTGTTTTGGTGCTATTCTAAGCGTATCAAATGCTGTAAAGGATAATTCATTTTGGCTTGCAGCAGAAAAATCGTAAAGAGCCTAAAAATTAATGAAGTTTTTAGAAAATAAAAATATTTTTGCCTGTGCCGTGTAATGTTCTGACTGTCCAGTAGCCCAATCCGAAGTCAATTCACTAGTACTTTCTCTAATTTGTTGAAGAAAATATTTTATAACAAGTAGGGGACCGCCAATTGCAATTATCCAAAATATAAGTGTTCCAAAATTGGAAGACTTTTTAGATTGTTCTGAATATTTATATTAAATTATTAATAAATTTTAAAAATTATTTACCCAATTCTCCATTAATACCCGCCCAAATGGAAGCTGAATTTGCATAATTTCTTGGTCTAACACGTAATGATGCTAATAAACGTCTCCACAGAAAACGGATCCAACGAATTAAAGAAAGTAGGAATGTAGAGACTAGCTAGAAAATAAAATTTAATGAGGTTTATGGAACTTAAATTATTGTTAAAGTTATTACCTGAGGTCGATCGGACTGACTAAGGTGTCGGAAATCGGAACAAGAGTCAAAACTCGGAAATCAGCCTAAATTTTCGGAAATCGGAATTCCGACCGACCTCTGGTTATTACTAGCGGTCTAGGACGAGTGAGGATAGTACATACAATGATGCTGGAATCCCCTCTTTTTAACCAAATATTTGTAAAAAACTAACAAAATGTTTGAGCGATTTAAGTTGTTCAACCACAGAGATTATGGCCCTAAATGAATTAAACACAGCTCCATATGTAGAGTTAAGTAGGCTAGCAATAGAAAGGAAAGCACTAGCAACATGTTCAATTGATTGAAAGGCACCTCTTGTTGATTCTAAAATATTTTTTTATAAAATCATTTGAATTAACTTTAAACCTTCTGCAGTACGAAGAAATTCATATGTAGTCATTGGTTGAGAATTATTAATTCTTGAAAATCCATATGGATCGGGAGTTTGTTGGTAACTTTTAAAAATCCTCTTAATATTCAAACAGAAAAATAAAAGTGAAAAACAGTCGAATCTTGACAACTCTCTCTCGTTATTTGTCTATATAATTCGGCCACGAGGGAAGTTCTAGAGAGATTTGACCACCGACAAACACGCCCCTTCCAATAAGACGGGGGGAGGGGGTCAAACTGGACGATAAGAGACTTAACTCTGTCTTATTGAGATTCCACTATATCAACTAACCAATTTCGAAATTAGTTCACTTACTAATTAAACATTCCAGAACTATTTGGAAAATATTGTTGTCTTTGGTAAGGATATGAAATATTATTATTTTGATTAAAAAATGGTAGGTAATTTTGATTATTAGAAAAAGTCGTAAGAGGCCTTTGTGGAATTGGTGGGGGTAAAGATGAATTATTTGAATTTTCCATTTGAAAAAGGACAAAATAAAATTATAGAAAAATGTGAAAAGAAATTCTAAAAATTATTAAAACCAAAAATAATTTTTAGTTTTGGTTGGTTTTAGTTTGAATCCAATTTTTAAATAAATTATAGGTAACATAGTGCTTAAAAAGCTTATACACAATTTGTTATTCAAATAGGCATTAAATTTATCCAAATAAAAATAAAAAACCAAAATTCTTATTTCAAAAATAGCCAATTTAATCAATTAACGTCTCTGTTGATGATGCCCTCCTCCTCTCTGTCCACCAGATTTAGGACCTCCACCCGGCCTTCCGCCACCACCACCACTTCCCCCTCCTCTTGCACCTTTCGCAAAATTTCTTTTCATTGTTCGATTCTCTTTCTGTTGCCTACGAACTTCTTTAACTTCGTCTTTTACTAATTCAACAACCTTTAAAAAATTATAATTAGAAAAAATAATTAAAAAAAATGAAAACCTCATCTGGAATACGCAAATATTTAATTGTAGAACCACGAACATAAACCTCTGGAATTTTCATAAATTTGTCGCCTTCCTAACAAAAAAGATTTTCTTCAATAAAAATATTTTTTGAAACAAAAATTAAGATTAACACCATAGGTTTGATAATTGTGAAAGAATTTCAGATTCCTACAATTCTAAAGGCATAGAAATTGAAAGCCTCAAAAACTCTCGAATAAAATTCTAATTTGTACGAATTTTCTAACTATGAACACACAAATCATTTAAGTGTGGCCACCCTAGATATTTTATCTATTAAATAATATAGGCCAAATTGTTATTTCATCGCTTAATGAAAAAGCGAAAAACCGTATAATTTTTGGCCGAATAATTGAAAACAAAGGGAGCCATTCCCCTTATTTATCTACTTAAAATTCCAAACCTTAGAAGTACAAATAGCATCCCGTAAATGAACATTCATCCAAGAATCACAAGCAATTAACATTCCATTATAAGTTTCTCCATTTTTCAATTCAATTAGCATAGGATGATTTTGGGCAGTTTTAAGCAAAGAAAGTGGTAAAACCATCCAAAAACAATTTAGAAATTAATTTAAAAGAAAAAAATAAAAATAATTATTTAAAAAATAATTAATTTAAAAAATCAAAAAATTTTCTTTTTAATATTTTTATCAAATAACAACAATTTTTCAACACATTAATATTCAGCAATTTATCTAAAACTGAATAACTTGTCCTCTCGACTTCTTTTGTCCACCCAATTCAAAGTGCTTGCAGCGTTTGATTGCTTTTTGAATGCGGTGCTTACACTAAAATTAAAGAATTAAAATGTTAAGTGTAATTAAGTGGGGAAAGTAAAAAAATAACCAAACAAGCTAGAAACCAAGAAAACTTTTGTTTCTGATTGTGAGACAAGTTTCGTTAAGACTGAATCAGAAATTTAACCTGGTCAAGCTTGTCTGGATTTTTACTTTAACGATTCGACCCTTCTTTCGATAGGGCCAATCAAGGCATATTTTGTGCATACTGGATTTGCCCCGTCGGGGTTTCCTAATTTACATATCCAGAGCCAACCCCCGTTTAGCAAATAAGAAAGTCAATTTTTAAAATCTCAATTTCCAAATTACATAAATAATCAAACCTCAACACACTCCATTCGCAACACAATTTTCTTTGTAGTTTTGGCCTTCTTGCGGAAAATTGGCTTAGTCTGTCCTCCAAAACCTTTCTGTTTGCTGTCATAACGTCGTCGACCTTGCGCAAACTTCGATTCTTTTCCTTTTTTGTATTGCGTTACTTTATGCCCAGTGTGTTTGCGGCACTTGCCAGGACAAAAAGTTCTACGAGCCTTTGGAACGTTGACCATTTAAATAAATAATTTATATGTTTATTCACTAAAATATAAAGAATTTAGAAAAAGAACAAAGGCTGATAAAAGATTTCTCTTATCGGATTAAAAAGTTAAATATGGAAAAGGGCCAACAATCTAGACTCAACTGGTCGGCACTCAACAGTCCAATTTCAATTAAATGATGGCCGTTTGATCGCTAATGTTTAAGTGTGTTTACCGTCTTAATAGCGGCTAAAAGATATTCAAAAATCTCGGTAATCGTGCTTCCGGGTCACCTTTTCTCTCCCTAAGTTTTTCCTATATATGTACCGAATGGTTAGATTTTTTCCTCACTTATATTTTGCCTCCAAATAATCAAAAAGTTTTTAAAAAAGGCAATTGGGATGGCTGAAAGTCTGATAATTCTGTACAGAGAAGTGGGCCAGGAAACGACACTATTAGCAAAGATCATAATTGACAAAAAACCCAAATGATTTCAGGTGTTTACGTTGCAGTTGTAAAAGAAATTTTCCATCTAAAATTGAATTCTAGTAATCAAATAAAAAGTATTTCAAATAAATATGTAGTATATTTCATTTAAATTTTATAATTAAAAACTTAAACATTGGAGAAATTAATTTTTATTTACAAAAATAAAGTTTTTGAAAGACTAAAAATAAATACATATAAACTAAAAATTTAATTAAACATCCTCTGGTGTATTACATCCTTCGTGTATTGTACAGATCACAAGTGGACGCTAAAAATTTTTAAAAATAATTTTGTAAAATTAAATAATCAAAAAATAATAATTTTTAAATTTAAAATTTTTAAAACAAATTTTGTAAAAAAGTAAATTTTATTTTTTGAAAATTAAAAGAAATTTAAAAGAAAAAAAGAAAAAATAGAAAAATTGAGATTTCAAGTGCAAAGAGGCCTTTAAAATAAAATAAAGATTTTGAACAGCGTTTCGAAGGTTGGACCAAAATTCGTCTCGTATACAAAAGTAATAGAAAAAGGTACAAAGAAATTAGTAAAAAGGAAAATTGGATTTTCGAAACACTGATTTGGAATAAGTAAGTAAAATAATTAATTTATTACTCATTCTTTTTTGTGGGAACAAAAATAAAGGCAAATAAAAAAAACTTTAATTTAGGGTAATCCAACCGACAAATTTTAACTAAATTAAAGATTTTGATTTTTCAAAATTAAAATTTAGAAAAATGATTGAAATACCCTTTTAAAAACAAAAGGAAAAAATTATTTATTCGATGCACACTCTCGTTATTAAAATTAAATTTTTTAAGACAAAAATGGCAAAAAATATATTTTAAAAGTATATTTCGAATAAATAATTACAAAAAAGTGTTAATAAAGGGTTAATCAAATTTTGAGGTCACAAAAATAAATATAAACTCGATTCTAAAAATATAATAAAAAATATCAATTGCCTTTTTAATTAAAAAAATTTTAAAAAATTCCTCATGCCTCGCAAAAGTATAAAAAAGGTTGTAAAAAGGTAAAAAAGAGAAAAAAAGGTTAAAAGAAGAAAAACAAATGTTGTAGAAGTAGGCACTTTGTGTGTATTTATTGTTGAGAAACGGCATTTTTTATAACTGAAAAAAAGAAAAATTTTAAAAAAACTAAATGATAGGTAGAGAAAGAAAGGAAAATAAAGTTTGTATTTTTAATTTGAAAAAAAAGAAAAATTTTCTTTAGTTGAGGATAAGGTTGGCAAATCCAGACACCCGGAAAAAGACCGGATATCCAAAGTTCCCAGGATCTCAACTCTAGATTTTGCATTGAAAGGAGGCTAGATGAGGGCAGTGGTTGGAAGCTTGTACCCCAATACTCGTACCTGTGTACGAAGTACGAGTGCGAGCAAATTTCAAAATTCCAACCAATGGTTGAGAGTTTCCTTTCAACATTAAGGGGTTGTATTTTATATTGAACAAAAATTAATGAGGACTTTTGGGAGCAAAAAAGGAAAAAAATCCCCAAATTATCTTCCTAATACACAATTTATAATAAATAAAATCCCCTCAAAAATTTAAAAACAAACCCCTAATTTTGTTTTTGTTGTTTTATTAAAAACTAAATTTGAAGGGGGATTTTTTGTTGTTTTATTAGAAATAATATCTTGATTATTTAATTGTTGATTATGACCATTTTTTGTATTTTTTACTTCTTCATTATTTTGAATATTTTTATTTGAAGATGATAATGAAGGGGAAGAAGAATGAATTGAGGAATTATTTTGATTATTAATTAAATTATTTGATTGTTGTTTTGTATTGAAGGGAGGTTCTGAGTATCTTTAAAAAATATTCTTTTATTTAAAGGATATCAATATAGTATAGAACAGGGGTTCGGCAAAATATCTTTTCCTGATTTCTGTGAATCGTTTACTAACAAAAATTGTCTTAAATGCCCTAAATTTAGCAAAATTTCCTTGTTATATGTAGTTCTTATCTCGACAATTTTAGATGGCCCCCCTTTATCACAATCCTGTCTACTGCAGGATTTTAGCTAGGGATTATAATTATTGCAGAGAATTAGGTCTAGATTATCATAGGAAGGCCGAGTCAAATGGTGTTAAAAATTTTTTGAATAGCCATACATATAATATTCTGACATCCTCCCAGCAGTTTTTAAGGTCCAAACTCAAACCCCCCCCCCCCCCTTTATCTACCTAAAAATATTTGTTTTGTTCTTTTCCAAAGCATTTCCCTCTCCGTCTTCACCTTCCCTACAAAATTTCTGATCAAATTCAATTTGATTAAGCCATTTTTGATGATTATGCCTCAGATTAATTATTAATTCTAAAATTATTTTTAATTATTTTTAATTATTTCCCAGTAAATTTACCAGATTCTGGAAGCCCAGGAAGTATAGGCAATAAATTAGCTTCATTTAAAGCAATAGCTAAAGGATTGACAATATGGGCAATAAACGAATCCTGAAGTTTGGCAACTGCTGGTTCGCTTCTATCCATATATGGACTTATTGCCATATTTCTAAGCCTTTCCTCATCTCCCTAAAAAAATTTTTTTTGGAAAGTTAAGAAAATTTTCTAAAAAAATAATTTCATATAAAAGTGTCAAAAAACTAGGTACCTAATTAGTAATTAACGAGGTAATTAAACAATTTTTATACCTGTTCATAAAATTCTTGACAAATTCTCTCAGTCCATTGTTTATGTAAAGAAAAAGGTTTTGCCGGGGAATTAATATCAGCAAATTTAATAATCATTAAAGAAATCAACATTCTATCAGATTCGTTAGACAAATCCATAGAAGGTGCTCTTTCATTAAATTGAACAATAATATCAAAATGTTGTTTTAAATCTGTTGCGAGAATATATTCTAATACTAAATAACTGAAAAGGGGAAGAGATTAAAACAAGGGAAGATAATATGTAATGATTTTTGTTCAAAGTACATATTACTTTGGGTTAAAATGAGTGGGTATCTTAAAGAAGATTTTCCCGCTTAGGCAACTTCCGATAGAGTGGCGTAGCTTGAATATCTAATATTGGGTGTATTTTTAAGTTAATGATTGGAATATATCAAGAAATAGCAAGAAAATTTCATATCTCAAATGAGATTTATAAATGTACTCCCAAAAGTTACTGTAAACAATTGTGTGCTTCTTATATAATTTCCCAAAATATTTCTAATAATTTTTGTTGAAAAAATCAAAGTTCCTACCGAAAACGTTTTGTCTCGGCAGAGTCCAAATTTTCAATAAAATTATAACTCGATTGAGAAGTTAAAAGTTTCCAGGACTCAGCAGCATGATGATTTTCTAGTACAGACCGATCATTGTAGAGGATTGCCTAAAAATTAAAAAAAAGACATTTAACCCCAAATTCAAAATAAATATACTTTTTTATCTTCTGAAGCAACTAGGAAAGCATTAGTTCTACCTGGATGGTCATAATCGTGCATCGCCGCAGCTGAGTAAAGGGCCATTAACTGAAGAAGTAAAATATACATGTTGACCTAACTACAAGATTAGTTATCCCCCCTCCCCCCAGTTTAAGATAAATCTGGCACGAAATTAGGTGGGAGAGGTACCTAAATGCCCCCACCCCCTATTTAGGATACAACTGGTTTTCAATTCCAAGAATGAATTTTATAGTTAGATCTGACTAAGAAGACAGCTTTAATAAAACAATTACTTCCAAGGCACTCATGCTTTGTGATAAAGGAATGGCTGTTGATTCAACAGAATTGTTATTATTAAATGATTGTTGTTGTTGTTGTTGTTGGTGTCTTTTAGATATTTCCTCCCAATTATTTGAATATTTAGATATTTCTTCAATTTCCTCCCCTTCATCGTCAACCTCTTCTAATGATTGGTGGTAATCATAAAATGCATGTACTGAATGGCAAGTTAAATAAAAACAGCCATGTAAAACATCAGCAGCGTGAATTTGGTTGTGATCTTTTAATTTTAATAAATAATTAAATTAATAATTGGATAAAATATTGAGGTTGGGTCATAAATTTAAATTCAATGTTAAATCCGCAATTCAAAATTTTTAATTTTAAAAAGCTATGAGGGTAAAAGGAGTTCTTTCCAATTAAACTCTAAATATTTATTTGGACCCCATTCTGATCAAATTTTAAGCAAAAAGTTATTTCGGGAATTAGGTTTTGTTTCCGAGAAAAATTTTGTTAGCCACCTAAATGATTCCACAAACAATTTCTTTGAGAGGATCGAGGGAGCAGGACCTGCTAATACTTGGAAGGGAAGGAATAATATTAAACTGACTTTTATTTAAAAGGTTGAACGGTAGAAAGTAGAGTAAGACAAAACTTTTGCCTAATTTTTAATGTTTATAATGGCTATGGAGAAGGGGGGGGGATTAAAATATTATTTTAATGTAAAAATAAAAACTAACAGGGAATATCCCAATAACCAGATTCTAAAGCATGGAAAAAATTGAAGAATTTAGAATAAGAGATCTTGAATGTTTTGAATAAATCAGCTTCTTTAAATATTGCAAAGGTTAACTTTAAAAAATAAATTAATTAAATTAATTCTCTTCTAAATTTAATTACCCTAGAGAGAACAGTATTTTTATATTTATCAGCAAAATTAAAAATAGGAAAACTCCATTCTTGTAATTGTTGACCTAATACTGAACATTTAGATTCAAGTTCGTTAAGTTCGTAAATTGTTCCGTCTGAAGTTTTGAATATTTTCTGTCCTTCTTCTTGCTCATTTTTTTCTTTTAATTTTCTTAAAAAAATTTATTTTTAGTTTTAAATTATATTTGTTTTAAGTTCTGAAAAGCGTGAATGAAAAATAAACGGGGTCTCTGTTGATGATGCCCTCCTCCTCTCTGTCCACCAGATTTAGGACCTCCACCCGGCCTTCCGCCACCACCACCACTTCCCCCTCCTCTTGCACCTTTCGCAAAATTTCTTTTCATTGTTCGATTCTCTTTCTGTTGCCTACGAACTTCTTTAACTTCGTCTTTTACTAATTCAACAACCTTTAAAAAATTATAATTAGAAAAAATAATTAAAAAAAATGAAAACCTCATCTGGAATACGCAAATATTTAATTGTAGAACCACGAACATAAACCTCTGGAATTTTCATAAATTTGTCGCCTTCCTAACAAAAAAGATTTTCTTCAATAAAAATATTTTTTGAAACAAAAATTAAGATTAACACCATAGGTTTGATAATTGTGAAAGAATTTCAGATTCCTACAATTCTAAAGGCATAGAAATTGAAAGCCTCAAAAACTCTCGAATAAAATTCTAATTTGTACGAATTTTCTAACTATGAACACACAAATCATTTAAGTGTGGCCACCCTAGATATTTTATCTATTAAATAATATAGGCCAAATTGTTATTTCATCGCTTAATGAAAAAGCGAAAAACCGTATAATTTTTGGCCGAATAATTGAAAACAAAGGGAGCCATTCCCCTTATTTATCTACTTAAAATTCCAAACCTTAGAAGTACAAATAGCATCCCGTAAATGAACATTCATCCAAGAATCACAAGCAATTAACATTCCATTATAAGTTTCTCCATTTTTCAATTCAATTAGCATAGGATGATTTTGGGCAGTTTTAAGCAAAGAAAGTGGTAAAACCATCCAAAAACAATTTAGAAATTAATTTAAAAGAAAAAAATAAAAATAATTATTTAAAAAATAATTAATTTAAAAAATCAAAAAATTTTCTTTTTAATATTTTTATCAAATAACAACAATTTTTCAACACATTAATATTCAGCAATTTATCTAAAACTGAATAACTTGTCCTCTCGACTTCTTTTGTCCACCCAATTCAAAGTGCTTGCAGCGTTTGATTGCTTTTTGAATGCGGTGCTTACACTAAAATTAAAGAATTAAAATGTTAAGTGTAATTAAGTGGGGAAAGTAAAAAAATAACCAAACAAGCTAGAAACCAAGAAAACTTTTGTTTCTGATTGTGAGACAAGTTTCGTTAAGACTGAATCAGAAATTTAACCTGGTCAAGCTTGTCTGGATTTTTACTTTAACGATTCGACCCTTCTTTCGATAGGGCCAATCAAGGCATATTTTGTGCATACTGGATTTGCCCCGTCGGGGTTTCCTAATTTACATATCCAGAGCCAACCCCAGTTTAGCAAATAAGAAAGTCAATTTTTAAAATCTCAATTTCCAAATTACATAAATAATCAAACCTCAACACACTCCATTCGCAACACAATTTTCTTTGTAGTTTTGGCCTTCTTGCGGAAAATTGGCTTAGTCTGTCCTCCAAAACCTTTCTGTTTGCTGTCATAACGTCGTCGACCTTGCGCAAACTTCGATTCTTTTCCTTTTTTGTATTGCGTTACTTTATGCCCAGTGTGTTTGCGGCACTTGCCAGGACAAAAAGTTCTACGAGCCTTTGGAACGTTGACCATTTAAATAAATAATTTATATGTTTATTCACTAAAATATAAAGAATTTAGAAAAAGAACAAAGGCTGATAAAAGATTTCTCTTATCGGATTAAAAAGTTAAATATGGAAAAGGGCCAACAATCTAGACTCAACTGGTCGGCACTCAACAGTCCAATTTCAATTAAATGATGGCCGTTTGATCGCTAATGTTTAAGTGTGTTTACCGTCTTAATAGCGGCTAAAAGATATTCAAAAATCTCGGTAATCGTGCTTCCGGGTCACCTTTTCTCTCCCTAAGTTTTTCCTATATATGTACCGAATGGTTAGATTTTTTCCTCACTTATATTTTGCCTCCAAATAATCAAAAAGTTTTTAAAAAAGGCAATTGGGATGGCTGAAAGTCTGATAATTCTGTACAGAGAAGTGGGCCAGGAAACGACACTATTAGCAAAGATCATAATTGACAAAAAACCCAAATGATTTCAGGTGTTTACGTTGCAGTTGTAAAAGAAATTTTCCATCTAAAATTGAATTCTAGTAATCAAATAAAAAGTATTTCAAATAAATATGTAGTATATTTCATTTAAATTTTATAATTAAAAACTTAAACATTGGAGAAATTAATTTTTATTTACAAAAATAAAGTTTTTGAAAGACTAAAAATAAATACATATAAACTAAAAATTTAATTAAACATCCTCTGGTGTATTACATCCTTCGTGTATTGTACAGATCACAAGTGGACGCTAAAAATTTTTAAAAATAATTTTGTAAAATTAAATAATCAAAAAATAATAATTTTTAAATTTAAAATTTTTAAAACAAATTTTGTAAAAAAGTAAATTTTATTTTTTGAAAATTAAAAGAAATTTAAAAGAAAAAAAGAAAAAATAGAAAAATTGAGATTTCAAGTGCAAAGAGGCCTTTAAAATAAAATAAAGATTTTGAACAGCGTTTCGAAGGTTGGACCAAAATTCGTCTCGTATACAAAAGTAATAGAAAAAGGTACAAAGAAATTAGTAAAAAGGAAAATTGGATTTTCGAAACACTGATTTGGAATAAGTAAGTAAAATAATTAATTTATTACTCATTCTTTTTTGTGGGAACAAAAATAAAGGCAAATAAAAAAAACTTTAATTTAGGGTAATCCAACCGACAAATTTTAACTAAATTAAAGATTTTGATTTTTCAAAATTAAAATTTAGAAAAATGATTGAAATACCCTTTTAAAAACAAAAGGAAAAAATTATTTATTCGATGCACACTCTCGTTATTAAAATTAAATTTTTTAAGACAAAAATGGCAAAAAATATATTTTAAAAGTATATTTCGAATAAATAATTACAAAAAAGTGTTAATAAAGGGTTAATCAAATTTTGAGGTCACAAAAATAAATATAAACTCGATTCTAAAAATATAATAAAAAATATCAATTGCCTTTTTAATTAAAAAAATTTTAAAAAATTCCTCATGCCTCGCAAAAGTATAAAAAAGGTTGTAAAAAGGTAAAAAAGAGAAAAAAAGGTTAAAAGAAGAAAAACAAATGTTGTAGAAGTAGGCACTTTGTGTGTATTTATTGTTGAGAAACGGCATTTTTTATAACTGAAAAAAAGAAAAATTTTAAAAAAACTAAATGATAGGTAGAGAAAGAAAGGAAAATAAAGTTTGTATTTTTAATTTGAAAAAAAAGAAAAATTTTCTTTAGTTGAGGATAAGGTTGGCAAATCCAGACACCCGGAAAAAGACCGGATATCCAAAGTTCCCAGGATCTCAACTCTAGATTTTGCATTGAAAGGAGGCTAGATGAGGGCAGTGGTTGGAAGCTTGTACCCCAATACTCGTACCTGTGTACGAAGTACGAGTGCGAGCAAATTTCAAAATTCCAACCAATGGTTGAGAGTTTCCTTTCAACATTAAGGGGTTGTATTTTATATTGAACAAAAATTAATGAGGACTTTTGGGAGCAAAAAAGGAAAAAAATCCCCAAATTATCTTCCTAATACACAATTTATAATAAATAAAATCCCCTCAAAAATTTAAAAACAAACCCCTAATTTTGTTTTTGTTGTTTTATTAAAAACTAAATTTGAAGGGGGATTTTTTGTTGTTTTATTAGAAATAATATCTTGATTATTTAATTGTTGATTATGACCATTTTTTGTATTTTTTACTTCTTCATTATTTTGAATATTTTTATTTGAAGATGATAATGAAGGGGAAGAAGAATGAATTGAGGAATTATTTTGATTATTAATTAAATTATTTGATTGTTGTTTTGTATTGAAGGGAGGTTCTGAGTATCTTTAAAAAATATTCTTTTATTTAAAGGATATCAATATAGTATAGAACAGGGGTTCGGCAAAATATCTTTTCCTGATTTCTGTGAATCGTTTACTAACAAAAATTGTCTTAAATGCCCTAAATTTAGCAAAATTTCCTTGTTATATGTAGTTCTTATCTCGACAATTTTAGATGGCCCCCCTTTATCACAATCCTGTCTACTGCAGGATTTTAGCTAGGGATTATAATTATTGCAGAGAATTAGGTCTAGATTATCATAGGAAGGCCGAGTCAAATGGTGTTAAAAATTTTTTGAATAGCCATACATATAATATTCTGACATCCTCCCAGCAGTTTTTAAGGTCCAAACTCAAACCCCCCCCCCCCCTTTATCTACCTAAAAATATTTGTTTTGTTCTTTTCCAAAGCATTTCCCTCTCCGTCTTCACCTTCCCTACAAAATTTCTGATCAAATTCAATTTGATTAAGCCATTTTTGATGATTATGCCTCAGATTAATTATTAATTCTAAAATTATTTTTAATTATTTTTAATTATTTCCCAGTAAATTTACCAGATTCTGGAAGCCCAGGAAGTATAGGCAATAAATTAGCTTCATTTAAAGCAATAGCTAAAGGATTGACAATATGGGCAATAAACGAATCCTGAAGTTTGGCAACTGCTGGTTCGCTTCTATCCATATATGGACTTATTGCCATATTTCTAAGCCTTTCCTCATCTCCCTAAAAAAATTTTTTTTGGAAAGTTAAGAAAATTTTCTAAAAAAATAATTTCATATAAAAGTGTCAAAAAACTAGGTACCTAATTAGTAATTAACGAGGTAATTAAACAATTTTTATACCTGTTCATAAAATTCTTGACAAATTCTCTCAGTCCATTGTTTATGTAAAGAAAAAGGTTTTGCCGGGGAATTAATATCAGCAAATTTAATAATCATTAAAGAAATCAACATTCTATCAGATTCGTTAGACAAATCCATAGAAGGTGCTCTTTCATTAAATTGAACAATAATATCAAAATGTTGTTTTAAATCTGTTGCGAGAATATATTCTAATACTAAATAACTGAAAAGGGGAAGAGATTAAAACAAGGGAAGATAATATGTAATGATTTTTGTTCAAAGTACATATTACTTTGGGTTAAAATGAGTGGGTATCTTAAAGAAGATTTTCCCGCTTAGGCAACTTCCGATAGAGTGGCGTAGCTTGAATATCTAATATTGGGTGTATTTTTAAGTTAATGATTGGAATATATCAAGAAATAGCAAGAAAATTTCATATCTCAAATGAGATTTATAAATGTACTCCCAAAAGTTACTGTAAACAATTGTGTGCTTCTTATATAATTTCCCAAAATATTTCTAATAATTTTTGTTGAAAAAATCAAAGTTCCTACCGAAAACGTTTTGTCTCGGCAGAGTCCAAATTTTCAATAAAATTATAACTCGATTGAGAAGTTAAAAGTTTCCAGGACTCAGCAGCATGATGATTTTCTAGTACAGACCGATCATTGTAGAGGATTGCCTAAAAATTAAAAAAAAGACATTTAACCCCAAATTCAAAATAAATATACTTTTTTATCTTCTGAAGCAACTAGGAAAGCATTAGTTCTACCTGGATGGTCATAATCGTGCATCGCCGCAGCTGAGTAAAGGGCCATTAACTGAAGAAGTAAAATATACATGTTGACCTAACTACAAGATTAGTTATCCCCCCTCCCCCCAGTTTAAGATAAATCTGGCACGAAATTAGGTGGGAGAGGTACCTAAATGCCCCCACCCCCTATTTAGGATACAACTGGTTTTCAATTCCAAGAATGAATTTTATAGTTAGATCTGACTAAGAAGACAGCTTTAATAAAACAATTACTTCCAAGGCACTCATGCTTTGTGATAAAGGAATGGCTGTTGATTCAACAGAATTGTTATTATTAAATGATTGTTGTTGTTGTTGTTGTTGGTGTCTTTTAGATATTTCCTCCCAATTATTTGAATATTTAGATATTTCTTCAATTTCCTCCCCTTCATCGTCAACCTCTTCTAATGATTGGTGGTAATCATAAAATGCATGTACTGAATGGCAAGTTAAATAAAAACAGCCATGTAAAACATCAGCAGCGTGAATTTGGTTGTGATCTTTTAATTTTAATAAATAATTAAATTAATAATTGGATAAAATATTGAGGTTGGGTCATAAATTTAAATTCAATGTTAAATCCGCAATTCAAAATTTTTAATTTTAAAAAGCTATGAGGGTAAAAGGAGTTCTTTCCAATTAAACTCTAAATATTTATTTGGACCCCATTCTGATCAAATTTTAAGCAAAAAGTTATTTCGGGAATTAGGTTTTGTTTCCGAGAAAAATTTTGTTAGCCACCTAAATGATTCCACAAACAATTTCTTTGAGAGGATCGAGGGAGCAGGACCTGCTAATACTTGGAAGGGAAGGAATAATATTAAACTGACTTTTATTTAAAAGGTTGAACGGTAGAAAGTAGAGTAAGACAAAACTTTTGCCTAATTTTTAATGTTTATAATGGCTATGGAGAAGGGGGGGGGATTAAAATATTATTTTAATGTAAAAATAAAAACTAACAGGGAATATCCCAATAACCAGATTCTAAAGCATGGAAAAAATTGAAGAATTTAGAATAAGAGATCTTGAATGTTTTGAATAAATCAGCTTCTTTAAATATTGCAAAGGTTAACTTTAAAAAATAAATTAATTAAATTAATTCTCTTCTAAATTTAATTACCCTAGAGAGAACAGTATTTTTATATTTATCAGCAAAATTAAAAATAGGAAAACTCCATTCTTGTAATTGTTGACCTAATACTGAACATTTAGATTCAAGTTCGTTAAGTTCGTAAATTGTTCCGTCTGAAGTTTTGAATATTTTCTGTCCTTCTTCTTGCTCATTTTTTTCTTTTAATTTTCTTAAAAAAATTTATTTTTAGTTTTAAATTATATTTGTTTTAAGTTCTGAAAAGCGTGAATGAAAAATAAACGGGGAATGAAGATTTTTGTTAGGATCTTTAGAATCTTGATTATCCGAATTATTTTTTTTCGAATTTTTTTTTCTGAAAAAAATTTCCGAATTTTGGGGAAATAACGAATATATGTATTCCCCCAACTCGAATTTAATTAATAAATTTAAAAAATGAATAAAATCAAAGGAAAATAAATTTAAAAATTAACTAAACCAAAAAACATTTATTTATTTACCTCGAAGAGATTGGCTGCTTTTGACATTCAGAATCTTTTGAAAGTTTTTCTAAAGATTCGTTTGAAGTTTTAGATGCCTTTTTTGGTTGTTTTTTGGTTGTTGTAGTTGGACTGCTAGAATTAGATAATTTTTGTGTAGTGCCGGATGTAGAGGGGCTAACATCTTTTGGTTGACCTTAATTTAAAGAATTTTTTGAAATTAGGAAAATTTTAGAATTTAAATGAATGAATTGTCAAAGATGTTGCTTTTCTATTTTTTAAAAATTAAATAGCAAAATACATGATTTTTAATCAGATTGTTGAATGAATATCTTTTTAATAAATTTATAACAGATTAATTAAAAGAAAAGGTCGGCTAGCTGATTGATTTTGGACTTTTGTTATATTTAACCCCCAAAAATGGAAAAGTGATTGGAGTTATAATGAATATAATCAGGCCTTAGAAAAGGATCAAATCTAATGAGATATTGAAAAAAAGCAACTAAGTATTGCGAGGCGTTAATGAAAGGCTGATCAGAATAAATTCCCTATCAACATAAAATGGAAACAAAAAAAAGATTAATATCTAATCCAATAAAAGTCTCAGTTATTTCACACAAAAAAGACCATCCATCCTCAATTAGAAAACCTCCAAAAAATTAAATTAAAAAATTTAGCTAACCAGTCATTTCAATTCCTCCTCTATTATTATTGTCTGCAGACGTTGATTTAAATAAAAAAGGCTTTTCAGCCACTTTTGTTTGATTAATTTCTGAAGAAGAAAAGGAGGAAGAAGAAGAAGAAGAGGAGGACTGTTTTTGATTATTTTCTTTAATTTCTTTTAATTTGGGGACATCTGAAGAAGAAATTAATTGTTTGTGACGACAAAAAGAGGAAGTTGAGGTTGGGGAAATAATGAAGGGATTTGTGGTTGTAGGTGATTGTTGGGGGGAAAATTGTTGTTGGGGGGAGGATTGTTGTTGAGGGGATGATTGTTGTTGGTGGTGATTTTCTTCTAAATTTGGAGGTAAAGCTTTCCAATAACTGAAAAAGAATTAATAGATTTTTTTTATTAAATTCTAATTTTGGTTTATTATAATTATTTTTTAAAAAAAATCCAGGAAGTTAATGATTGCTAAATTTTTTTTAGAAAAAAAGATTAACTATTAAACATCGAAAATTATTTTTTTAATTAAAAAATACACTTTATTTATATACGGATTCGGAAAGTTTTCGAGGAAATAAAAAAATTTTTTTAATTAAAATTTTATGTAATTTCTTTTTAATTTTTGTATTTTTACAAGTTTTATTCCTTTCATTCACCTAAAGTAAATGAATAAATATACTTAAAATTTTTGTAGTATAAAAATTAAAAAATAAAAATAAAACAAGTTTTGTAGTTAAAAAGAAGGAAGTAAAAAGTAAAAGGAAATAAATTTGGGTTAAAGTTAAAGATAAAAGGTTAATAAAGAAATTATGTTTTTAATAAAAAAAAGATTAAAAAGCTTGTAAAAATAACTTCTCTTAGTTCCTTTTTATTTTTTAAAACATTTACTCGATTTATACTTTTTAGAACAAAAATAAAAGTAAAATCCCTCTAAAATAAATCTCCCTTAAGATGAGGGGGAAGACGTCTTAAATGGATTAACTGTTTGAAGATTATTTACCTGCTAGAACGTGGCCTAGAAGGTTCGGCAGCAATAGTTGGCAAACCAGTAGCAGAGGTTACTGTAGAAAATGTAATATTTGAAACGCGGGGTTTGGAAGTCTAAAAATTAAAAAAATTAATCAAATAAAAAAAATAAAAATTAAAGCATTCGTCCAGTTTTTAACGTCTATATAAAGTCAACTAAAATATTTATAAGCCCAAGCAAATATTTATAAGTCGAATCAAAAAACTCATTATTATTAGGGAGCGGATTTTTATTGAAATATATTTTTTTCTTCCAAAACCATTTCGTTGAGAGAAGCCCAAATATGCTATTAGTTTTTCGATATTATGATTTTGAACAAAGTTGTATTTCAATATATTTCAATATTCTGCCATTTTTCCATTTATTTCAATATTTGGCGCATTTTTCAAATTATTTCAATATTTTTGCATATTTTTACCAAAATTTAGGCATTTTTCATAAATTTTAGGAAAAAAGTGAAGAAATCTGGCCGCCTGACAACCAAAAATCTCAAAATTTTTGCCTGCGGCGCTAAAAATGGAAAAAGTTGGCTTCATGGTCTTCCAAAATTCTCAGAATTTTTGCCTGCGGCGCTGAAAAGGGGAAAATCAAAAAGCTGAAAAGGGGAAAATCAAAAGGGGAAATCACCCACTGAAGAAAATCACCAAAATGCCCCATCCCCAATTTGGCCCATCTAAAAATGCACGGAGTAAAAATACTCAATTTATCGAAGTATACTTAAACCTAATATGCAATTTTAAAAACGGGATTAATTTTCAACATTTTTTTTTGATTTTTACTAGTGAATAAGCCATAATTTATTTCAATATTTCACTAATTTTTGGCATTTTTTGTCAATATTTTGGCAGTTTATTTCAATATTTTATGGCCATATTTCTCTATTTTATTTCAATAAAAATCCGCTCCCTAATTATTATTAATATTAAACTTATTATTGGGCTACTAAATTTTTTACTGGGCGTATAAAGAAAAATATTTTCTTGGCACAAAAAATTAGGAAAAAGGCCAAAAAATGCTATTTGTTTTCTATTAAAAAATTTTATTGAAAAAAATATTCAAAATATATTTTTAAAAATATTTTTCTCATTATTATAATTAATTGGCAGGTGTATCAAAAATTAAAGAAAACAACATTAACATAGTTATAAGAATAAATATAAAAAAATTTTAAAAAATTTTAAATTTTAGGGGATTTAAAAAAATAATTAAAAAAATTATTTTTTTTTCTCAAAAATCTTAATCTCTACAAAAATATTTAAAATATTCTTTTTAACTAAATAAAAAGTCAATCTATCACTTTTTATAATCCTTTATTGAAATATTCAAATATTTTCTTTTCTCATTCCCAAAATCCTTTCCAAAAATTAATTTTAAAAGTTAACGGAAAGGGAAGATTAAAACAAAAAAGAAAAAATTATTGCCAAACACAAAATCGGGGGATATAAACATGTGTAAAAGGTAAAAGAATATTTTATTGGGAAAGCTTTTTACACTTTTGAAAGGGGATATTACGGCGTAGGAAATTAATTGAAAGATGGTTTTTTTCGGGCCGGTCCGACCGAGTCTTTTTCGGGCCAAAATTCGATGCCCGACTTGATCTTTCGGACCAGACCGGGCCGGTAACCCTATTCTTTACCATATTTTTCAAACAAACTTAAAAAGATATTAGATTTCTTCAAAAATATTCTTGGAAATTATTAATTTAATAAGAGATTAATTAAGAGTTTTATGGCGCCAAGAAATAACCCAATATTTAGAAAAAAGAATAAAAAATAGTGAGAAAAATTTTTTATAAAGGGAGTATATCCTTGTAATATGTATACTTCCTACTTCCGTCAATTTCCATTTAAAATTACAAAATGCGCGGATATATATTTTAAGTATTTTTATTTGTTAACAAGGAAGAGCACTTGCACCGGAAAAGGAAATTTGTAATTTAAAATGAGTTAAAAATAAATTATGGGAAAATTAAAAAAGTAAAGGGGGTAAGGAAGGAAGGAAGTACCTTTTAAATAGCTAAATTAAATATATGAAATAAAAAAATAAATAAAAATTTATCAAAATTAAGAACATATTTAGGGTTGCCAAAATGGACCGACTCGGGCCGAAAGATCGAGTCGGGCCTAAAATATCTGGCCCGAAAAAGACTCGTACGGCCCGAATCGAAAACGACAACCCTAATTATATTGTTGGGGGTTCCTGTAAAGTTTTCAAAGTCTCTCTCTAAGTTGTTAAAATCCCCCACGCTTCTTCCATTCAATGTCAACCCAATTCGGTCCTAATAATGTCCTAAATAGAGAGCCAGATTATTTATTTAATTATTCCTCCCAAAAAACAATTTTATAGGACTTTTGAGAAAATAAAAGAAAATAATTTCCTCGCGCATTATTTTAACCCAATAAAAATAAAAAAATGTTTTTAGAAAAATTTACAAAAAAAAAATAAATGTCAAAAAATAACTAGTTTTTTTTTCTATAAAAGTACTAAAAAAATAAAAAAGTAATTCCTCCCATATTTAAATATTCAAATAAACATTTCCGAAAAAATAAATAAAAAATAAAAATTGTGTTCTTTTAAAGAGATCGCTTAATTTGTTTTTAAAGTTGTTATTGTTTGTTTTTGTTTTTATAAACATTTCCTATTTAAATATAGCGAGAAAAGAGAAGTATATATTTGAAAGTAATTTTATTTATTTGACAGCCGGAAAAAATAATTTAAGGAAAAAAACAAATTAAATAACTTAAAGTCCATCTCGGAAATTGAGAGAGGTTATAAGCTAGTTAGTTACTTTCTCGGGAAATTAATTCTCCGTTGAGATATATGGAAGTTTAATGATGGAGGTTAATAAATTTACAAATGAGTAGAAATTACTTATGCCGAAATTTAAGGATTTTTTTAGTTTCGATTCCTCATTTCTAGCTAAACATTAAATCTTCTGTCTAATATTTTTTGCTGTTAAATTGAAATTTAAAAAATTTCCTCATCGATAAAATTTTCTATTAAATTTCCCGAATCCCAAAAGGAATTTTTAATTTCGAGAATTATTATTTTAACTAGCACAACTAAAAATTAATGTCACCTCAGAAAAGGGGAAATTACCCTAATTTATGAATAAAAAAACAATTTCCTAACCCCTTTCCCTCTCCTTTTTATTTATTGTTTTCCAAAGTCATTTGAGATAAAAAAAAACAATTAAAATTTTCAAAATTTATTTTTCTATTAAATATTTCTTTAAAATTATTTAAAAAATAATTAAAGAATAATAATTTATTATAAAATTATTTTTAATTAAAAACACGTGAGAGGAATTATTATTTATTATTTCCCTAATTTCTCCAAAATTTCCAACCTTTTTTATGGTAAATTATTTGTAGAAAAAATACTAAAAAACTTGAATTAAATTTAAAAAAATAACAAATATTTATTTATTTAATTTTCTTGTTATTTAATAAAAAATAATAAAAACACTCTCAGAGAAATAATGGGAATTGAGGTAAAATTGTAGGTAAGGGGAAATCGATAGAAAAAAAAGAAAAAAATTTAGTGGCAGCTGGACAAATTGGGAAAGAAAGATGAGAAAAATAAAAAAGAAAAAAATTGGAAAAAAGAAAAAAGGAAGGGAGAAGGGAAGAGCTTTTTGGACATAAACAAGCAGATAATAATAATAATTTTTAATATAAAAAGTATAATAAAGTTAATCAAAAAAATTGGACGAAAATCGTTTTAGATGTAGAAAAGAAAAATAAGAAAAAATAAAAGGAAAAGAGATTCTTTTTAAAAAATTAATAGTTGACAAGAAAGATTTTGGAAAATTATAATATTTACATAAGAGCTTATCTGAAATTCTAATTGGAGATTGGTATTTAAAAGTGTATAATTATATCCAAACTCCCTACCTACCTACATAAATTATTTTTTAATTTACTTTACTGTTAGGCAAAATGGCTTTTTTTGGTACCAAGATAGTTGGAGGATTCGTTATTCGGGGATTTCCCAAGATCCGCCAACCCTATAAAAGCGAGTAGAAGTACTGGGCGAGTACAGAAGTTTCCAAAATATTTTTCGAATTTGTTACTGATAAAAGCGGTTAAATAATAAAAATATTTTAAACAACTACTATTTAATAGTACACATTTTTACATATCCTCATTTAATCTTCCAATGAATTAAAAATTAAAAATAAAATAAAGAAAGTTTAGAGAAAGTGTTGGAAGCCATAAACAATTAGATGAATATATTAATTTCTTAAAGAAAATAAAAACAAATTAAATCCCTATTTAGTTGTTAATGCCTAAGATGTCAATAAGAAAAAGTTAAAGATAGATAAAGTAGAGGAATGAAAATTTTGAGCAGATTAACTACATGATTCATGAAATTTATGAGAAATAGTACAAAAATGCTGAATTTTCTCAATTTAAAAATATTTGGACTAAAAATTCTAAAAATTTTTAAAAGTTAGTTAAAACTTTATCAGTATAAAATTCTAATAATTTTAGGTTTTCATTAATTTATTAAATATAGTTAAATCGCTAATGCGCTAAAATCTGTGCCATTCTTATAATTCTCTCCTTTTTTTATTAAAGAAGACTAGCAAAAGAGTCAATTAAATATTTTACGTAATTAAAGGATTATAATTGAAATATTTAAAGAGATTTTAAAAGATTTATTATTAAATTAAAAAATATATATTTATTAGTTGCCAATAAAAATAATCCAAATATTTTTTAAATAATCAAAATTTAAGTAAATGATCTAAGCAATCACTAACTACACAAGGTAAAAAAAAATTTAAAAAAGATGAGAGGAGAACTGCCAGACCTTGAAATGTTTAACTAAATATTAAGATTTTGATAGATAATTAACAATTCTAAAATCCTTTTAAATAATTAAATAATACCCCTAGTCACGAAGGAAGACTCAAAATAAATTTTTTATTAAAGACTAAGTCAATTGTTATACATATATAAGATTATATTCCCTCCTTAAAATTATTTATTAGTATTGTTTATTAACCGCTAGGCCATCAAGCAAACAAAAAACTAAGTCACGGTAAATATCAACCCTTATTTTTACGTCACAAATCTTGCGCACGTTTGTGAACGATGATTTAAGCAAATATTTAACTTTAACAAATATTTATTTAAAAAAGAGCGACCAACTTTATTAGAGAGGAAAGGAAAGATGAAAAGTAATGGGGGTGGAGGGAGGAGGAGAGGAGGGGTGGGGGGACGAGAAGGGAACATCCAAACAAACTATTAAATATTTTTTTTCTTTAAAAGACAGCCTGTACTAAAGAAAATTGTTTGAGAATGTTTGAGAAGAAGGAGAAGAGGGTGCCAAGTTTGTGTGACGTCACCAGACTTTATAGTAAAGTAAAGCTTTTTTACAAAAGCTAATTTTCTCTCTTTCCCTTCAATCTCCTTCCCTTCCTCATATCCCCCCCCCCTAAACGAGAATAATATTTTTTATTTTTATAAAAAAATAATATTATAATCTGTTATGTAACATCATAAAATTAAAACTAATAAAAATCTTCAAAAAATGCCAATAATTTTTTAAAATAAGTATAGAAAACCAAATATAAAAATAAAAATTAGAATGATTTAAGTAAAAAATTAAAGAAAATGGATATCAGAAAATTATAGGCAAAAAGTATGATAATTAAAAAATATCGTTTTTATGATATTTTTAGACTTCTTAAAATCTAAAATTACATAGAAAACCGTCCCAGTCCCCGTTAGACTCAAAGAAATTTCATTTTCATTCAATAAGGCTCGTAGGAGGAAGTTATGCTCAATATCCTCATGTCTTCAGATATCCGATTCTGATAAACAATTAGAGAATTTCAGGATATCCGGGCTTTGTTCAGATCCGCCAACTCTAGCAGCCAGCTTATTTAGGCCTTTAAAAAGTTTAACTACTACCGCCCCCCCCCCGTCTACTGAAAAAAAAGATAACCGAACGTAGACTAGACTGCAGTATATATTTAAATTAATTATGTAAAAGTTATTAACCAAAAACCATACATAAAATTTGTAAAAAAAATTATAAAAAAATTATTTGGTGCAATGATAATATTTTCAATTAATTAATAAAATATGTAGAGAGGAGGGGGGAGAGCAGGTGGATATTTTTTTAAATGCATGAATAAGTTCGTTTATGCACGTGAATGGGAATTTTAAATAAAAAAATGGAAAAGAAAGGGTGGCATAATTGGGGGAATATATTTAGAGGTATATATCCATTTATTCAAAAAATGTGCTAAAAGAAGAGAGAAGATATATTTAAATAAATTTTTGGATTAAAAGAATAAAGAATATATAAATTAAAGAATTTATTAAAAATATTTGGGAAAAAAGACGAGACATTTTACTTGGAATAAAGCATCATAATCTTTTAATTTTTAAATTCTTCTAATTAAAGAGAATTATTTAATCCTTAATTTATAACACAAATCCCAAGCATTAATATTCTCCAAAAAAGTTTAATTTTATATTTGTTGCCGTTAAATACATAAATGGACAAATTTTAAATTAAAAAAAAAGAATCTCTACTATAAGTAAGTATAAAGGCTTCCCAAGCTTTTATGTATTATATACCTTAATTTTTTTATAACTTTAGTTTACATATTATCGAAGGAAAATTTTTTTATAAAAGTGTATAATTAAAGAAAACCACCTTTTAAGAACTTGAGGGGAATTATTTTTTAGAAAAAACAAAAGTACATTTAGCTTTAAAATAATAACTTAAATAATTTATTAAATGTTCGGGTCAAAATATAAAAATCCCCCTTTTCCATGACGTGCCCTAATTAATATAAAAAATAAATAAGTACCAAATAAATAAAAAAATAAAATTTTGTTTTTATTACTAATTTTCGAAGAAAAACCAGTTTATTTTATTTATTTTTTATTTTTTCCCAACAATTTAATCAAAGAAAAAGACACAAAATTTGGCCTTTTTTACGTAAAAAATGCACTGACATGTTTTGCTAATAAAAAAAACCATCTCCGAACTGTCGGGAGATTGATGGGAGGGAGAGAAGAGAGCAAAGCACGAACAAAATAAATATTTAAAATGAACGGAAAGAAAAAATTGTTTAAAAAGTATTTAATTTTAAATAAAATTATTTTTTCTAAAGAAATACTTAAATTGTTAAATAACCAAATAAAAAGATTAAAAACGATTAAAAATTTTTAAAAGAAAATAAATTGAAGGGGGTGGGGGTATTAAATGGAAAAGCTGGAAAAATTGTTAAAAAATAATTTAAATTTAATAAAAAAGGAAAGAGAATACACCTAGAAATGACTGTCTTAGGGGAGGCCGCACTGAACCATTCAAACTCCATCATGAATGTGCAGCAATAGTAGTAAAGCTGTCCAAAAACGAAAGACTCAAAACCAAAGAAAGGAAAAATCTTGAGTTAACACCAAAAGTCTTGAGCAGTTTTAGAGAATATTTAGAAGTTGGAAAGAAATTTAAAAATTTCTTGATATTTGAAATTCAAAGGATTACAAAAATTAAGATGTGTACAGCCCAAAACAACGCGCGGCCAGAAAAATTTAAAAAATACTGAAAAGGGATTTCTTATTCCTCGTATGAAAAAATAAAAACAATTTTTGATAACCTTAATTCCAACCTTAATTTTTAAAAATAAAAATATAGTGGTTATATTGTTTTTAAAATAAAATATATTTATTTATTTAAATGGCATATGACCCTTAAATAAATAAATGGAATGACAAAAACAGGCACACACACACACATGTGCCATACAATTTTCTTTAAAAAATATATTTATTTTATTTTAGCTTCCTTTTTCCCACTCAATTTAGCTGAAAAATTTTAAAGAAAAAAAAGAGGATATAAAAATATATTTTTGAAATTTATATAAAAAAATTTAATTTAAAAAAGGATTGCGTGAATTTTAAAAAGATTTTGTTAAATAAAAAATAATAATGTATTTTTAGAAAATAAAAAAATACAAAAGTCAAAGTTTTGAATATTTAAAAAAAAGATTAGAAAATTATTTAAAATATTTAAATAAAATATTTAATAAAAAATTGCATACTACCTGCATAATAAAATTTAAAAATATATTCCTATATTATGTATGTAAAATACACTACAAAATATTATTATTTTAATTATTCCGGAAATGATGTTTTTCCGGAATGTTTTTAGTTTTAACACAAATGTTTTTCTGTAGGTTTTTATATTTTATATAAATACCTAGCAGTTTTCTATCCCCATGCCCCTCCCTAACCCCCCCCCCCCCCCCCCCCCATTTAACTGCTACCCACCAATGATGTTCGAGACTCTCGGTCTCAACTCCCGTTTTTTTTGACTCTCGAACATTTAACTACTACCCCCCCCCCTCCCAATTCCCCCAATATTTTTTTCATTACCGGTACATCGCATTCCAAACAATTAATTAAACAGGCAGATGTTCGTTGTTTACGTCCTTTATAATTATGACGATTTTCTCCTTCACTTTTTTGTTGTTTTTTACGGCTACTTCTTCTATTCCACCTTTTTTCAGCGTTTGCACGCAAATCCCACGAACCGGTAAATACTTTGACAAATTTTCGTTTAAATAAAGCTGTGTAGAGGGCTGGGTCATTATGTTGAAGATTTGTGGTAGAAGATGAATTTGTTGAGGAAGAAGTTGAAGAAAATGAAGAAACTAATTTTTTTAAATGATTTAAGAAATATTTAAAAGAAACTAATTAGTTAAGGGGAAATTCATTAATTATTCAATTTAATTATTTAGAGGCTCCTTCTTTATCTCAGCACTTAGGATTGGCAGAACCGGATAACCGGATCCGAGAAAGGTCCGGATATCTTAAATTTTCCAGGATCCACCAACTCTACCATTCCCAATTTTGTGCCATCAAGACATGTATTGAGATTCAACAGTATTTTCCTTTTAATTTCCTCTTAATTTTCTAAAGATTATTGAAAAGAGACACTGCTTCCTCAATAAATTAATTAAATTAATTACCTTTTTCGGGAACACTTTTTTGTTTTTGTTGTGAAGCTTTCTTTGATGTTGATGAATAATTTGGAAAAGAAGGTAAAGTAGCTGTTGTGGTACTCATTTTATTTGAATAATTTGATGAATGAATTTTTAAAGGAAATATTTTTAAAATTTTCTCTCTCAAAAAATATATAAATATTTATTTCTTTTAAAGAAATATTTGTTTTTGTGTTATTTTCACAAAAATCCTTTAAATTTCAAGGGCAATTCAAGTAAAAAATACTTTTCCCCCTTTTTTACTTCCACTTTAAATTTTCCACTTTACTTTTACTTATTTACTTTGGATTTTTAACGTTCATTTCCTTTTTTTCTTAGAAACAGTTAAACTTTTTTTATTAAAAGAAAAGTATTACAGAAAAGTGAAAAATTTTATTAAATCCCTCAGGCAAATTTTTTAGATGAAAATTTTGACACATGCCGTGGAAGCGGGTTTTCAAAAGAAGTTTCAGACTTTTGTGGAGGGTTAGAATCTAAGACAATAGCTCCTATATATAACGAAGTATTACGGCACTTTAATTACATTAATTAAAAATTTCACACGAGAGGGTGTCGTTATATCGAAATTTCATTGTTCCATATGTCCATATTTCGTGAGATAAGGGTTTTTGCGAACGATTCTTAAAAGTTTACTCAAAAAGATTACGAAATTAAAAACGATGAATAAAAATCTTAAAAATTCTTTTAATAATTTAATTATTTAAAAATTTTTTATTAAAATGCGTGACCTTAAGAGCAAAAAAAGATAGACAATTAAAAAGTTTATAAAATTGTCACCTTATAAATTTTGTAAAAACTAGTAGGTATATTTCGTGTTTAAAAATATAAAATAAAAATTATGAGGGAAGTACTTTTATTTTACTAAAAAAATTTTTTTTTTGCATTTTTCATCAACTTTTTTTCTAATTTTCTTAAGTAAATTTAAAAGTAACGGAAGGAAAAAAATTAAAAGAAAAAAAAGAATTTTTTTTATTAAAAATATCTTCAAGAAAGGATTATAATAATAAATAAAGGAGGTTTTTTAGATAAAACTAAAAATTAAAGAAAACCATCATTTATTTAAATTTTTGTGCCAAAAAATGTTAATGAGTGAGAAATTAATGGAGAGGAAATATTTTTTTAATGAATATAAAAAAGAAAAGAGAGAGAGAAAAAATAAGAAATTATGGCCAAAAAATGGGGGAAAGGAATAAATAAATGACGTGAGAAAATAATTAAAAGGAAAAAATAACGGGTTGGGGGATTTAGGCACAACGTTTGGAGCTTCGGGGGTTGGAATAAAATAAAAAGGATCGAACGAAAAATGGACCAATTCCAAATTATTTGCCTAAAAATAATTTTGAATTTATTTCTAAAATATTGTTTTCAAGGGTATCTAAATCCTGTACATATATTAATTTAAAAATTATTCCTGTATGTAGATTATTTAGAAAATTTCCTCACTTGTCTAACCAAAAATTTTGAAATTAATAAAATTTAAAGATTTTAGATTTTTATTGAAAACAGTTTGAAATTGATTTAATAAATCCATTAAATAGAAAGAATTGGCAGCTAATTAAATAGAACAAAAAGGAAGATGATTAGAGGGAAATTAAAATTGATTTAAATTATTTTAATTTTTATAGAATTTAAGGGATTAAATAAACATAAGAATAATTCAAGTAATCAAATCCAAAAAATAGATTTTTAGTTTTCTGTTTTAGACTTCCAAAAAATTTAATTTCAACGTTTTCATTTTTGATTAAAGAATGGATCTCTACAACTATAAGGGCCAGTCGGCATTTTTTAATTAAAAATTGGCATCAAAAATTTAAAAATTCTTTTAAATGTAAATTAAAATTTATGTATAATTTTTATAAACTATGAAGGTATATTAGTAGATATAGTATTTTTGTTTATAAAAGAGGCAACCGAAAAATAAACAGTTGTTTATATGAATATATCGGGATTTTTTAATCAATAAGGAATAAACAAAAAAATTTAAAAAAATATTAGAGGAAATATTAAAGAGAAACAAAAAACAAAATTTAAATATTAAAAAATCTCGAAATGGAAACCCGCTGCGACCAAAGAATAAATCTTTTCTCCTATTGATGTGTTAGTGAGGGTATTTAATGTTTTGTGGCTCCGATATCTTTCAAAACTTTGCTTAGTCTCCAGACATTTGATTAGTTAAAGAAAAAATAAAAATACCCTATCATATAATCTCTAAATTAATTAACTAACAAAGAGTTAATACAAGCATTGACTAAATGACTGATAATTAGACAGAGATATAAGCAAGTATTGTTCTAATTTTTTATTAAATTCAATTTTTATTCTGTTTAAATTTAAATATTTATTTCCATTTCTTTTAACTAAAAATTAATTTGCAAAGGAAAGGAAATAAAATTTAAAGGAAAATGAGGTAATTTAAAATATGTAGATAGATAAATTTTTTTGAATTAAAAGTAGGCATTAAAAATTTATTAAAAAATGAATAAAAGAAAATGAGTGATTAAATAAAAGATTTGGAGGAAAAGATATATTTTGAGATAAAATGACGTTTAAAAAGAAGTGATTGGATTGAGAATGATTGAATAGATTAATTGTGAAAATAAACACGAGAATATACTTACTACCTACTACTATATTAAATATATATCAATTTTCAAAAAGTACAACAACTAAAAAAAGTAAAATGAAAAAAAGTATTTTAATGCCAACTGTTTCTAAATTAATATAAAATTAAATAAATAATATATTTTTGTCATTTATTTAAAAAATAAAAAAAATAATTTCTCAAAAATTGCAAAAAAAATAAAAAAATAAATTTTAAATGAAGAAAAAGAATAAAAAAAAAGAAAATTCTTTTTAGAAAAACCTTCTCCAATAATTTACTTTTTAAAAACAAAATTACGTAAAAAATGGAAGAAACGCTTTTTCTCAATTTATTTTTTTAACAAAGTTTAAAAGAAAGAGACAAACAGAAATTATTCTGGCGGAAATTTTAAACTTTTAAGGATTAGAAAATAAAAGTTTTCTTTTGGTTTGAAAGAAAATTTAAATATAAAAAATATAATTTTTTTTTGAAAAAAAATAAAAATAAAGGATCACAAAAAGATTAACCCACCCACAGAAAACCCTCCTTCTCCCCATAATTACTATACAGAAAAATAAAAATAAACTGCAACTGTGTAAATAAATTTCTAGATATTTTTATAGCCTCTTAAATTAACTCTTAAATATAGAAATATGTATTCTTAGGAATATTCAAAAAATAAATTCAATTACTATTTAAAAATTCAAAGTACAGACTTTAATATTTCTTTAAAGTTTTGGATTTATAGAAATGTTCTAATAAAATATTCAAAAAATATATTACCGGAAAAACATAAAAAAATAAAATTTATTATGCAAAATAACAAAAAAAGGGAATATATAACATCATTTTCTTAATTAAATTGAAAATAAAAGCAATGAGAACTTTGAGCTTTTATTTTTTAAATAAAAAGTTGGGGAAAAAGTTTTTTTTAAATTAAGTTTAGCAAAAATAAAATTTTGCAAAAATTCCAACAAGTTGAAAAAATGTTAGAAAATAATTTTGAATAAAAATAAAAACATTAATTTATTCAAAAACTTACCCCTTTATTATTATTTCCATTATGTAAAAACATTAAAGACCGACAATTTTCACAACTATTAGCTAATATTTGAACAATTTCTAATTCACAAACACTCGCCCCTCGACATTTTTGTTTTCTTTTATTTAAATTAATGCTGCTATTTCCACTTTCTATAGTATCTGAACGTGAACGAATTTCTCCTTCTTTTTCTTCTTTTTCTTCTTCATTAATGCCAAAAACAGCAGAAATTTTATTATTTTCTTCGTCCTTTCTTTTCGGCATTCCGTCAAAAAAATGATTTTTACGTCGATGTCTTTCTCTAATAATATTTAGGGGAGTACTGCAAACTTCTCCAATTATTGGATTAAAATAACAACCCAATCCGGAGACTGGGGGAGAATAATAATGATGTTTTAATAAAGATTTTGGTGATCCTGCTCCAGTTACTAGAAATTAAAATTATTAGAGAATGAAGGGTAATTAAAAAGAAGAAAAACTAAAAAATGGGCGAAAATCTAAATTTTGAAAAGAAGAATTGAGGGAAAAGCATGGGAAAAAAGGAACGATAATTGAAAGCTGGAAATAAAGAGATTTAAGAACAATAAATAAACAACCCCAAAAGTCAATTTAAGAGAAACAAAGTAACCTTTTCCAAATAGGTTATTCTATTAAGAGAATCTTCAAACTTCTAATATTATCTATAGGATTGGCCTATCAGGCGGATATACGGAAATTTTCTGTTCTGGTATCAGTTACGGATATTCGAGGATTTCCTAGACCCTTCAACCCTGATTATTTAGTTCTTTTTTAAAATTTGTGAGGGTCTTTTAGTCAAGGCTGCCCTCAAATACCTACGGATTTTTTTTGGTCGAGAACACCTCTGGCTAGAGATTTTTCCAAAGTAAATCCAATTTTTATTAAAATATCACTTAACACAATTCCCCTTTCTAATATTTTCCTTTAAATAAATATACCCACTCAAGCGTCTAAATCCAGGATCTCTTTTAGCAATTTGTTGCCCCGCCTTTAATAAATTTTCCAAATCTGAATGTGCTCTCATTGACTTTTTTAAAAGCAAGGGAGGTGGAGGGACTAAAATTCTTTTTTTAGAATCTGGAATTGACGGTTTATTGCTTAAAAGTTTTTGAAGTAAAATTTTTTGTTGTTGTTGGGATTGAGGTTGGGGAAGAGGTTGGGGAAGAGGTTGTTCTTCTTCCTCTTCTAATATTAAATATTCCTCTTCTTCATCTTCTTTTTCAGAAATTTTATTAATTTTTTCTTCTGCCATTTTTTTGTTAAAAAATATTTTTTTGTAATTATTTTTATTTGGTAATGACGTGTTTTTCTTTTATTTATTTAAAAAAACAAATTTTAGTAATGGATTAAATTGTTGTTTTTTTGTCTTTAATTGCTTTTTTACCCAAATCTCAATTAAAAATTTAATTAGTAAATAAATATTTCTTTTTGTTTTAATATTGATAAAATACTTTTTTTAATTAATTAATAAATACAATCATAATTAGAAATTTTAAAAATAGGTAAATAAAAAAATATATAAACAAAAAAAAAATTATTAAAAGAATTAGTAAAATTTATAAAATTTTAAAGTTGCTATTTGTTTATTTATAAATAATTGAAAGTATTAATTAATGTAAATTTTAGTTTTCAATACAAACATCTTAAAACTTAAGACTTTTAAATTTACTTTTAAAAAGCCTTTCAAAGTATTAATTTTTATTATCCCATAAATTAATTTTTTATTGCTTATCTCCCTTCCCCAAAAGCCGACAAAATTTCAAAAGGCTTAATTTTAAATTAAGAGGGATATCTATGTAGTATTGAGGGGGGGGGGGTATTGTACATATACTTTTATATTTCTACTTTATTAAATTCTTAAAAATCTTTTAGAAAATATTTTTAAGAAAAGAATATTTTAACAAAAAAAATAAATAAAACTTGTGTGTGTGTATGTAATACGAGCAAAATCTGTCGGCATTAAAAATAATAAAAAAATCGTCAGAGCGAAAAAATAAAAATGCCTTAAGTAAAATAAAAAAATCTCCGTCTTTTTTATTTTCTAATTTACACTTTTGCTTTGCCATTTAATAGTATTTTTATCTGGTCAATTATTTTGAGGCAAAAATTATTTTTTTTAAATAAAAGAAAATTTATGTGTACTTTACCTACTAAAATATTTTACTCAATATATTCTTTAAAGTCAAATATTTTTCTCTTTTAAATAAAAAGGAAATGGAAAATTAAAATTAAAAAAAAGGAAAGAAAAAATTTAATAGGCAGAAAAATACAAAAATTAAAAGGAAATAAATATTTAAAAAATAAAAGTTTAGTATAGAAAAATAATTTAAAAAATATTAAAAAAATTTTTTATTTTAAATTTAATTTAAGAAAATAGTTTAAAAAAAAATTACTGGGTATTTTTTAAATAATTTTAACTAAAATTAAAAATTCCCTATTCCCTTTAAAGAATAATTTAAACAAAAAATAACAACCAGAGGACCTCCCTATTAAAAGATAACTTCTTTAAATCCTAATTTGTTAAAATATGTTTGGCTGTCCCCAAAACATCAAAACAATCTCCTCAATACAATTTTTTAATTACATATCTTATAAGGAGATCCTTCCTCCTCCTCTCTCAATTAAAAAAAAACAAAAAAAACCCACCATTCCAATATTTGTTTCCCCATTATAAGGATTATCGGCAACATGAGGAATGCCTAGATCAGTCAAAGCAGTCTTTAAATTAATTTTAAATTAAATTAAAAAATTAAAATTAATTTACAGCAGAAGCACTTCCATCAATTAAATTCCCCCCTCCTTTTTGATTTATTAAATTTCCATCAGAATTTAAAAGAACAGTTACAGCTCTAAGACAAGCAGTTACTTGGGGGGATAAATCCCGTCTTTCGTTGTTACTGGCCAATAAATCCATTAAAAGACCTCTTGCCGAATGGACTTGGCTTAGATTCTTTAATTAAAATTTAATTAATTTGGAGATTAAATTAATTATTTTAATTAACTAATTGAAAAGTGAGAGAATATAATGAGTAAAATAATAAAATTTTATAAAGGATTGGAAAATAATGTTCGGTTATTTTTTTAGAATGAAAGTACCAGGAGTTGCCCAGGTAAAATAAAAATAATGTCCTTTTAGATTTCCGAGCACAATAAATATAGTTAAATTGGGGTGGGTTCTGATCGAGAAAATGTTAATGTAAGAAGAAAAAGTTTTAATTTGAAGTACATAAAGGGAAAAATTTCAAAATATAATTACGCTACAAAATACAATTTAAAAAATTTATTCTCACTTAATCTCTTATATGTATTTCTCTTACAAAGGAGTTTCTTACTGAGTTAATTACGGTTTATATTATAATTTAAAAATTTTTTTAATCAGAAAACCAGAATATGGTCACTATTGATGTCCACAAACTTTTTCTATATTTATTGTTTAATTAAGAACAAATTAGTAATTCAAAAAAAGTTAAAAATTAATTTTTCTTCTTTTTTAGTTTAATATTTTCCCAATTTTTTAATTTGTAAAAATCATTCATCAAAAAATTGTTAAATTTTAAAGAGTCCAAACGGAAATGTTTTTAAAGAAAATTAATTTCAATGAAAATGTTTACTCATAAATAATAAAAGAAATTTTTTTAATTAAAAGAAGGGAAGGAAAAATATAAATTAAAATTATATTTTAAAACCTCAAATTTATGTAAATTTAATAAAATTTAAAAAATGGAATTTCTCTAAACAAGGAAAAGTCGCTTTTAATAGGGTACATTAAATAGAGGACCTTAAATAATTTAAAATAGAAAAAATAAAAGAAATAACCAAATTTTGGCGATTTGACTGGACAGGTAAAGAAGTGCGGCGAAAAGGTGGAGGGGATAAATTAGTTGAAGAAGTAATTAAATTATTTGGATGGATGGAAGACAAAGAAGCTCTTTGACGATTTTTGTGTTTTTGCTGCTTTTTCTCAATATTGTCGGTAATTGTTGGAGTAGATTCTTTTTTTGAAAGAAAAAATAATTATTTAAAAATTAAATTAAAGATGGATAAAAACATTTTGTAAAAATCAAATGTTTTTATTGGACCGGGAGTTGAAAAACGAGGAGAAGAAGATAATAGAACTTCTATGGATACAGAAGAACTTAGAAAGAACTTAAAATACACAGAACTTCTATGGACTATAAGTTTTTTTGGTACCAATCTTTTTCTTCTTTAAAATATCAGTTTATTGCCACCAAAATTGGGTTTAAACAGGGGAAGGTAGGGATCAGGGGTGGAGCTCGTCTCGTATCTCGTTTTATCTCATTCTTGTATTTTGTGGCACTTGCGCCACCCCTGGTAGGGACGCACAAGACCAAAATTTTTCCTAGACTTGAGAACAAGACTGAACCCGAAAAACACAAAAACCGAATTTCCGAAAGTCCAAAATCACTTTTAAATTATTAAAAATCTCCAAAAAAAGCCAAAAATATCTTATTTTTTCAAAATTATTTTATGTACCTTCAGAATTTAAAAAGAAAGTAACAACAGAACGTCCTTCCCCCAAAACAGAATTACTATTATTATTATTTGAATTAGAATTTTCTTCCATCGAATATTGCCTAAATCTTCTTCCATTTTTCCCTTTAATTAATTCGGAATTTAAATTTGGATTTTTTAATATAGATTTTGTATTTCCATTATTAAATAAATAATAATCAGAATTTGTTGATAAATTATTACTTCCCATACTTTGAGTACGGTTACGGGTAGAAGATGGAGAAGATTTGTTGTTGTTTGAAGACATTTTTTCTAAACAATTAAAAACTCTTTATATAATGGAAAAGAAATTATATGTAGTATTGTCTATTATAAAGAAAGTAAAACAAAATTGAAAGTCTCTTATAATTAAAGATTAATTTGAAGAATTATTGTAGTACAATAATTAAATATAATTTTATTTTAATTTATCGTGACAAAAATTGAATTATTTAAAGATTAAGATTATAAACATGGGTGAAGAAACCAGAAAATGTTAAAAATGCCGGGGCACCGTTTGAAGCAATTTTTTAATTCTTTTTGTAAAACTGGTCCTTTCGGATGTTTTCAAGCTTATTCAACGTAAATCAAAGAAAAAGAAAATCAAAGAAAACGTAAATCTCCATCTTGTTTGAAGAGAGAATTTCAAAATTATTATTTAAATTTAAAAAATAATATTGAGAATTTATTAAAAAGAAAATGGAATGATTTATCAAAAAATAAAAAGTAATAAATAAAAGTAAAGAGAGAAAATGAAAAATAAAATGATGAAATTAATGAAACAAATACTACTAAATTTTATTAAAAAAAAATTTTTTTTGTACAATAATAAAAATAAATTAATGGCGTTTTTAATTGAAATAAAATAAAAATATTTTTTTGAATTTTAATTTATTTTTAAGAGGATTTGTAATTAAAATTGATTAAATTTTAATTAAAATTAACTATATAAAATTAAAAAAAAAGTCAAAATTATATGCAATAATATTTTTTAATATTTTTTGAAAGGCTTTAAATAAAAAGAAGATATAAAGATTTATTTTCTTTAAATCCTAAACCTTTTCTTCTTCTTTGGTTTCCCAGCGACTATAAAATATTGAGGGGATATTTAGGCGCAGACTTAAAAAAAGGGGAAAAGACTTGTAAAATTGTAAAATTAGAAATTAAAAATATAAAATTTTAAATAAATGTACTCAAAAGTGTTATTTAAATTCCATATTAATTTTAAAAATTTTGCTTTATTATTTTTAGAGTTATGACTGAAAAGCTCAACAAAACTCGAAAATTTTCAAAAATTCAAATTCCTCTCTATTTTAAAAATTCACTATTTTTAAATATAATTCCCCAAATAATTAACAAAAAATTCTATATCTTTAATACAGTTATCTGAGGAAGTTATTATAAAATTTTAAACTTTTCAGGGTTGTTTTAATTAATTTATGAAGGATGTAAGCCACCCGATCCGCGCCTAAACGCCCCTCAAATTCCTCTCTTTTTATAAAAATTCTTCTCATTTTTCTTACTTTTCTTCTCATGATATATAATTCCCTCATGAATAATACTTTGAGGGATTTAAACGAGACAAAAAGATTTTAAAAAAATAAAAGGATATGAAAATAAATACTTTTTGAATGATCAAAAAAAATTTTTTGTTGATCTGATTTTTATGTTTAGCTTTTATTGGAATTGAAATTATGAAAAATATTTCTAATTCCTTTAAGGTAATTTAACGAAATAACAGTTTTGGGTATGTATAGTACTTTCACAAAATAAAAAAACTCAAAGATTGTAAAAAGGCTTGTCTATGTAATAGTGGAATTAATTTAATATTTTATTTTTTATTTTTATTAAAAACTCTTTAAATATTTTATAAAATATTAATTATGTAATAAATAATTATTTTTTAATTTTCCGGTGCATTAAAGAAATAAAAATATTTAACACAAAATAATTTTTATATAAAATAAATAATTGATAAGTAAATAACTGATAAAACATTTTGCATCTGTAAAAAATTTCAGAATGAGTAATTAACTAAGTACTTTGATTTTTATTTTTTAATGATTAGTAAATTAATTGAAAATATATTGTAAACCTCACTATAAAATAAACGCCTAGATCTAAAAATTGTATATTATAATGAAATATATATGTACCTATCTTAAAAATGTTTAGATCAAAAACTGAAATTGACCTAAAAATATGGCTCAAATGAAGTCTACTTAGTGTAGAATGAAATGGATTTATGTATTCAGAAAAATAATACCAAGACTAAAGGGATGGGGGTTTTCAATTAAGTACTAAAAGGTATTAAAAATAAAAGATTTTAAAAATCGGGATAAAGCTAATAAAATATATAAAATGTGATTATGTGAATGAGGAAAGAATAAGTATGTAGTTTCTTTCTTTCTTTTAAAAATCATTTGATCATAAAATGAGAAAGTAAAGTTTTTTTAAAGAGTTAAAAGTTATTAACTAATATTAAATAAGTAAAGCACACAAAAAACAAAATACATCTATTTATTTATGTAATCCTCTTTTTTGTCACGTTGCTTTTTAAATCTTCGTCATCCTCCTCTTTTTTTGTCAATCAATCAAAAATGCTTTACAATTTTATTTTAATTTAAATTAAAAATTTGAAATTAAATAAAATTAATTTAATTTTTTAATAAAAAAATTAATATATATGTATCCAATTAGAGAAAGAACATTTTTTGTCTGTAAGAGGTTTCTTGATTTTAGTTCCTAGGATTTTAGAGAATAAAAATACTCCAAACTTTTAATGTTAATCTTACACAATAAAAAAGTATAGTGGACATAAAGAGATAAGTAGGTATAGGGGGGGAGGGCAGGAAGAGGGACATAAAGTAATATGTACATATAAGGAGCACGGCTGCACGCAACTGCGGATTGCGTCTGCGGATTTTTAAAAAGAAATTCGAGTTGCGGATTGCGAGTTGCGGAACTTCCTTTTTCAATTGCGTGCAGCCTTTATATGGAGATTATGGAAACCAAAAATTAGAGAAAAATAAGATTGAAAGGAGAAAAAAAAATAAATTTGTTAATTTATTTTTAATAAAAATAAATTTAAAAATGATTAAATAATCTTTGGAACATTAAAATTAATTATTTATTTTTTTTCTAAAAATATTCTTTTTCTTTCAATTAGCTTCATTTTTATTTATTCAAAATTGTTTTCTGTCAGAGAATATTCAAATGATGGATTATTATTTAATTTAGCATTGCCTGTTTCATCAATTATTATCTAAATAAGTTATTTAATTTAAAAATATTTTTTAATAAATTTTTGAATGGAAAACAAAAATAGAAAATTCTCAAAAAAAATCTCCCAAAATATATGAAACACAAAATTAATCAAAAATTCTGTTTATATTTCCTTCCCGTTTATTTTTTGGGGTTATTACCAATTACATAAGGGTCCTTTTGTAGATCCTAATAATTTGGAGAACAACCAACCAAATTAAATTTAATTGGGTTGGTCTATTGAAGAAATAAAAAGATAATTTTTGATGACATAATTAGAGGGTTCAACCCATTATAAATTTCAATATATAAATATATAATGGGGGGGGGGGGATTAACAGAATTAACAAAAATATACTTTAAAATTAAGAGTTTACATTATATTTTGTAATTTTCTTTCCATTTTCATTTCCAATTCCTTCCTCTTCTGCTTCTGATTTATTTGTTTCTACTTTTATTTTTTTATTTTTTCTTCTTTCAGAACTAGAATCTTGCCAAACCCCAGTTATTGTTATTATACAAATACAAGAAAATAATAAAGAAATACTTGAACCACTTAAAGTTATTAGTTTTTGTTTTTCGTTTAATAAATTGTAGTCTGCACTCTAAAAAGGGGAAAAAGGAGAAAGTTTAAAGATAAAAGTTTGAAAAATATTTAGTGAATAAAAACTCAAAATCCCCAAAAATGTTCTCGAAAATAGTTCTCTTTCATACTCCCGAAGGGATCAAAGAGAGATACTCCCAATACTCCCAAATTCATGTTTAATCCTCAAAGCAATCGGGCCTTATTAGCACAAGATACCTATTTCATTTAATTTGGTCGATCACTAGATTGGGAAGCTCCCTAAGCGATACCTCCTATTTACGATTAGTGTTCGACAAATGGGTTTTTTCCTTATTAGGTACGTATACCGAGAAAATTCAACCCAAAGAGTTAAACGTGTTTTCTTGCTGTACAAAATTTTATATTTTAAAAATTCAAATGGCTATTTTACAGCAATCGCCTAATAATAATTTTAAAATTCTGATTTTGCCTGTATTGTCAAAGAAGAAAGTACTGCAGCGTATAAAGAACGCCAAAAACTTTCAGGGATTGCAAACCAATAAAGAATTAAAGCAAATATAATTAACCAAGAACAATAAATAATACAAACAAAAAATAATAATAATGTTCGGTGATCGAAAGTTGATGACGAGAAATGTTTCTAAAAAAATTAAAGTAAAGTTTTATCCCAAATAATGTTATTTATAAGAGAAGTCAAACACCCAATACTAGATCAATTCAAGATTTTTAAAGTATCTTGCTTATGGGTTAGATAGAGCTGCCTAATTGATACTCTTATTTAAAATATCCCCATTATAAGATATTAGTGTCTGCCCCAAGGTTCGATTTTATAAAGCCTATCTGCTCTAGCTCCCTATGACAACCCTCAGAGGTAAAAAGAATTTTTATTTTAAATTAAAATAAAAATAACATTTTTTGTTACAAGTTGAGATAGAATGCGGCAAAGATTCAGTAAACGATATGAGATAACAATTAAAGTAAATACAAAAAATGGAACACCCAAAACACAATAAAGCAATGCAAAAACCTTTAAAAAACAATTTATTCTCTCCCTCTCTTTCCCTTTCTATTTACCTGTCCACCCCCAGTTTTAGGCGAACGGTGTCCATGCCCTATTGTTGTAATTAATCCCCAACAATAAGTTAAAGAATTTTCTAAAGTCCATTCATTTAAATCGGGCATTTTAAGTTCTAATTGCTGTTCGTATAGAGATAATAAATTAACTATTTCTCTCTTGAAAAATAATTTTTTTTAATTCTCTTGTATTTTAAAAATAATAATTTTACTTGAATTCTTTCAGAACTATCATAATCTACAATAATCAACATATTTCTAGTACCATTAAATATAGCTGAAGATATTTGTCTCGAAAATTTATTTCTTCAAAGAAATATTTATTTTTGTATTTTTATATACAATCTAACCTCTCTGTAAGATACACCCAATATTAGATACACCTCTATTTAAGGTACGGTTTTTAAAATTTGGCTGGTTATTAGATCAAGAAAAATGCCTAAGAGGTACTAAGAGGTATTTCGCTGATAATCCTGGATATTGTTCGTTTCAGCTCGTCGAGGTACATCGAACCATACCAGGGTGCCCCGGATTCAATAACTAGCTCGGCGGTACTTTGGGCTGCCTAACAATATCCCCTAAATATTTAAAATATACCCCATTAGAAGATATTATTTTTTCATCTCCAAGGATGTATCTTTAAGTGAGGTCCTACTTTAATTAATTTAAAAATTACCTATTAATTATTAAATTAAAGAAAAATTTCCGAACCTAAAAAATTTAAAAAAATTAATTTCTTAATTTAATTTAAAAACCATAATTTCATGATTTGTATGTTCAAAAAATAAAAAAGCAGAGGCACCAAGAATTAAATAAACAAACAAAGAAAGCAAAAGAAGTAAAGGGCCAAAATTACGAATTTGATTTTCTGCTCTTCGAGAAACTTTTGGAAGTCGGGGTTTTGACCAATTTTTTGTTCCTTGGGTTACTTTGAAATTTAAAGGGATTCTCTTAAATAATTAATTAATTACCAGCTAAACGGGCAATTGTTTCCCTCCCTCTATTTGCCCATTCATTAATAGGCCGCCAAACAGTCAACAAAGGATTATTCCTTCGATTTTTCCAAAAATATTTTTTATTATTTTTATTTATTTTTGTATTGTCCTCAATTATTTGTTGTTGTAATTGGGTATTTTCTTGAATATTTTCTTCCTCATTTTTATTATTTTCGTTTTCTTCTTCATCAATTATTATTGTTATGTTTGTTTCATTCATTATTTTTGAATACAATTTGTAGAAAAACTTAAAAGGATTTTATAATTCATGATAAAATTTAAATTAAAATTGTTTAAATACATAAATACACTTATAAAATTAGAGATCGGCACAGGACAGGACCCTGCACAGACTTCTTCAGGATCACGTCCGAAATTCTGCCTTTTTTCCAGTTTTCAGGATTTTCAGGATTAATCCTGCAGGATCCTGTTCTGTATTAAATTTTAAAACCCAATCCTGATACAGAATCCTGCAAATGCGATTTTACCGATCTCTATCTAGAATACAACTTGGAAACATTTAAAATTATTTTTAAAAAATGAATTAAAAATTATATTTATTTATAATTTAAAAGAGAAATTTATTTTTCTAAATAAAAATGACCAAAACAGACAACAAATTCGTGCAACAATTTTAATTTTCTTTTTTTCTTTCCCAATTTTTATTCTCAACATAAAAAGGGCTTTTTACTTCCACTTCCTTTAAAAATCTCAACAAAACTTAGAGAGGGAAAGAATGTCCAGTCAAAATTTTATATTGGAAAATTTCTTCCCCCTCCGCCCCCCCCCCCCTCAAAAGCGCGAAGAAATAAAAAAGAAAAACAAATAAAAAAGAATTTTGGATGTTTTTTTTCTTTTTTTTTCTTCCCCAATTTGTGCCCAATTTTGGGGAATTTTGGGGAGTTGGAAGAAAGAATTAACAACAAAATTTATTTAGAAAGGCTGGATTTTCTTTGGGTAATTTTTGATAGAAAAAGAAAGAAAAAATAAGGGTAAATAAATAAATTTTATTTTTTGTCAATACAAATTAGTTTTGGAATGTATATTTTTATAGGAAAAATTAATTTTATAAAAAGTGGCAAAATAAATATTTAAAATATTTTAACAAAAACAAACTTTAAAATGTAAATTTATACATACCGTAAATGCTCTAATTAAAGCCCGGACCTATTAGAAGCCCATATCTGATACAATCCCACCCAATGAGGCCTATTGAAAAATATAAGCCCAGTCTCTAATAAGAAGATCACTCAAATTGATTCATTGAAAAATATAAGTTCAGAGCTTATGTTAGAGCATTCACGGTATGTTAAAGGCTTTATTAAACTTTTTTTAAAAAATAATAAAATTAGAAATAAAAGCTTCTCTAAAAATAATTATTTATTTGAATGTTTAATTCCAATATGTAAATTATTATTTACCTCAGCATGCATTCATCAAATTTTAATTAAAACAAAAATATTTAAAACTTTATTTATTAAAAAATTAAAATAATTTTAGGCACATAATTATTCCAGATAAATTAATTAATATCCAAAAATTGATTAAATTTAAGTAATTATTACTGTTATTTTCGATTAAAGAAGAATGATAATTTTTTCGTCGTCTTCCATGAAATATTTTTTTTCTTTTATTTTGATTATTAGTTGATTGAAATAATAAATTTGTTGAAGAACTTAAAAAATAATAATTTTTTTAATTTTTTAAAAATTCCCCACCCAGATTGACACCAACAAATTTTCTTTAGTTCATTATTTGTTTCTAAACAACCAAAAGAAGAAAGATGCGAAATAGAGCCCAACAAATTTTTATTTGATATTTTGTTTATTTCTCGTTTGTTTTGAATACAACTTTCTCTCTTTGAATGTTTTGTTGAATTTACTACAAATTTGTTTTAATTAAAGGAATAAGTGCCTTGTAGTGATCGGAATTTCACTCCGTACTGTAAAATACCAGTAATACCGAAATATGACCAAAATACCTTCCGATCTAGTTCCTTAATGGAATATCAACAAATGATGATAGCTCATTCAATGATATGCTCTTTCAACGCTCATTGAATTATCATATATTAGACAGAATTTTTTGTTTGAGCAAGTACCTACTGAAAGAACTAATCACATAGAGTTCCGCGTGAGATCACATTCCGCGCCTGTTACTACAAGCGATAAGACAGATTTTTGGAAGCAAAAAAAAACCCCATAAAATTAATTTTCTAACCTTTATTTTGAACAAAACAAAATTTAATATTTAATTCCTCAATTAAAATATTTAAGCATTTATTGCAATAATTACAATAATTTTTAACATTATTTGATTGCCTTCTTCCTCCATTAGAATTTTTAGGTAAATTATTATTTAATAATGAAAGTGAAGTTAATTGGGATTTACTTTTATCAATAATCTTTAAATTTAAATTTTTATTTCAAAAAATATTTTCTCCTTTTCTTGCCTGTTGAAGTGGCAAAGAGCTATTTCTTTGACGAATGCCGTGAGAGCTAATTACAGCCAAGGGAATTGTTGTAAGAAAATAAAAAAATAATACAAGAATAAATTGAAAACCGATAAACATTTTTTGAGGAAAAAATTGTTATTCGAATTTTAAGTAAATTTTTTATTTTAATTGTTTACTAAAAGATTTAAAATTAAAAAATTCAAATTAAAAAAAAACTTTGGACCTTCCATCCAATCTCTATTGAACTAATTTTATTAGTAAATACTTTTTAATAAAAAGTATAGTTTCTAGTGAAATTTTTTGGGTATTAAGAAGGTGAAATCTAATTTTTATTAATGAAAATATTATTGGGGAAATTTTATTAAACGTGAATTCTTTTAATTCTTTTACAGGGTGCACCATAAGTAATTGGACACTTTTAAATTCCTTATAACTTTTTTTGTTGTCAATATTTTTAATCGATTTTATGCTTATTTTTTAGCTCATTCAATTCTCTATTATGGCTAATCAACGTGATTCTATAATTTCACTTTTTTTGAAAAAAAATTCAGTCCGCAAAATTTCACCTCTTTTGAATGTCCCAAAGAGCACTGTACAATACACTTTCAAAAAATTCTGGTGAAAATTTTTTGGGAGAAAATTTTTTTGAAATTAATTTAGTAATGATGGCACAACTAAGAACTTACAAAAAAGTGGAAGACCGAGTACCGTCAGCACTTCCAAGAATATTAAAATGATCAAAAACTAGGTGCATCGCAATTCTCGACCCTCCATGAGAAAAGTGGCTCGTGAAACCGGAATAAGTGAGAGGACCGTCAGACGAATAGCTAAAAATAAACTAGGGTTAATACCCTACAAAATCCAAAAAGCACAACTGCTAACAGAAAAAACAAAAAAAGTTAGGCTTGCAGGATGCAAACTGCTCCTTCAGTGGCACGCATGTCCGGACATTCCCTTCTCAGACGAAAAAATTTTTACAATAAAAATCGTACACAACCATCAAAATTATAGAATCTGGACTACAGAATCTCCTCTTTCCGATGAGCTTATCACTCATTTCCAACATCCCCAATCTGTCATGGTTTAGGCCGGTATTTGCGCGTCAGTCAAAAAACCCCTTATTTTCGTGGATTTTGGTGTAAAAGTCAACAAAGACTATTACTTGCGAGAATTTTTTCAGCGTGTTCTGAAGCCTCGGTTCAAGAGCCATTTCGGTCGCAGAGTCTGGATTTTCCAACAGGACTCTGCTCCGGCACACAAAGCGAAAGAAGTTAAGGACTGGTGCTAGGCCAATTTTCCTGGGTTCATTAGCGCTCAGGAATAGCCGCCATACTCCCCGGATTTGAATTCGATGGATTATTCTTTTTGGTACATTTTGGAGTCCAGGGTCTGTGCTAAGCCTCAAAAAAGTTTGGAGTCTCTGAGCCATTCTCTCACCCGGGAGTGGGACTTAATTACACTCAAGGAGGTGCGTGCTATTTGCGAAAATTTTTCTTCGCGCCTTCGCCTCTGTATCAAAGCCAAGGGTGGGCATTTCGAAACTTCTTGATTATTATTGTTCCATATTTAATTCTCTATCATTTGATTGTATTTCGATTTTATTTGATTGTGTTTTAATAAAGTTATGAGAGAAAACATGTGTCCAATTACTTATGGTGCACCCTGTATTATCTAAAATGTTTTCAACAAAATTATAAAAATGTAACTTAAAATAAAATTAAAAAATTATTTGTTAATTTAAAAAATTAAGATGAATATAAAAAAGGAAATTATCTTAAAATAAAAAAAATTTCTAAAATTAACAAAATATTCACGCATT